CAAATACGAAGAGGACATGGCATACTCGCTCCTCGGGTTATTCGACGTTCACATGCCGCTGATTTACGGCGAAGGGAGAGAGAAAGCACGAAGGCGGCTGCGAGAAGAGGTCCACAAAGCTGTGAAGGGTGAACACCGTTCCAAAGTCTCAAAGCAGGGCAGGCTTGGAGACTAACAGCGTTAGGAATCCTCACGAACGACTTCTCCGTTACCTTCAGTCTGTCCGGAGTTCCTGAGGTCCAACATTTCGTCGCAAGAGAGAGGGAGTTGGCAGAGATGCACAGAACACTAAACTCGAATGGAAGCCGTCGGGTCGTTGTTCTCCACGGTCTTGGTGGCATTGGTAAGACACAGCTCGCCGTCGCATACACAAAGCGGTACCGAGATGAATATTCCGCTATATTCTGGTTAAACATTAAGGACGAAGCCTCTATCCAACAAGCTTCAGCAAAGTTGCGCGGCAAATCTTGCAGCAACATCCCGATGCTAGCCGTTTATGTGCTCCAAACCTACAGCAGAATCACGAAGAGGTAGCCGATGCTGTCAAGACCTGGCTCAGCCTGCCAGGCAACACTAGGTGGCTTATTGTATACGACAATTATGACAACCCGAAAATAGCCCACCCCACGGATAATGCTGCAATTGATATCCACCGCTATCTTCCCGAAGCGTACCAAGGCTCGATCATCATCATATCACGATCGTCGCAGATCAGTCTAGGTCATTCGATTCGAACGAGAAAGCTTGAGTCAATAGAGGACAGCCTGGAAATCCTCTCGACGACTTCAGGTCGATCCAGCTTGCAACATGGTAAGATTCTCACAGCTAAGCACATCTCCCCTAATCATTGCCACAGATATAGATGTTAGAAAGCTTGTGGAGGAACTTGACGGGCTTCCTCTTGCCCTTGCCACGGCTGGAGCATACCTAAGGCGCGTTCCAATCGGCTTCGGTGACTATCTTCGCCTTTATAGAGAATCATGGGCAAGACTTCATACAAGTACCCCAAGCCTGGGTTCTTACCAAGATCGCACACTTTGCTCAGCGTGGCAGCTCTCATACGAGCAAGTCCAGGAACAAAACCCACTCGCAGCCCATTTACTCCGATGGTGGGCATATTTTGACAACGATGACATATGGTTCGAACTTCTCCAGCCCAACGATGAAGATGGTCCGCCGTGGATATACGAGTTGGCTGATGAATTGCAATTTAATTGCGCTATAGGCACACTGCATGACTATGGGCTTGCCGAAATGCACATGTTGACACAAGACCTATTCGGATCACGGGGATACAGCATTCACACCTGCGTACACACTTGGACCATCCACGCATTGAATGAATATTGGGACATCAGTTTAGCTAAGCTTGCGTTAGACTGCATAGCTGCACGCGTCCCATCACAAGACGAGCCTCAGTTCTGGCTGCTTCAAAGGCGACTTCTATCACATGCGACAAAGTGTTGCGCCACAATTCAAGACAGCGATCAAGACTTATATTGGGCTTTTCACAATCTAGGTCTCCTTTACGCCGACCAAGGCAAGCTGCAAGAGGCGGAGGACATGTATCTGCGGGCGCTTCAAGGGAAGGAGAAGGCGTGGGGACCCGATCATACGTCAACACTAGACACGGTTAACAACCTAGGGAACCTTTACGCCGACCAAGGCAAGCTGCAAGAGGCGGAGGACATGTACCTGCGGGCACTTCAAGGGAAGGAGAAGGCGTGGGGACCCGATCATACGTCAACACTAGACACGGTTAACAACCTAGGGAACCTTTACGCCGACCAAGGCAAGCTGCAAGAAGCGGAGGACATGTATCTGCGGGCGCTTCAAGGGAAGGAGAAGGCGTGGGGACCCGATCATACGTCAACACTAGACACGGTTAACAACCTAGGGAACCTTTACGCCGACCAAGGCAAGCTGCAAGAGGCGGAGGACATGTACCTGCGGGCGTTTCAAGGGAAGGAGAAGGCGTGGGGACCCGATCATACGTCAACACTAGGCACGGTTAACAATCTAGGGAACCTTTACAAAAACCATCGCAAGCTGCAAGAGGCGGAGGACATGTACCTGCGGGCGCTTCAAGGGTACGAGAAAGCTACAGGTCCACCGAATGATATTAGATATCGGCGAGCAATCAATACTGCACAGAATCTAGCAGCCTTACTATCTGTTCAGGGTAAGGCAGCTGAGGCTAAAAGATTGTATGAACGAGCTTATACCAGTCTTCAAGCACTGCTTGGGCCTTCGCATAAAGATACCCAATCGTTGCGGAATACTCTGTTGAATTTGAATGACACACTGTCAGGTAAGTTGGTGCCGTCGAACCTGACCTCCGTAGATCGAGTATTAAACTAGAATACAGGTACGATAACGCCAGCAGGATCTGGCAAATCTAGACGCCGAGATCCACTTAAAAGAGCACTTCGCATCGTCCCATCAAAATAATAACCTCGCAAGAGATGGAAACTCACACAAGGTTAGGGCCGAGGACGGCATGAGGACGACATGAGGCCAAAACCCTTCGGGTTGACGGGAATGCTGGAGGCTGTGACGGATCATTTTCCGTTTTCGTTGTCTATTTCATTGTTCCAAGTCTACGCTGGTGCAGATATGAAAAAGAAGTCCTCAGTCTATTCCAACGAGAAAGGCGTTTTGGTTTTCAGGTTTATACAGTAGCAACGGCTTCTCAAGAAGGACAGAAAGGAATTGTCTGTGCTCTAGGAATAGGCTACGCACACTAAAGTAATCATTGCTTTATACAGCTGTCGTTGCCAATATAAAACGGGCTGTAGGGTAACATCGCACTATTTAAGAAAAACTTAATTGCCGGGTTACGGCGAGGTGTCGATATGCAAGTAAATTGTTAATGCATACAGTATAGCACTGGGGTAGAAGGACTAGATTTGACTCTTCAGTGTCATAATGAGATTAATAACGGTACTTAAAGATACAAGCCACTCGCCATGTACTATGGTAAAGCCACAGGTGTCCAAAATTAGAATCTATTATCATTTTTATAACGTGAATGTACACCGAGCTGGCCACCCTTACATAACCTCGCATAGAAATTTTACGATAGTAAAACCACAACGCCGTAAGTCAATTGAAACTACTCTGAACCTTCCTCTCCAGAAGATGGCAATGCGATCTTACAAGTTCGCGCATTATGCCCAGTCCCGTTGCAAATACCACAGCGCCTCGGGCGCGTTTCAACACGCTTTGCGCGACCACCATTTCGGCGCTCTTCTTGCTGTATCTTCGTCGCCAACCCCCTAGAGTCCCGTAGGTCCTGTCCTTCTTGGAAAATAAGTGATTCTCCTTCCCGTAATTGCATTTTTTTAGTCCTCCGGCGCTGGCTTAGCATCTTATTTGCCTCTCGAAGCTCAGCGCACTCGGCCCGTACGAGGGCGAGCCGCCGTTTTTACGCGTTTGGAGGGTCCTTCGGGGGACTTGGTACGTTTTTGCCGCTTGTCGGAGACTAAGTTTTTGGTCATTTTTGAGAGCTTGAAGGGCTAGCATTAAGTCTGCTTCGTTGTATGACTTTGCCATAATTGGTTGTTGAGAAAATCAAACATTAAGTTGGCCGGTCGCGTTGGCGCATCAAAGTGGCCAGCTCGGTGTACATTCACGTTATTAGAAAAGTAATAATATTAATAAATATAACGTACCCTACAAGCAAGTTGGCCACTTTTTCTTGGCACCGTACGAACAACCTTTTAATTAATATCTTTACACATACCAAGATGGGATCGAATTGGAAAGAAAGCGACATGATTCTAGCGTGTCAGGCGCTTCAATCGAAACCCGAATTAAGCATCCGACGCGCTGCCCAACTCTACAATGTCCCTCGTACAACTCTAGCTAACCGAAAACGCGGACTACTATCTCGACGCGATACTCGACAATCTAGTCAAGAAATTGAAGACCTAATACGGGCGCATATAACCCATATCTTGAAGGAGGAGTTCTTTTCGGCATTCTATAGGGCGTATCGTACGACTATAACTAAGTCGAATATCCAGGCAGGTTTCAGGGGGACAGGACTTATTCCGTACGACCCGGAATATGTGATTTCACAGCTGGATATTAAGCTACATACGCCTACACCTCCTGGGAGCTCGTCTGGCGCTGTCAGGTTATGGCTAGGCCGAAGGCAATAGTACAGAGTGATGAGGAGTAATGGGCGTCCCTCCTACGTAGCACCGTGTGGTCACTGGCGGTCTCAGGTAGGGGTGCCCACGATGATGCATTGATCTCTACTCCTTCCCTATCCTACTTCTAGATGGTCCTTATATAGATAGCTAGGCCGCCGCTTGGACCCGGCGTAGCCGCAGGTTTGGCGATGCCGGGAATCCTGACTCTCGGCATCCCGAAACTTCACATAGATTGTAATCATGACTCGGGAGGCTTTTGTCCGAAACACCCCACCGGCACCCCACCGGTGTCCTGTGTTCAGTGTCTCTGACAGGCTTAGACTAAGGCCTGCCTCCCACTGAGGCTCATATGACTGTTCCGAATCGATGGCTTCAAGAGGGTCGTGCTCCTTCCCGTCCTTCATGACCAGGGGTGTTATCGTGTGGACCTGTACTCATGAGCTTCCCATCGTGGCGTGGCCGGCACGAACCTCGTCAAGTCACGATGTACAATCCGCAAGCCATCTCGGGATTCGACGAACCATTCAGGAATTGTCGGCCCTATCTTCCTGGAAATCATCACCATGGCAGAGCCCCCATGCAACTGTCAGAGCTCGTATGCAGGCCTCGAGTAAGGTTGTTCTTGCCCAGACTTCCCATCACGACCATGCCCGCTCCCATCCTATATATATAACCTCTATGCCATTGTGGATGAAGAAGTCTTGCCCTCCGCATCATCACATTAACTTCGCTTCAATAGTTTGAGCTTTCCTTATCATAGTCGTTCCAGACTAGTTATTTCCTTTTTTCCCTCCTTTGTCTCTCGAGTCTTTGGCTTTTCATCTCTCGTTTGACCCAACCATGCGCTCGTTCCTATCTCTCACGGGCCTCTTGCCCGGCTTACTCTTCGCGGGGCTCGCCTCTGCTGCCCCTGGGACTCAAGAACTGGCCGCTCGTGCGCCGGGCAGTTGCAATACTGCATCGAATCGGGCTTGTTGGACTGATTGCTTTGACATCTACACCGACTATGAAGAAGATACTCCTCCTGGAACCACGGTCCCCTACGAGTTCGAGATCACCGAGCAAGATAACTGGCTCGGTCCGGATGGTGTTGTAAAGACGAAAGTAATGCTCGTCAACGATCAGTATCCCGGTCCAACGATCGTTGCGAACTGGGGTGACACCATTAGTGTCAAGGTCACCAACAAACTCCGAACCAACGGGTGAGTCTCCTACATCCACAGCCTAATCAAGCCCGTCCACTGACAACACCAGTACCTCTATTCATTGGCATGGAATTCGTCAACTCAACAACAACATAAATGATGGTGCCAATGGTGTCACTGAATGTCCTCTGGCCCCAGGCAAAAGCAAGACCTACACCTTCAGGGCCACGCAGTACGGAACCACTTGGTACCATTCTCACTTCAGCGCCCAATATGGAAATGGCGTTTTTGGGTCGATCCAAATCAACGGACCAGCTTCCCTCCCCTACGACATCGATCTTGGGCCGTTTCCCATATTCGATGTTTACCGGAGGACTGCTGACGAGCTTGTCGAGCACACAATGCACCCGTCCCTGCCGCCTCCGAGCGATAACATCTTCATCAACGGCACAAACATCGACCCGTTGAATCCTAGTCAGGGCAAATACGCAAACGTGACGTTGACACCGGGCAAGCGTCATCGTCTTCGTCTGATCAACCCCTCGGTGGATAACAACTTCCAGGTATCCCTCGTTGGCCACCAGATGACGGTCATCGCCGCCGATATGGTGCCTGTCGATGCCTTCACCACTGATAGCCTCTTTATGGCCGTGGGTCAGAGATATGATGTAACCATCGATGCCAGTCAGAAAGCAGCGAACTATTGGTTCAATGTCACTATTAGTGGTGGGGGCACAGTCTGCGGGGATACCAAGAACACAGAGGCGGCAGGGGTGTTCCACTACGCCGGGGCACCGGGTGGCCTACCGACCAATCCCGGCACAAAGCCCATCGATGCGCTCTGCGTCGACAATCTTGACCTCAGTCCCGTTGTCCCGCGCGACGTCGACTTGGTGGGCTTCACGCCATGCATCCACAATAATCTCTCCGCCGGCCTTGACTTTCACGGAACCGGCCCCACGGGCTCTCATCCTCGACCTACTGTCACCTGGACCGTCAACGGCAACGCCATGAACGTCGACTGGGACCGTCCGGTTCTCGAGTACATTCTTGAGGGCAATACCTCATACCCTAGGCAAGATAACATCATAGTCATCGATGAGAAGGACACGTGGACGTATTGGCTAGTCCAAAATCTGGCTCGCGCCGCCCATCCCATGCATCTCCATGGCCATGACTTCGTCGTCCTCGGCCGGTCGAACGCCAAAAGTGCTTCCGCAAACCACACTCACTTCTTCAAAACCGAGGACATCCGCAGCCTCAAAAAGACCAACCCCATACGGAGGGACGTGACCATGTTGCCCGCCAACGGCTGGGTGGTTATTGCGTTCAAGACGGACAACCCTGGTGTAAGTTTCAAACTCCTATACTCCATCTAGGACGAGTATACTGACGTTGCTCGCAATCAGAACTGGCTTATGCACTGTCACATAGCTTGGCACGTCAGCGGAGGCCTTGCCGTGGACTTTGTCGAGAGGCGGGATGAGCAGGAGGCTCTGATCAGCGCTGCTGACAAGGCGGCCTACGAGCAGACCTGCAGCGACTGGCGCGACCTTCACGTGAGCAAGATCGACTCCGGACTGTAGAGTTGGCATGCGGAAAGCCAAGACGAAGCTGCACGGCATCTTGTTGCAGCTTGAGCGATCCATTTGCGTTGCGCGAAGGCTTTCGGTCCCTCAGAGACTCAGATATCAACATCGTGTGGCCAGCGCGAAGGATGAGCGTATGACCAAGCATTTCACGCGGTGGGGATTTGTTCGCCACAACATCGGATGCGGCCAAGTGGCCGCCGTATATTTGGGGATATGGTAATGTCAATGTCATGGGCTGGTGATTGGAGTTGCGGGTGCTTGTCGAACGGGAGTTTTCATTTGGATTTTTCTTTCTTTGCAAAACAGAGTATCATCTTTGCGAATCTGTTGTAATACGGGTCTGAACATTGGGGGCTTGGTTGGTTAGGACTGACCGGATGGAATCATGGAACGAATGAGATACGGAGCGTCAGGAGCTTGGTTGGAGGGCGTTGAGGTGCTTTTTCCATTTGTGGGCGGCTTCTTTGGGCCTCGGAGTTTCAATTGTTGCTAGGATACCCATCCATACACATTTAGTTATCCCTCTTGGCCGGAAATATAAGAGACATGCGTCTCGCAATGTCGACAGTCTATAATTAAGGTCGGTTGTTTATTCGAAGTGACTGTTGGAATTCTCTTCTTGGGCATGAGGTACAAGGACATCAGAGTAAGGCACTTGTTACAGAGAAAAGAGTATATGAGTTTACTCCAAAAATACCTAGCGCAATATGGATCAATGATTTGTCGGGTTGTTTTTTAGTTTGAGGCTCCGATAGACAAAGTGAACCCTTGGAGGAGCAGGCACCTTCCTTTTGAAGCTTTCCGTACCGGCGCGGATTATCATGACTCGCCGTGGTGTGTATCCAATCTAAACAAGCTTGAAAAAGCCGATTGGCCCGGGTGTGAATGTAAGGTACATAGTGATTCGCACCAGTGGGCTTCCAAATGAATGTATGGCGCGCCACCTGGCTTAGTCGCCAAGATGTTTTTGGCCGGCAGGCACTGACTGTCAAGGTCGTCCTTGCCGTGAGCTCGATTGCTAGACGATAGCAGAAGCGCAAAAGCTGAACCTCGGTTTTCATCGATTGAAACGGCATTCCTTTCGGCGTAGCCTCAGGAAGACCCAACAGCCGTCCACATATCTCCTCCGACCCCTGTCCTGCTGCTGTTTGAATCTTCTCTAGTGTCTACACCGCCATGTCGCAACTATTGCACAGCATCGCAAATTGGGCGCAGTCTCCAAAGAAATCTACATCACAATCAGACGACGAATCCCCGCGCGGACTTAAGCGAAAAGCAAAAGCAGACCCCTACGATATGGATGACGACGGTGGGCTAGCTACTCTGGCATCGTTGCTTCATAATGGTGATGATCGGCAACAGTCGCAACCAATGCTGACAGCTTGCGCTTTAGAGGATGCCGCTGAGAAGGCGTCGTCGCCGTCGGGAAAAACTCCTGCAATGCAGCGCCCCCGGTCGCGCAATACCCCCGAAGCGCCTGCATCGAGCTTCAAGAGCCGTTTGATTGGTGGCAAGATTAGTGCGTTCTGGTCTCGTTGGCATGGTAATGATTGGTTTGCTGACAACAGGGGCAGAACGCCGCAGCCGGCCAGCCAAAAAACTGCGCCCAGGGTCAGAGGAAGGTGAAGCTGCTGGCGCAGATCATCTTGGATTGAGTCCGGCGAAGCCTGCTTCCCAGCCCAATGGTTCTGATGACAATGAAGCGCTGAAGTCGAACACTTCTCTGGTTCCAGTGGCCGATATGGGTGGCTCTAGTAAGTCTTGCTGCGTCACCAATGTCTTGATCTCTATCTGACCCATGTTTGCGCAGACCTGCTTGTCAACAACGAGGCTGCAGAAGCGGACACGGATCTAGCCACCGCCAACAGCGTCAACGCCTCTCTCGATGCGCCAACCGACAAACCCGCGACGATGGAAGACGAAGCCGAAAACGAAGATGACGATCAAGGCAAGGCCGACGAGCTTGACGAGGATGTGCACGAAGTCAAGCAGCTCATGCGACATCGTTTTGATAAAAACCAAACCATCGAGATTCTCGTCCACTGGGAGGGCGAGACGGAGGAAGAGGCAACGTGGGAACCCGAAGATGAGATCCAGCGAGGTGCTGCAGAGACGCTCTACGAGTACTGGAACAAACTAGGTGGCCGTTCCGAGGTGCTGTTTAACAACAAGGATGGCGAAGACGCGCCAAACGAGGTGTACTATGCCTTCAAAATTCTGCGACACGAAAAGAAAAAGCCCGGTGGCTTCCAATTCGAGGTGCAATGGATCGGATACCCCGATACGCCCGGCAACACAACCATGGAGTCCGAGACCAAGCTTAAGAGTGTTGCGCTGCCACTTTTGGAGGAGTACTGGGAAAGTGTTGGTGGACGAGACCAGTTCTTGGCCAAGCGTGGACGGGCGGCCAAGAAAGCCAGGATCGAGTGATGCGCGCATCCCCAGGAACAGAAAAACATAAGCCTATGTACATACCGATGGCGGAATGGTCGAGAGGTGTGGTTTGGGGTGTTGCATGGATGCGGCATTGCAGCGGAATAACCTCAATGTCCGGCCCCGTGAACCAATCTGCATGGATGACGGTGTTGCAGAGCAATAACTCCTGTTTGGTTTGCAACAATGGGACTGGCTGTGTTGTACATTACAAAGTTGTATACTTACTTATCTTGGGGTATCTGCGCTTGGCCAAAACCATCCCAGCGTATTTCATCTACACCTAGTTGCATTTATTAAAAGCATTGCCTTCTTACGTAGACTGTCCTATCCCTCATTTGGCCCATATGTGAATAAACACAAGCTAAGTTGCGCCCGGATGTTGACGTCCTAACTATCCCTAGGTGAGGGATTGATCGTAATGATCGTTAATCCAAGCGATAAATCTGACAACTTCTTCGAGTATTCTCTTGAAAACATACTGATTGCCTTATCGAGCAAGTTATTGGGGACATGAACATCTTACTCAGAGCCTGACTATGCGCTATCTTGCCTGTGGCTCGGGTTGTGCCAGTTTTGGGAACGTCGAAGTTGAATCGAGTAGAGAGTATATATATGTATTGTCAGCATAACTAGACAAGCCACAAGTTAAATCCCCTACGACGATGACCTAAACAATAGAGCTTGCAGCACCATTTACTCCTCCCAGAGCTGAACGCGTCCGCGTATCTTAGCTTCAATGACAATTGATATCGAGGTCTCTATGGTTCACAACGTCGAAGCAGTGCTAGAATCGCCACCAATCGACAAATAATCCAGCCCAAATTCTGTGAATTTGTAATTTGGTGTTCTTCCAATCCTGATGCGAAATCTCGTAGGATGAATTGCACCAGGCGCGTTGGAACCCTGACGTACTTAGCCCTGTCAGATGTATCAGGGTCTGGGTATTTTGAGATTTGTTCCCAAAAATCCTTTGAAGCTGCTTAAGCTGCGTAAGGCCGGCTAGATTTAATTCCTTGGAACAGGCTGACTCCCAATCCCACGTTCTGACATGGGCTTTCAGAAACCCCGGTGTGATAGGTGGACGAATCGCTCACGTCCATTAGAACGTGTTCAAGCCTCATGCAGTGATGGAGCCACCAAGAGTTGAATCCTTCGTGTCATCTGTGGCTGGGCCGTTTGGTGGCACGTTTAGCCTCCATCTTCTCTCCAGCCTTGAAGAGAATACAACGCAAGCTCAGGGCAGAATCTGGGGCACATGTCGCCGGACCCCAAACCCTCCTTCTCCATCAAGTTATTTTACGACCAGGGGAAGTCGTAAAACTTGCAGAAAGTTAGATGATGTGTAGAATTGACCAAACAATTCCTCCGCAGTTTGCTTGATGTTCATCCTGCTCGTAGCTCTGAACAGCCTGCGAAACGCCACTCGTGGCGGGAATCTGTCAATTATAACGCCAACAGACTCGGCGCTATCCACGGCAAGCGTCGAAGTCTTCTTCGCAAAAGTATACTACCCAGGAATAGCCCTTCTACGCCAGTGAGGCCAGGGAGGGCGCCATGTTTTGTAGGTGGTCTCTTTCCCAACACAACGATGTGAAGTTTCTCCTCACAACAAGATCAGTCTGTATATGCACGTTCAAATGTACAATAATAAAATTGATTTGTCAGCCGGGTTACAGACCTTAGTTTATTATATGTTTAGACTGGCTTCCATCTCTCACTACTAATTACCGTGCCCTAATTACATATTAGTCCTGTTTACGAAAGCCTTTACTTCCGAAAACAAAACAAGAAAAGAAAACCCGGATTCTCACCATGGCAACTCCAAACCTAATATTTTCCGTAGCAAAGATTGATTAGACTGTGGGTACCATTATTATGGTAGGTTCTTCCGAGCCATGGCATTTCTAGAAATGTTATTTCAAGGACCTACATTCCTTTTCTCAAGCTTTGCACAGGCGTCCATCTTCTTGGACGGTATACGCCTCACTGCCCACAGCAATAACCGAGTAGAACATATTGGTAGGGTCCCAGTCGTTCTTAATGCTCAGTAGTTTATCGTAATTGCTTCCGTAAAACACATTCTGGAAATCAGGCTGACGCCAGTCGGCCTCATTCATCTACAACAACGACTTTGTTAGTTTCACTGCGCTAAGGAAACCGTCGGAATGAGCGTTTGTAGACGTAGCGAGCACTTACGTATGTACCAGATCCAGGAGTTGCCGCTTCAATTATCGGCCCAACCACATCAGTGATTTTTTCTTGGGCAGCAAGTCCTTCACTCCATGGAGCTGTGAAGTTCCATGACAGCTCTAAGGATGCTTGAACAATGGTATTTCTCCACGCTGGCAAAACTGCGTTATCCCCGCCAAAAGAGCCGACGTCAGTACCGACGCCAATGAAGATGACGCCCTCCTCGGCAATGGCACGGGCAGTGGACGAGAAGTTGGATAGATGTTGATGCTCAATGAGGCGTCCTCCAAATTGGGCTACGCCGACCTGGATATTGCCATCTGCGACCTCTTAGTCAGCTTGATCGGATGGAGAAAACGGAATGGGCATTATTTTGGCAGGGCGAGAGGTTGACCTACCAGGCAGAGGACCCCAGTAGTGGTCATAGTGTTCGTAGTAAGTAGGGTACTCGGTGTAAGTAACAGTGTAATTGTACCTCAGACCATCGAGCTTGGTTAACAGAGGTGACAAGGTTGCCTCGAGCTGTGCTTGAGTTTGGTTGTAGGAAGTTAGGGCGGGAATTTGGAGGAAGGTGTTTGTGAAGAAGTAAATAACCATGTTGCCGTCCTGGACGATGTCAGGCAAGCTTTCATGGAACAAGTCGATCGCTTGATACAACTTTGCGGTCGAATTTCCATTGTCAGAAAGCTGCAGAGAGAATTTGGCACCACTAACAGTTGCCTCGGGGTGAGCCTTGACCGTTATGGAGACGACAACGCCGTAGCCGACGCCACCTCCGGAGAGAGCCCAGTACAGATCAGTGTTCTCGGATCGTGAAGCGACGACAAGGTCCCCGCTACTCGTGACAACATCGAATGAGAGGGTGTTGTCGGCAGCCAGCCCATACTTCGTGCTCAGGCCTGAGTGCCCGCCACTAAATAGCAAGAGTTAGTGAGTTGATAGACCAAGAACACGAGGAAACTGTGGTCAGTTACCCTTGAGTATAGCCACCCGCGATGCCAACAGTTGGACACTCCCCCGTAACAACAACATGCCCCAGATCCGTGGCGGCAGCCAAAGCCTCAAAACCTTGAATGCCGGCTCCGAATTTGAACGCAGGACCTGAGTAGCTGGTGTCATTCCAGGACAAAATTTCGATATTCTTCAGGTGATGTGTCCAGACACTCAACGCTCCGGCCCCGGTTGAGCGGCCGTGGTAGTCGTGCCCCGTATTTCGAACTACGAACCTGACGTTCTTCTCCCTGGCAAAGTTTACGGCCGCAATAATGTCGTCTGGACCAGTCGCATTGACGGAGTAACGAACGTAGTTTCCCAACGAACAAGGTCGAGACGTTGGTTGCCATGGATCACAGCTCTGGTTGGCGAAGAAGGGTGCCATTACGGAAGACGACGAGTTCATGCTGCCATGCGAGTCAGCTTGTGTGTGTCGGCCGACATGGGCCATAGCACGTCAACTCACTGGATACCAGAATAGAGCCATTGGCTCTGCAAGTAGGCACATTCCGTTGCGTTGTACGTCGGATCATGACAAGGGGATCCGAGTGGTACTGTGGCAATCAGTCGACCTCCGACCGTGGCATTCAAGCCGGCCCAATCCACCTCCGAGGGCCAACAGGTGTCGCCAGGAAAGCACATGCATGACATTGTGTTGGTGCTGATAGTAGCAGCTGCCCCAGTGAACAGTGCGGAGGCAACAGTTAGGAACTGCATGTTGAAACTGCTTAACAAACACTTTGTGGTGCAGGTGAAACACAACAGAAATTTGGGAAGCATTCACGTACTTTTGTGTGGTCGCCTGGGCAAGGATACGACATGCAAGCGGTACGACACCTTGCAGCGGCAGCAATCTACCGCAGTAAATTAGATCATGCACTCCACCGTGCCACAACCAGGGTCTTAAACATACCAATCAAGATAGGATCCTTACTAAAGCCCATGGCCGAGTGTCACCCAACTCGGTTCGTGACCGGGTACAAGATTGCGTGCTAGCAGATCTGGATGCAATCGTAGAGAATCAGAAGGAGAGTCGAACAATACATCCCCGGCAGATATTGCTATTATCGTATGATTTTGTCACAACATAGGGAAACCTCTCCGTCTTCCCAGCCACTATGGCCAGTATGGAGGAAAGCTACTCCATCTTCCATCCACTTTGCGGGATATATGCACCAGTGGCCGGGGATGGACTTGACAGCGTGGGAACAGCGGCCGGTACCGGGCCGTTGTCCCCGCGTTAGCTTGACCCAAGCCTCTGGGGCGGACTGGGATAGCTATAGTTGGAATCCACTCGTGACGGCGCGGTCGGAGTGGAGCAAAGCTCTGTGCCCGGATTGGGGATGATACCTCATATCTATGCTCAGCGTACAGACAGTAGTCACCGAGTCAGTTGAGCTGGAAGTTGGCTTCGTTGCAACACTCTCCGTAAGTATGAAAGTTGCTCGTGAATTCAAATGTTCATCTAGGTAAGCTCCAAGTAAGTTCGGTCGGTTTCTTTGCAGCACCTCAACACCTGCTATGAACAGATAAACAACATCCCATTCTATTTTTGCCACTTCAAACATCAGGTTCGTTTCAATGGGCTGGGTTCTTAATGCGCCTGAAGGCACCGTTACATACGGACCAGAAATGACAGCAATTACATCAGCGTCACTGGCGGCTCACTGGTAATCGTCTGCTTAAGGTACTATGTCCGAACATGCCTTTTGAAGTCTTTAGGGCCTGGTAAGTTTGGCTCGGGTGAGTCTTTTAGGTTTTGGCCCAAGCAACCTACTAATCTCACTTAGACGATTGGTCTGTCTTGGTTGCATGGGTAAGACGAGAATGAACTCGATATATCGCACTTGAGAGCTGATTTTGCCTCAGATTGCATCTTGCGGGTATTCGATCTCTATCATCTTTGGTTCGTTCATATCTCCCAATGCTTTGGCTAATCATGTGCTCATTCCTTTGACAGAGACAAAATGGGGTCTCGGAGTCACCTCCATTGATAACATGCCACCTGAAAATGTCTACAACTATGGTCTTGTGAGGACACGCTGCTTCTCCAACTTACTTATCTCTGCTAATACAGCTAAGTTTCAATATATTGGCGCTCCATTGTAGGTACGCTCTTAGCTGCCGTCAACCTGACACTGGCTGACCATCATCCGGAAGTTATGTTATTGGCCTCTATGGTTTTAAGCTCAGCCTGCTTCTGTCATACCTCCGCGTTGTGGGCTACGCATCCAGCTCATATCGAAAGGTCACGATAGGCGTCATCATGGTCATCACTGCGGCGCACGTTGCATTCACTCTCGTGTTTCTATTCGAGTGTCAACCGGTACTAGCCACCCCTTTTCATCCGCACCACATCTTCTGACCAGAAACTGCAAGATTTCCTTGCAGTGGGATCCTAGCATATCTGGAAAATGTGTTGATGCGGTTGCATTTTACACAAGCTTCTCAGCCTTGACGATCTTCTTCGACGTGGTTATGTGAGTCATTTGACCTGATGGGCACTGTTTCCTGGCTTACATGTTTTTAGAATGTTGCTGCCCTTCCCGATTCTTATCAGAAGCAAGATCCAGAACCGGAAGAAGCTCATACTGCTTGGTCTATTCGCACTTGGCATCCTCATCACTATCGTCCAAGCCCTTCGTTTCCAAACGATTCAGAATCTGCAAAATTACCTCGACTCGTCTAAGATCATCATGTGGTCTACAATTGAATGCAACCTGGGCATAATCGTCACCTGCATACCAACTCTTGCGCCGATGGTCCAGTATTTTTCGGAACGGTCCAAGTTCGGTAGTAGCTCGAATGAAAACCGCGAACCGTTATCCCAATATGCGTTAGGAACATGGCGAACCCAGGGCAGTGGGTTACAAAGAACCACAGATATCGGAGTGGGTGCAGGAAATGGAAGCACTGAGCTTATTCTTGACTCAAATGGTATTACGAAGAGAACAGAAGTGATAATCGATTCTGCGCAGAGGAATTCAGGGTATCGTATTTGATTTTGAAAACAGCAGCAAACATGATCAAGACGAATCCCGGTTGCTAGTGAAATATACAAATATAAATACCAGTGTTCATATCCTAATTCTTAATCAGACAATAACCATTCCTCCTGTTCACTACTTGAAGCTACGAATACACTATCATAATAATAACCTTGACGTGTACACTCCTTACAGCGGGAGACACCACCCTATATTGTTTAATAGCGTAGCTTACGATTATCTTAGGAGGAATAAGGCATGGCGCTAATAGCGAACTGGTCTGTAACGTAACGAGGTTATTCTAACCTCGTATAACCTTTGGTCGTGTCTCGAGAACTACAAGATATTGCGAATCGACCTAGTGTTACCGAAGCTGGAAAAAACGAGAAGAAAAAGAACCTTCCAGAGAGAAAGTGGCAGAAGTATATGTGGATACTTATCCGGTTAAGCTTCCGAAGATAAGAATAAAAACAGATAAAAACAGGACATTGGCAGAGGGGGGTCCAAGCCCCTCAGCCAATAGACCAAAGATCTTGAATGCCTGTGGATCACTGACACTTGGTGTCACAAGGGAGGACCAAGCCCCTAGGCCAAAATATCTTGAATGCCAGTGGATCACTGACATTTGGTCCGGCCGATTGCTATATACAGTACTCTGTGGTATCGCCACGTGCTATGGCACTTGGTCCAAATAACTACTATATATAGCGCTCTGTGGCTACGTCATCGCCGGCGCTATGACAGGAATAATATTACGAACGAATAGTTCTAACGCTACGACGCCATTAATATGCCGGAATCCTCTATGTAAGGAAATATAAGTAGAACGACTCCTCATAGGTACTTTACTTAGTTTCCATAAAATACGGGCAGTGGAGATAGACTAATTGCGTTTGGTTAAAAGTCTACGATCCACGACGAGCCTCTTTTGTACTTTTTGGCTTTTCGCCGCCTAGGAGTATTGCAGTTACTTCATACTCTACTTCGTAGTATATTTTAGACCCTTCATTATATTTTTCTCCTCACGTAAAGATGATCGGAACAGCCGGATAGACCAATTACAGAAATAGTCGAGGAGAAGGCACGATTCTTGTTGCTGAAATCAGCCAGAGCGCCTTGCCATTTTCCCCATCCCCAGGCAACCTGCTCCAGCAATTACGTACCAAGAACAAAACGAAACCACGGTTCCGGCCTCCACAGCGTTCGACCCTATGTAACGTTACCACCATCTTTACAAGGTTTCCAAATATCTCGTTCCTGTCAATCCCGTATTGACATTTGTTTTTACAAGACAGAGATTTGGAATCGTGAGGCGCTTAATGCACTGAAAAGGATACCCCTTCCCTTGTTCTGTTCCGCGTCCTCGCCTTCCGCAACGCCTTCGCTCCGCTTTCTTTTGCCATTTGAACGTGTTCGATAGTGGCTTTAGCGATGTTGTTCGCTTGCTGTTCATCTTGAAGGATATTTGAAGGGGACAACAGGTGTTGACCAACTATGAACAGGCGCTAGGAGGAGACACTAGAAAATTTAAGGCAATGGAAAAGCATCACTTTGCCCCTTCCAGGCCAATTGCGGCTCCTGTGCTCGACAACCTACAGCCGACTTGATCTCCAAGTGACCCCTAGCCCTCTAGGCCAGGGGACGCCTTGCTCCTAGCTTGCTCCATTCCGTATCGCCAGTATTTTGTACTACATATACGAGTTTTCTCACACAGCCTCGCCAATGCTGTCGCTAACTGGAGCGAGGTGATGTCGAGGCGCCCTAAGCTACTTTTGAGGTCTTCTGTGAATGAAGTCAACGTTTGCGTGTTACAATTTTTACCGGCTGCGCGTGCGCTCATTTATTGGACCAAATTGTGTATCCTGGTCGATCTGACCTCACAGGACTCAAGTCACGAATATCAGGATTGATTTCGTGCCAAGTCAGTTGTGTGGTTCAGATCTCTTTTGATGGTGTTTTTTCTAGAAAGCTCAGCTATTTCCGAAGCTACGAAATGTTGCTTAAGAGCAATGATGTAGCCAATCAGATCCTCTGATTTGGATCCACAAAATGACCGTCCAAAGACGAGGGACCCACTTGTTGCAGAATGTGGTCATATTGGTAGTTATAAGGTCTGGCATCTTTCCACACTCCGCATAACTCATACAAGTACCGAAGATGATTTTGGCGTTTACCGTTTGCTAACCATTGTAACATGATTTTGTCGACCTGACCTTGGACGAGGAGGAGTACAAGGTCTAAAAACGGGCGCCTGACGCTCTTAGACTCGGAGTCGAAGAGAAAGATTTGGCTAGATCTGGCCAAGGTTGTCCGCCCCTGATGCACACTCATCCATAGTTCTTGTCTGCCGACACTGAACATCAACTAGGAAATGAATCCGGAACACCATCTTCGACTTAACAGAAACCACGCGTAGTACCTTGTACTCACTAGACTAAGATTATCTTCTCGACAAACAAACTATTCATGGGCCTTCTCGTTTTCTCTCCGAACATAAAGCCGTCAAGAAAGACTTCTCCGCGTACCTCCGCGCACCTCACGTTCAGACTGATGGTCGGCCCTTGTCGAGAGGAGGACAGGAACGCTGCGCCGCTAAGGATGTATATCTCGTCCCCTATGCTGCAGTGCTCTCGAGCAAGGCCAATATACCCCTTCTCGGTAATGAAAGCTTGCTAAGATAGAAGCTGTTTCATCCTAATGAAATTATTGAGATAGTCTTCCTGGTCTGCATTTTGGGGTCTAAAGCCATGCTCCACCAGTTGCTTGTCCAAATTTAAGCTATGGCACTAACGATAGAACATTTCTGGCATATCGCTTAGCGAGGGCACCCGGCCCAAGTAAACACCTACAAGGCTTAATGTACGGGTAAATGCTTTAATCCGGCTTAGGTCGTCACAATAAGGCATGCTATCCCCAGTCGGCGTTATTCAGAAATCGAAACATTGCTAGAAAAGTTTCGACCTAGGGTCAGACAACTCAGCGCGTCGATCGGGCTAGCATAAATCGCCGAAAAGTTGATTTTCGTCGATTCGGACCCCTGACATATTAATTTGTTTCTATAAACGTACCCCACAAGCAAGTTGGCCACGTTTTCTTGGCACCGTATGAATAACTTCAATAACTTAACTAAACTAAAAAATAACAATTCAAACTAATCGGAATCCTCTTCCTCGTACGTATATTTATCATTCTAACAAGTACGAGCATTATGTCCGGGCTCTCCGCAGATCCTACAGCGCCGTCGGCGTGGTTCGGCCGGTCTTGTACGACGACGACTTACACGTAACTAGTGGGGTGAACGATCTGTGACAACAAGCGAGATACGCAGGCGACCTTCCGATGTTGACTTCTCTGATATCACAAATAAGATGAGGTATGTTTTGAAAAAGGCAATATGCAGGGATTCTACAACATATATTGTGACGTCTATGGAGCATCTGGGGGTCATCATAGGACGACGACCTCGCCAGCACTTCAGACTGAGCCCCCGGCTGTAAGAAGACAAGGCAGGCCAGCCGGAGGGAACTTGAACAACAGATTCCAATTGAATGACTGCAAAAAATCGGAAAAACTGCACGCCGGAGATACCTGTTTATCCGATTTGGTGCCATGATTGTTTCAAAGGCAGTGAATTATTCTGCTGGCCTGTGAAAAAAATCACCTTCGCCGACTACCTCATCTTTTCCTGGCAAAGCATTATGACATCGCAACCATCTTTCATATTCAACTTCTTCAGCCAGAGGAAACTGCTTCGTCTTAATATTAATGTACCAGCATCCTATCGATCAGATTTTGGTCCTCTTTACCAAGGTCTCTTGGTTGTTATCCCTCACGTCTCCGATTTCCTCACAAAATGGGTCGGCGACGGTCCACGCGGGTCTGTTCCTGCCTCAGATCCGTCAAACCCACTCACATCGTGAGTCGTACTAAGCTGCGTCCTCCAGATTGAAGAAGTCCTCAAAAGCATCAAACGCTTTTTCCTCCTCGTCAGTTGAAACCTCGCAAATTCCACCTTCTTTCGTTCTGGTCATCAACCACGCGAATCTCACGCCTCTCTTCTTCCAACAGATACTCGCCCTTCACTTCATATTCCCTTTGGATTGGTAAATATTCCTCTTCGATTAAAGTTACAGATTCAACAGGGCTGACTTACGGTGTCAGATCAATCACCATTGCCAGCTTTCTTCAGGGGACAGTCAGCTCCATCTTGAAACTGGTAAGTCAGAACACCAACTTTCTACACCAGCATCAGACGCATTGAGTCTATCTTCCTTTGGCAACATCACGTGTTTCATTTAAAAGTGACCACTTCACCAAACTGCTGGGTCTGGCACACTTTCTTGGCCCGGAAGACACACAAGTCACGCTCAAATTGCAACTACCTCGTCAGATGTGTCCTGAGCTGGTCTGCGTATTCCTTCCCCGAAGTTCACACAAGACCTATCCTGAACCCATTGATATGGATCATCTCCTAAGTCACACTCAATCAGATGTCACTCATCTGCTCAGAAATGTCCTGAGATAGTCGACGTGTACCTTCCCCGAAAATCACAACACCCACCCTGAACACATTGTTCTTGGAGCGCTGCCTGGGACACACTCGACCACTCTGCACTCACCTTCTTAGAGACACCACGAAGCTAGTCTACGTGTGCCTTCCTCGCATGTCACAAGGCTTGCCCTATACTTGTTCTCTAAACAGTACCTAGAGTTACCCATACTTCTCTTCCCCAAAAGACACGAAGCTCAGCGGGTAATCACATTTTCACTGTGCTGCCTGGACCACAACTCGCGCCAACTTCACCGTTCCCCCAACATCATTTAACTCCTACTCACGTTTCTGTTCGCATCCACTTCAACCCTTCCCCCAACACAATTTCACGTAATCTCACCTTTCTGTGCGCATCTGCTTTACCTTTCTCCCCTTGACACTATTCAGCACATCTTCACATTTCTGCGCACATCCACGTCCCCTTTCCCCTGACATCGTTCAATGCATCAGTTCCCAATTTGACGCTGGAGATTGTTGGCATCAAAAACTGCTACCAATCTAGCACAAAGATGTGAGACTGATTGGGTGAACCTATCAGATTTGTTGGCCAATCCATCATTTTGGCAGATTTGCAACAACCCATTTGACATCAGTGAGTTTGTTCACCCGGCACTGAACACTTTCATGATCATGAAACTAAAGCTTTCTTTATACAGATATCAGCATCGTTGCTCTATATACAAAGGACGGTGCCCCGCAACATCAAGGATTGTCACATCTCAAGGTCAGAAGGTAATTCTCAAGTTCAGCGCCTAATTCCTGTCATTAGCTTTCTGACACTCAATCAAAGCCTCAACACGTCACCAACTGTCAAGATGATGGCCTACAGAGAGCCCGAGCAGCGCGACATTGTTGCCAACGAACGGACCACTATTGAGGGACCCGTCCCTGACAAGGTCAGCATTCATGACTTCGGTGTTGAGAAGCCTCCCCAGTACTCGGAGGGCACCGAGGAGCAGCCTGAGAGCTACCCACGACCCATGTCGCGTGCCTCGACAATGGCCACTGCTCAAGCTGGCGAGGACAAGGAGTGGCCACTTGGCCAGGGCGCTGACATCGAGCGACCTAACTCTGCTCTCAGCTACACTTCGCAATGCGGCCACAATGAGTCTAACGGAGAGAAGGTTATGAACACTGCCACAAACGCCAAGGACATAGTCCAGCGCCCCGCTGCTGTTCACATGGGACTCTCCGAGAAGAGCCTTGGAAGCAACGCGTCTGACAATCTTGGCGAGAAGACCCGCGACAGCGCTAGCCTTCGTCGCAACGTCACTGGCAACGTCTTTGAGGGTCGTGGCACCAACACCGTCGGTGCAGGAAGCATTTTGCTGGATGTCCCGCGTGCTTGGAATGCGTTGCGCTCCGGATCTTCAGGACTTCTCTCTAGCATCGGCTCGATGTCGTCGCTGCTCTCGCGAACCAAACCCATCGTCCTCCAGGAAATCGGCAACCCCTATGAAGTCCGTCACAACTTCACCATGAATGCCGATGACCTTCAGCAGCTCCAGATGGCTCAAGCTGCTCGAGGAAGCAATACTCGCAATGTCCTCTCTGACATTCGATCGCAGAGCCGAGCTGAGAATCTTACTTCGCTTCCGGTCAACATGCCTGATGCTGTCTCGCCTATCGATGCTTCCGACCTCGAGGCTGGGCTTGGTCAACTCCCGGCTGAAGTTGAAGCTGACAATCCGTTCCAATCTCCCGCTACACCTGTAATAGAAATGCAAGCTGAGCGAGTTGGCACTTCCAGCCTCTCTGGCCAGACCGTTGTCCGCCATGGAGCCATCGTTAGTGGTCCGCTGTCCCTTCTAAGCGTCCACCGAGAGAAGATTCTCTTCTGGTCTATGGCAATGCTACTTCAAGCGAGCTTTCTCTCCACTGTTGCCTCGTTCGCCAGTATTGCGGCTGAGTTTGACCTTGGTCGTACTGTCGATCGTCTCGATGTCGTTTGGGTGGGAATCTCTGTCTTCCTGCTCATCGTGTTCGGCATTCTCGTCGCTGCTCTCTGGGCTCGTCGACATGTTGCCAGAGCCGTCCGCGAGCATCGCCGAGAGCAGCGTAACCAAGAGTGGATTGAGATGTCCAAGCTTGCCAACCGCGGCTGGGCACTTGGTCTTCGCAATAGCTCGGACGCCCTCAGACGAGTCATGGGCTTGGATACCGTGCCCGAGATCGCATCTCACAATGGACGCACCTTGGGCGAGCAGGTCTCAGAGACTCTTCACAACTCTGCTGGTACCAATTTTGGTAGTCGACGTGCTTCTCACCGTGTCTACGATCGTGCTCGTCGTTCCGGAGGCATCTTCGATCCCGATGCTATCCCTGAGCTTGCTGGACTTTCTGGTGTTATTCCCCGACACAATGACCGCATTGGCATTGCTCGAAGCGACTCCCTTATCGAGCAGAAGAGCACCAAGTCGACCCGTCGCCGATCATGGACGATGGACTCGAACGCCAACGCCTTCGAAAACACCGACGATTACGACTCTGATGACACCCTGAAGGCCGGCTATTTCGCTGCTAGCAAGTCGACGCCTGCCCACGAGAAGACTTCGGTCAAACGATCCGCCGATGAGATGTTGTCCGCCGCCAATCAGGCAATGGACGTCAAGAAGACATATGGTGGTATCCCCCGCTCTGACGCAATGGCTAATCTGAGCTCGCAAGTTGCCAGCTCGATGGGCAACTCGACCACCAACTCAACCCTGTCAAGCTTGTTCTCTTCATACGCTTCATTCGACAATGGACCTAGCGCCAAGAAGGCCAGCATCAGTCCTCTTGGAACAGCGGCCGAGGCCTTGGGATCTCACCCCGTCAACTTCGCGAGCACTGGCCGCATGGTTACCGAAGCCGGTACCCCCATGTCTCAGATAGTCGACGATGACGATGAACGCTTCATCAGCAACGAGGGTCATCAGCGTGACTACGCCACTCGTGATGACGTTATCCCCAGTCGTCTGGCGACCATGACACCCATCGAGGAGCGCAGTGAGGTTGCAACAGTTGCTTCCACTCGCTGCAGCAAGCGTGGCAGTGCCGGCAACTAAATCCCCATCTTCTTCTTCACATCCCTGCCTTACTTCTTGTCTTTGTGGAGTTCCACAGACCCAAAAGAAGAAGGCACTGGAAAACTCTCAGCAGCGTTTTCCTCCTATCAAGACGGGACTCTCCTCTCGAGCCTTCTTTGAGCATCTTCTGTCTAAGGACCGAAAAGTTCTTGACCCTTCCCAGTACAGCCTTCTACTTCTGTCCTACCTACCCACCATACTTTTGCCTCTTGAGCATTTCTCTTCGGTTCAGATGCATTTGTGCGTAAAACCGTGCCTGCCTACAAGGAATGGCAGGGACATTACGTACGCATGCGAGGTACTTTCCAGAATTTCGACTCTTCACTCTCGTTGTGGGGCAATGGGGGCTGTACCTAATGGTGTGACGCGTATGCGTTTCACTGGATTTGACATGAATCTTGATTTCAGAAAAAGAAAACAAAAAAAAGAGGGAAAATAAGAATACAAAAATACGTTCTCACTACGAGCTTTGCATTTGCCTGCGGATTATTTTCCAACGAGCCGGCCCGTCGATAATCGTTTCCACGCAGGACGAAAATTTGATGATGAGGACTGGTTTCTACGCACAAGATTGCGATTGGCTCTTTCACGGACATTTGGTTCCGCGTGGTTTCCAGAGAACTTTGAGATTTGCCAAGAAAGGGGGTTGGAATTGGAGCATGTGGTAGCCATCATGCTGAAGCTTGACTTCGAAGTTGGCTTCCATTGACAAATTCGACAACCGACTTGACACTTGACAAGGGCGTTTCAGACAAATTCAGTTGTATGTATAGGTTCATAGGCTATAAGGCTTCAGGTAAAGCTTGCGAATGAAATCTTCACGAACAACGATGTTCGTTATTCCCAAGCCAACTTGTATCGTGATGTATTTCTTTGACCGTATGCAGTGACAATGATTGCCTTGGGGGCCCTTGTCAAGGTAAATCATGATCAAGAATAGAAGGCCGGAAAGCGGATCAGGGAAAGATGAGCCAGCACAGGTTGCCCGTTGAAGCAAAACGATGTATGTGGTTGGCCTTCATTGAGTGAACACGATTGCTGAAGGTTGCCTTTGGTCCCCTGCCGAGGTAAATGCATGATTGCAAAAAGGTTAGAAAGGGAACCAGTGAAAGACGAACAAGCAAGCATGCATTGATTAGAAAGGGTATCGATGTTGAGTCATCTCCAAAACATTACAAAGTTGTCTAGATGGCGCGAGCAGCACGAGCGCGGTTCTCACGATTCCTCTTCTCCTTCGTTGCCGTCTTTCTCCGCTTCTTCCACGACCGATTGAGGTCCCCACGATTCTTCCAGAACCAATCCTGAAACTCGCTGTCTTGTGGCTTGGACCCATCTGTGCCAGCGGCCTCAACCATAGCCGTATCCTCATGAGCCTCCTCAGCCTCCTCCTCGTCTTCTTCCTCCAGAGCCTCGTCCAGAGACCCCTGTTGCGACCACAGATTGTAGGATCGACTGGGATGTGCCGTGTCAGGAGTTGGCGCGGCGCTGCGGATATTTCTGAACTCGAAATCCTCCTTGGTATAAGGCGTCAGAGGGACTTGGCTGGGACGCGCGACAGCGGAGGCGTCATCACCCTCCATGTCATCCTCATTGTTGAAGAAGCTAAAGGGCTTCGACTCTTTGGCTATACCATTGGGAGTTTGCGCATCACCCTGCGTTCGCTTGTAGAGCGCCTCGAGGGGATGGACCTTGGCGGGAGCTGGAGTAACTGGCGGTATCTTGATGGTGAGACTCGTGTTGGACCCAGATGACCTGGGCCGCGATGAATCGGCAGTCTTGACGGCAGCGAGGGGGCTGATAAGAGTTTTAGAGTCAAGCACGGCCTTCTTGCTTGGTGGTGGTTCCGCGACCTCTTCCTCCGAGCTCTCTTCGGCCTCGTCAGATTCATCGTCTGAAGAGGATGATCCGCTGCTGCTGGTTTCTTCGTCGTCATCCAGCACTGGTGCCGGCTCGGGTGCCTTCTTCTTCTTTGGGGGCGCTATCGGCGCAGGGGGGCCCTTCTTGGCTTTGGCGGGCTCAACGACATCGCCGTTTGCGTCAAGCCACCCCTTACCGTCTTCGAAGGTGACAGGCGTCGGTTTGGTGCCATCAACGCTGGATTTGAGGAAGGACGGGTGCTTGGTGTTGTTCTCAAACTCATGAACCACGATTTGGCGATCATACTTCCGCTTCTTCTTCTTAAAACCATCTGCCTCCCCATCGTCATTGACCACAGCTGAGCTAGGTACCTCGGGTATCTTTTGCTTGAACAAGCACTCGGGTCCGTCGGTGAACTTGGATTGGATCTTTCTCTTCTCCATCTTCTTCTTTTCCTTTTTCTCTTTCCTTGCTGCCTTCTCATCCTTGTCTACGTTGTCTTTGCTCCGCTTGCTCTTGTCCTTGGACTTCTCGCGCTTCTCCTTGATCATCTCATCCTTGGAGACAGTCCAGCCTCGCTTGATTTTGCGATCCTCGAGCTCGACGCCCGCGATTGTGTCGCCATCTCGTTTCCTCTTCGTGGACTTTTTGTCTTTGTTTCTCTTCTTGAGCTGCTCGGTGCCATCCTCTTCCTCAATAGGCGCCGCGTGTAGTACTGGCTTGGGCTTAGCTGTCTCGACACGGACCTTGGTTCCCTTCAAGACGGCGCCGTTGAGCTTCTTCTTGATCTTGTCGGCGTCCATGGTGGGCAATTCGACGTAGCCGTATCGCTTCTCTGGGTAGGTCTGAATGGTATGGTAGGAAATGTTGCGCACTTGCGGTAAGACGGAGGCTGGGACGACGATGCTGAGCAGCTCGGCGTCAAAGGGCGTAATGTGCAACCTTGTGTATCCGTCGCTGTCGGCACTGGAAGCGATGGTTGATTTGTTTGGAGTGGTACCTAGGACCATGATGCTGGTGTCATCTAGGGTAATCGAGGAATCAACGGTGTTTCTGAGCTTGTCGAAGGATCTCGGCCGTGAGATTGGGCCAGATCGATCTGGGCGGCTAAATTTCTGGATAAGTCAAAAAAAGATCGAATAGGTTCTCGTTGGTCCACTTTTCCGCTAGATTGGCATAACGCTCGGATCACAATTCTTAAAATACAGGATACATCCTCGCATACTAGCATACCCGGCACGAAGTACTTAAGTTTTTCACATAATTATTATTATTATTATTATTAAATACGCCGTAGGCTCGAAGCCCCCGGTACCTCTACTAGTACTCCCGTATGTCAAACCGTGCCCTAATGGCTGGACTAAATACATACGCTGCGTCGTCGGTTCGCCCTATTGGCGACTGCGTTGCGTTCACTACCATACTACGTTGGTTCTCAACCTACCAACAAAGTCCCCCCTGAGAAGATCGATGCTATCTGGGCCTTGAAGCTGTCCGACCCGTCCCTAGCAGCCATCTTACAATAGTCCCACTAACTACTGGTTCTCTTGTTGCCGTTGCGAGGTCTCTGCGAGAGTATAGTGGCCGTGGTGCGATGGCGGCCCGTAATCGTTCCCTCGGTCCTTCCAACAGCCCGCAAAAGAGGATTACGTGCTCTGCCGTCTCAGGGGCATCGCCACAGCGGCATAGCGGCGAGTACACGCCAAAAGCCCCTGTCTTGAATAAGAAGGCTGCTAGTCCTATTTTTTCCGTCCTGATCTGGCACAGCGTAGACACCTCCAGTCGGTTCAGGCCGAAATACTTGCCCCCTTTCGGTATCTGCATCGAAGGGCCCTCCGGTTCCTCAGCGATAGCGCGTCGCTGGCGATCGTGATGCTCTGCTCCGGTGAGCCATCTCTTCCTCCAGTGGTCGAGGAGGGCAGCCGGGACCTCCTTTTCCTCACTCATCCACTCGGAGCCCCGGGCCTCCTTCTCCATAGTGTACCCTGCCGGTCGGAGTAGCTGCGACGCCTGCTTCCTCTTCGCCGGCCTATCCTGCCGGAGTATATGTGACGCTTTAGCGCTCGCGCTGCGAAGCAGATTTCTCTTCCCGCTAAGTCGTAGCCGTTCTTCAAACTTAGCAGCCCGGGCACTAAGATAGAGGTCTAGTGGCGGGATTGCTGCTTCTGCTTCCAGGTGGCGAACCGGCGTCGCTTTGTGGGCGCCACAGACTACCCGGAGGCACTCGTTCTGTATCCCCATCAGGCTCTTAGCTGGCCCTGCCGGTTCCTCACTTATAGTATGCCACGCAGTCGCCCCGAAGGCAATCGCGCTACGGATAACCACCGTATATAACAGCCTCGCCCGTATAAGATCGCAGCCCCACGACATATTGACTAGCTTTGTCAGGGCTAGCTTTTGAGTTGCCATTTTTGTTTTAACACGCTCAACATGGGCGTGCCACGTCAGTTTGCGGTCGAACCAGACTCCTAGGAACCTGGCTGAGACTACCGGCGACACTGTGGCGTCCCCAAGGCGAATACTTTGCGGCAAGGGCTCTCGGGCCCTAGTAAAGTGCATTAGCTCACTCTTGTCAGGAGCGAACTCCATCCCGTGCCTCACTGCCCACCGCTGACACGTAGCCCATGCGCTCTCCAACCGGCGGCAGGTCGTGTCTGGATCGGTGCCGACGCTTAGCAGGTTCGTGTCGTCCGCGAACCCGACTACTAAAAGTAGTGGATGCTGCTCCGCTAGCTCCTCGTACAGCGTTGAAATGTATAATATAAACAGTATCGGGGATAGCGGTGACCCCTGGGGGACGCCAGCTCGTAGGGGGATTGGCTCTGACTCCTTGCCATCGAACCGGAGGCGTACCGTTCTATCCTCCACGAAGCTGCGTACCCACTCCTGAACCCACTCCGGGTAGCCTTTCCGGGCTAATATGGAAATCAGCCGTCTGTAATTGACCGTATCGAATGCCCTTTCGTACGGGAATAGCTGCATAATATAAGTAGCAGTGTAACCAGGGATCCAATTGACGATAACTAGTTGCCAAGAAATATTTCGATTATTTCGTCAGAGCTGAAATGGAAAATGCAGCCACTTGCGGAAGTGACTTAACAACGCAGCCTAGGTGGAGATTACTCGCTTACATTTCAACATTTCCCTGCATGTGCAATCAGTGCCTAGGAGACTTCTCTCATCTGATAGAATTCTGGATACTATCTCGGAAGTTTTAAAAATGGTGCGCTCCTTCTGGATACTTTTTGCCTTGAGTAAAGCGTATGTAGGACCTAATAGTGTGAAGATACATAATTTCTAGGCTAATGATGAAGAACTCCTCAATGGTCTGCAGACAGGCATGTCAGAAGGAGTTTCCCACAATTTGGTGAGCTGACACACAAGCCTCGCAATCTCTCCACTCCATCCATTGACCGTCTCGACGGATGGATAGCTTCGAGATTTTAGCCAAATGGATGTATCCACCAATAGATTCCATAGATAATTTGGTATGTAGTCCATCCATCGAATCCATTCACCGTCGGGTTACCCCTGGTGTGGCGGAGGGCGGTCTCTAGGTGCACACGAATGTGGCTCTTTTTACACTTGGTAATAGCTTGTTCTGTCACTGTGTCGCATTCCTATCGGTGGTAAGCATTTATCTGATACGCTGCCTCGGGGGCCTTGCAAATATATCTCAAACAGGTAATTTAATAAGTCATTACAGATCATGTTACCAGCTAGGACTTCTATGGATAGAAGATTCTATGAATAACGTAGTCCACGGTCCAATTGCACACTTCGGCAGATTTTCGTACACTACCACTTTGACCTGCGGTTTTTCACCACATAACTATGGTTGGTTCTTGGAATGAAAGTGATATGATTCTAGCATTACATGCGCTTCAATCTGATCCAAAATTAAGTGTACGTCGTGCTGGTCAGATCTATAACGTACCTTTTAGAACCCTTGCGTATCGACGCGACGGTAAAACCGCTCGAGCGATTACGCGATCGCCAACGCAAAAGTTGACTCCTTCCGAAGAAGAGGCAATCGTACGACATATAACCGACCTAGATTCGCGAGAATTTCCTCCCCGATTGAGTGGTGTTGAAGATATGGCCAACCGATTACTTCGAAGTCGCGACGCGGGACGCGTCGGCGTCAACTGGGCCTCGAGCTTCGTAAGACGACAACCAGACCTCCGGACGCGTTTAAATCGAAGGATCGACTATCAGAGAGTCCTCTTCGAAGACCCCGACGCGTATCGCGCGTGGTTTCACCTGGTACGGAATACAATTGCGAAATACGCGATCCAGGAGGAGGATATCTACAACTTCGACGAGACCGGTTTTGTGATGGGCCAAATCTCGTCCGAAATGGTCGTGACGACTTCTGATCGGCGCGGAAGGCCTATAGTAGCTCAGCAAGTAAATCGGGAATGGGTTACAGTTATTCAAGGCGTTGGGTCGTCCGGTTATGCCCTCCCTCCGTACATCATTTTCGCCGGCAAAACCCACCTCTCGTCATGGTACGAAAACAGCCCATTACCGCCTGATTGGGTTATCGCAGTTACTAAAAATGGCTGGACTACGAACGAAAGAGGCGAAGATTGGATAAAACACTTCGATCATCACACCAAGTCTCGTACGAAAGGTACTCATCGCCTATTGATCCTCGACGGTCACGAAAGCCATCACTCGACCGATTTCGAGGTATATTGCAAGCTAACAATATCGTCACGCTTTGTATGCCTCCTCATTCGTCGCATAAGCTCCAGCCTCTTGATGTTGGTTGTTTTCGCGGGTTAAAAAGAGCGTACGGAAAAGAAATCGAAGATCTCATGCGAGCACATATAAGTCATATCTCAAAAGAAGACTTTTTACTGGCGTTTTTAAACGCGTACAACGCAACTTTCACGGTTTCAAATATCCAAGGAGGTTTCTGAGGGGTAGTAATAGTTCCGTATGATGCAGATTATGTCATATCACAGCTCGATGTGAAATTACATACGCCAACACCTCCGGGTAGCTCGGCTAGTCTCCCCGTCCCTTGGGAATCAAAGACTCCGAACAACCCAACCGAAGCCCAATCACAAACCGATTATGTGAAAAATAGGATTTTACGACATCAAAATAGGTCACCAAGGTCAATTTTTGCTGGAATAGATCAGATTGCGCCAGGTACAACGAAGGTTATGCATCGGCTTGCCCTTTTAGAAGGCTCGGTCGAATCACTTCGAAAGGCAAATGAGACCTTAAGTCGACGTCGCCGTGAGAAGCAAAAACAGCTACAGAGTGGAGGGTCACTTTGTATACAAGATGGACAGGACCTACAGTCTCAACGAGAGGTTGATGAGCAGTTACATGCCGAATTTCGTCAAATTGGTGGTCGTACGAGGCGGCGAATTGCGCGTGTACGGCGCCGTAGAATCTGCGGCGAGCCCGGACATAATGCGCGCACTTGTGGAAATGATGTAAAGACGTCTGAAGATAACAATTCTGAGTAGTTTCAATTGATGATAGGCGTTGTAGTTGAATTAACTTATACATTTTCATATAAGGTCTGCCAAAGTGTGCAATTGGACCGTGGACTACGTTAGAAGATCAGTGATAATGGAGAAAAAGTACCGGGGGTGGGGGGAATACAGATATATAAAGTGATGAAACGAGACCTCTCTGCTCCCATTCATCATTACTCCCAGAACAAAGAATAGCCAGATCAACAGACTTAAATATCAGTTAACCGCGCAACAAACCTCGCAAAATGCAATTCTCCGTTTTCTCAGCCATCCCCCTCTTCACTGCTGGCGTCCTCGCTATGCCCAACCCAGAGACAGGTAACCTCGAGGCACGTACCGACTGTGGTAATATCGTGCCGGCCTGCTTCGGCGGTTCGAAACAGGATGGTAACGTTGCTTGCCGCTGCACAGGTCAGGTCGAGCCTTGTGATCCCTGGTATTGCCTTGGAAACGGTCCAAACTTCGTAAGTATTCCACTTTAACTTACTGCTGCTCACCTGCCCGCTAGTACAGCACTGATACGTGACCCCATGGGGGGTTGCCCTATAGCTAGAGATAAGATAGATAAGAGCTATAAAAGAGCTCTGCCAGGCCAGAATAGCTGACCTGGCCATCCTTTCCCAATACAACAATTCACACCCCATATGCACTCGCATCAAGCACATACGCTATGCCCCCCTCTTCCTATCTAGATAAAGTAAAGAATTACTGCTAACAGAATTTGTCCTACCTACAGCTGGTCTGTGGCCAGAACGGATCGGGATGCGTATTCATTGTGTGATTGTGTGATAGGACTGGACCTGGTGGAGTAGTGTACTGGGGGAAGGCCGGACTTCAGGGTTATAACGTGTCAGGGGCTGGGGGACTTTCTTTTCTTCAAGTGCGCAGCGGCAGTTTTTGTCGATCATTATCTTCTTTTCTCAGTCATTCACTTAGTTTCGATTTACTTATACAGACATTCAGATAGAGCTTTAAAGAATCAATTCCTTTTGCCTTTATATTAGCTACAGAAGGTTTATTTCGTTGTAACTAGACTAGTGTAGTACTAGTGATAGCTTTATTTAACTCTCGGAGTTAGGCGCCCTACCCTAAGAATCATCCTATTACTAATATAGAGGACATATTGACGTGGGGTTAGGGTTTTTGGGTGCTCGTTTTCGTTTTTTCCGGTTTCAGACGAGTTATGTAAGCGCGTTCTTGAAGGGTATTTAAGACCTTATGTACATAGTCACTCTCTTGAGAAAAAGATAGAAATTCAAGCGGCCTTTTCCAAAGTCATCTGAACCAATTTCTCTTTACTTGGACAGGCATTCAATGTCTGACGGGCCTGTTGAGGTTCCTTTTCTTCCCTAGCCTGCTGAGGCTCTAGTTGTTCGTACCTGTTGAGGTACTTGTTGTTCTGATCAGAGCTAGAAGAGCTCTTGATCTTGTTATTTCTTTCCACCTCCCGGATAGTAAGGTCTTGTTGAGGATCTTGTTGTCCGTTGTCATCATCTTACACCTTAAACCTGCGGATGATTTCACTGCCCGTCGTCAATATATCATTATAACCTTGATTCGTATTGTCACAAGAGGAGGACTAAGCCCCTAGGCCAATAGACCAAAAGATCTAGAAATGTCAGTGTTACTGACATTTGGTCTCACTAACTGCTATATACAGCACTATGTGGCTCTGTAATCGCCAGAGCTGTGACACGTACTCGCAGTACCTCTGCCTCATCACAGATACGGTAAAGCGGAAGCTCTGGCCAGACCAAAGCTAATACCTCTAGGAAGATGTGGTTAAGTTAGGTATTACGGAACCGCTATATAGAAATAAGCATATTCCTGTAAACGGATGCGATAAGCTACGGCTAGTAGAGAAAGATAATACTTGGATAGATAAAATAGCGTATTAACAGGCTATTAGGATCCTATTATTTACTATAGTTTATACTGAAACGGGGTCAGGCGGTCAGTAGGATATACCCACCACCTAACACAATGGTAAGACAGCTCCAGCACTCACGAATTCCATCTGAGGTCTGATCAGACGAAGCTCGTAGTGCTGGTTTCGGAAGCTCAGCTCCTAGAAGCCTTATGACTCTCCGGGAGTCGAAATGAAGCTCTCACTAGCACTAGGTTGGTCTGATCAGGACTAAATAGAGCTCTCTATAGTTATCAAGGCTAAGGTGAAGACGGAAGAATGGATTCTTGAAAAGCTATGTCTGAATGTATAAACGAATAAATGAACTGAAAGCTAAGTGATTGACTAAGAAGGGAAGATGATGATGAAGATGATTATCTGTTCGAGAAAAGAAGATGAAGGCCAAAATGATCTGTCTCTGCGCACTTCTTGAAGAAAAGGAAAGAAAGCTCCCCCTGCCCCTGTCAACTTATTACACTGAAGACAGGCCTTGCCCCACTACAGTATCTACCGACGAAGCCGAGTATATCCCTATATACTCTACTATAAATTTAGGTTAATAGACTACCTAATGTCAGAGAACAGAATGCCATAGGCACCGGTGGGTGTCAGGACACTGAACGCAAGACACCGGTGGGGCGCCGGAGGGGTGTTTCGGACAAAAGACTCCCGAGTCATGATTACAATCTATGTGAAGCTTTGGGATGACGAGAGTCAAGATCCTCGGCATCGCCGACCCTGCTGTTATGCCGGGTCCAAGCGGCGGCCTAGCTATCTATATAAGGACCATCTCGAAGTAGGATAGGGAAGGAGTAGAGATCAATGCATCATCGTGGGCACCCCTACCTGAGACCGCCAGTGACCACACGGTGCTACGTAGGAGGGACGCCCGTTACTCCCCATCACTCTGTACTATTGCCTTCGGCCTAGCCGTACCCTGACACCTAAATCCTCCACGACATAGGATTCCCTTAGTATATTGGTCCTAACCCTAATACCATAGCTACAAAAGGAGATAACTAGGGAGTAATCCCTCTACTCTAGAACCCCTATTTATACGAGCGCTTAAAGTATATTGATATCTACTACTATTACATCCGCGACCTCGAAGAGAAGAATAGGATCAAGGTTAACGATATTCTAATATAGAAGATGGTAGTTGTGAAGGTCAACCCTCGCAGACTCACTACAACCAGGTGACTTACAGCTGGAACACCTGCCATGGCAGTGTCAGATGGGAAGCCAATCATAACCCTTGTAGGAGCCCCGCCAAGCGTGGATGACTTAGTCGCGCTCCCTCAAACCTAAGTTGTCATCTTCTTTCCTTCGCTCCTTAGAGTAGAATCTTCGTCGATAGCACCTAATCGAGGTCTCTACCAATGCGATGCAACCCAGGTCGTGACAGTAGTAGATGAATTTACCAAGCTACTTAAGAAGCTTTAGTTCTGTCACGCCGTGCTAGGGGTTGCAATCCTTGCCACTACGCCACCGTACCAGATGTCTTCACCAAAAGAGACCAATACCAAAGTCCCTGACTTTGATATCTGCAACCACTTATCAATTTGTTCAGACCAGTGTAGGTCAATCACGTGACAACCGTCACAAGTTCCCTAACTTCAGAAATATACTTAGAATAAGGGCCGTTAGGAAGTAGTAGAAGCTGGAATTTAGTAGGGGTTACTTTATAACTAATGTTTAACCTCGCCGGATCTAAGTAGGAGTGTTAAAAAAGACGGTAGTAACTTCTATAGTTAATAGCTCCGGTAGGAAGTTATTACTATATTAAGATAGAAGGACCAATACTGATGCGTGCACCTAGGGGGAGGATGCTATAATGCAGCAGTGCGCAACGTTATAGTATCTAATTGAATGGGATTCACCTAAACAGTGGGTCCCCCTACCTTTTCGTATCAAATACAGTTATAACGTAAAGACTCTAACTTCGCTTAAAAGTGGAATCTCAAGAGGGAGGACCAGAGTTTGTAAGACTCCTTCTTGATGAAAAACTTATAAGTTGATAATAGCTTCTAGTCAATTGGAACTTAGTGCCACAAGCGGCACGGTATAACTTCCACACGGCCTATACTGCCTCAATCGACAATGAGATGGTTATTATGCGAGCAACGAAACTGCGGCTTCAGCGTTCGCTTTGTGCATAGGCACTGGGCATTTTCAGATATCAATAGCCTGCAAATTATATGGCCAATCTTTTGGCTCGGGCTTGAAATCTACCAATGAACCTAGCTATGGCAGGGCGTTATTCTACCTTTTAGGTTTCACCACCTCAGTCGAGGTCAAGACTCTTAAGAAAGCCTTAAGCTTGACTAAGATTTGCGAAATCAGCAAATCAGCTCAATGCCGTCGGCAGCCCCAAGAAGCAAACAACAAGCTAAGGTACTTGTAGGACCCCGCGTACAACGCAATGAAGTTCATAAGAAGCAGCTATTCCGAACTGACACATATATAGCAGAGCCACGGGCTGATTACCGGGTCTAGACCACTGATTCATGCAATCTGTCTACTTGCCAAGGCTCGAGTACGTCTATCCAGTGTTAGCCGCAAACTGCACTTCATGGTGGGAACCCCACTTTCCCTGGCCTGAAGCCTAGCGCTACCATTTTCCTCATTCAATGCCGCTACCTTCCTCCCTGGACACTCACAAGCACTGCGAACTGCTTCTCCTTACGGACATCCTGTAATCTTGTGAACTTCCTTTTTTTAGTACTCAACCCCACCAACCTTTGGGTAGTTTGTGAGTGGAAATCCTATACAAAAGTATTTCTACCGATCACCTGCCTGAGCCTTCCGAGGCAGCCGGGCTACCCATTCGGGTGCCGGTTACTCTATATATTGTCCCTTGTACCTATGGAGTGGTAGACAGCTTCTTGGGGAATCACAACGTGAGCACATTTTCCAAACTCTTCTCACCTACTTCACCTGCTTGGGTGTTGCAGTCGTAATAGGAACTCTGCATCCAGAACAACGCCGAGGCAAGGATATGAGAGCTCCTCTCATCGGTATTGCGTGAATTAGATTGGTATCCCCAGGAAGTCGGGAGCATGATCAACCTGAACAATGTACTCGCAGATGGTTATCTCTCTCATCCACTAACGCCTTGAAACTCGCATGAGTCGTGCAGCACGAGCAAATCTGTCGTTAATGAGAGCGGCTGCGTGATAGCATTATACAGTTCATGCTCGGCACTAAGCTTGAAGACGTAATGCGTCCGGCGCCGCACGATGCAACTTCATATGCTGCACTGATTTCAAACAAGTAACGTGTCTGACATCAATTGACAAGATCAGTGCAAGATGTATACAGGCACCTAGGCTTGATTAGGCAATGCGTCCGGCGTTGTGTCTCTGCCTTCTTGATTGGCCCGTTCTAATACGTGGACTCTGATCGACTACTGGTGGTCGGTCAGCTTCAATGATTATGCGCCTGGGCTAGCCAAATGTACACGGAGCTCTATGCAGATGACATACAGCCCTGATTTGTTATAACCGTCCACCACGGGTATATAAATGATGCCTCTCATCGATCATATAATCAGCAAAAAGTTCTCTGATCTTGATTATATAGTCAATACGAGATACTGTGAAGTTGTGACCAAGACCGCATCACCCCTGAGAACCTCAAAGAAGCATACAATCATGTCCATCACAGACAAATCCAAACCCTACTTCCCTCTAGCCAACGATGGCTGGTCCAAGGAAGATGAAGCGACGGTCACATGCTTCTGTGGCGCCGTGCAACTGGCATTTGTAAGTTGGAGATGGTTGAGCCTGTGAATAGATATCAGCTACTGCATTCTCCTTTTTCCATTTCAAGAACCCACCTTGCCCAAGTCCATAAGCTATGCTCTAACGAACCACAAGCCAACCCAAGGCCCGGGCCTAGTCAACACCTTCGTCTGCAACTGCACCGATTGCCACATGATCACGGCATCCCAGTTTGCATCCAACTTCACCGTCGCCAACACGCACCTCAAGCACCTGCGTGGCCAAGACACCCTCAAGACATTCGCGCAGTCACAGACCATCGCCAGTGGAAACATGATGACCAATCACTTCTGTTCCACCTGTGGCACCCTCATGTACCGCGTAAGCTCAGGCTTCCCGCACTGGAGTATCCTGCGCATTGGCACGATTGACGACTTCACTCTGCAACACACCAAGTTGAAACCCCAGAAGGAGATTTCATTGAGCAACGATTGGACTGGGTACGTGCCATCGAGGGCGTCCCCCAAATTGAGGGCATGGGCTCTCGGGACCAGCAGCACAATGGCACCGTTTGAACTGTGAACCATAGTCTTTATCAATAGGACGTAGGTAGTATGGAATCCGTGTCTCTACCTGTTGCGTAAGGCATCCCAGGATGTTTTCTCCAATCGAACCAAGGGTGTCTCTCGTAGAAATGAAAACAAGAAACACTTTTCATACCCTAAACAGAGAATTATGTGAAGGTTCGATGGCAAGGAGTCAGAGCCAATCCCCCTACGAGCTGGCGTCCCCCAGGGGTCACCGCTATCCCCGATACTGTTTATATTATACATTTCAACGCTGTACGAGGAGCTAGCGGAGCAGCATCCACTACTTTTAGTAGTCGGGTTCGCGGACGACACGAACCTGCTAAGCGTCGGCACCGATCCAGACACGACCTGCCGCCGGTTGGAGAGCGCATGGGCTACGTGTCAGCGGTGGGCAGTGAGGCACGGGATGGAGTTCGCTCCTGACAAGAGTGAGCTAATGCACTTTACTAGGGCCCGAGAGCCCTTGCCGCAAAGTATTCGCCTTGGGGACGCCACAGTGTCGCCGGTAGTCTCAGCCAGGTTCCTAGGAGTCTGGTTCGACCGCAAACTGACGTGGCACGCCCATGTTGAGCGTGTTAAAACAAAAATGGCAACTCAAAAGCTAGCCCTGACAAAGCTAGTCAATATGTCGTGGGGCTGCGATCTTATACGGGCGAGGCTGTTATATACGGTGGTTATCCGTAGCGCGATTGCCTTCGGGGCGACTGCGTGGCATACTATAAGTGAGGAACCGGCAGGGCCAGCTAAGAGCCTGATGGGGATACAGAACGAGTGCCTCCGGGTAGTCTGTGGCGCCCACAAAGCGACGCCGGTTCGCCACCTGGAAGCAGAAGCAGCAATCCCGCCACTAGACCTCTATCTTAGTGCCCGGGCTGCTAAGTTTGAAGAACGGCTACGACTTAGCGGGAAGAGAAATCTGCTTCGCAGCGCGAGCGCTAAAGCGTCACATATACTCCGGCAGGATAGGCCGGCGAAGAGGAAGCAGGCGTCGCAGCTACTCCGACCGGCAGGGTACACTATGGAGAAGGAGGCCCGGGGCTCCGAGTGGATGAGTGAGGAAAAGGAGGTCCCGGCTGCCCTCCTCGACCACTGGAGGAAGAGATGGCTCACCGGAGCAGAGCATCACGATCGCCAGCGACGCGCTATCGCTGAGGAACCGGAGGGCCCTTCGATGCAGATACCGAAAGGGGGCAAGTATTTCGGCCTGAACCGACTGGAGGTGTCTACGCTGTGCCAGATCAGGACGGAAAAAATAGGACTAGCAGCCTTCTTATTCAAGACAGGGGCTTTTGGCGTGTACTCGCCGCTATGCCGCTGTGGCGATGCCCCTGAGACGGCAGAGCACGTAATCCTCTTTTGCGGGCTGTTGGAAGGACCGAGGGAACGATTACGGGCCGCCATCGCACCACGGCCACTATACTCTCGCAGAGACCTCGCAACGGCAACAAGAGAACCAGTAGTTAGTGGGACTATTGTAAGATGGCTGCTAGGGACGGGTCGGACAGCTTCAAGGCCCAGATAGCATCGATCTTCTCAGGGGGGACTTTGTTGGTAGGTTGAGAACCAACGTAGTATGGTAGTGAACGCAACGCAGTCGCCAATAGGGCGAACCGACGACGCAGCGTATGTATTTAGTCCAGCCATTAGGGCACGGTTTGACATACGGGAGTACTAGTAGAGGTACCGGGGGCTTCGAGCCTACGGCGTATTTAATAATAATAATAATATTATGCAGCTGGGTTGTAGTCACACGCATTATCAATGCTGTGGTAGGATAGGACCATACGAAAGTACATATGGTGGGGGCTGAAGGCGAGAAACTATACGGTACCTGCAGCTGTGTTAGCCCGCCGGCCTCAGCTCAACCGGCCTGATCTCAGAGGTCATCCAATAACATTCGGGGGCCTCAGGTCTGTGAGGATTCAGGGAATCCTAATCCCTCTGTTCCTCATACAGCTGTCTCTCCGCTATCTACCAAACCCAGCGGAACAAGCGGCAAAAATATCAGCTAAGCCACCCACCTCCTTTTCCAGGAATCTGAATGAACAGGGTTGAGATTACGGGCACAGGAGTCCTGAGACCAAATACGGCTTTTCCCAGGTACCCTAAATGCATGAATACATATAAAAGACAACAGCCGTTAGATGAAATGGTATGATATAAGTCTCATCTCTGTGTATCTATCGCCATCATGTTTCTCCCCGCAAATTCATGCCGGCGTGGCTTTACTGCTACTCTTTTAGCAACAGTCGTCCTATTCTGCCTCTTTATTGATTCTACGACTGCAACAAAAATCAGAGATGGCTCGGATCCAGCAATTATGAAAATCGATGACACATATTATTCCGCTGATTCAGACGGCGGGTCTATCTGGGTTCATGCTGCATCGTCATTTGAGGGTCTCAGTACCTCTGATGGTCACAAAGTCTGGTCTGACACCGCTGGCAGAGGAGAAGTCTGGGCTCCCGAGATCACCACAGATGGGGAGCAGTCGCTATTCATCTGCCGCATGAGTGACCCGTTCACGCCGACCGGAAGTCGATACATCATTTCCCAGCCGCGTGAGACATGGGAGCAAGGCGACCACCCCATGATCAATGAGGGGCCTGAGGCCATAGTCGATCCGAACGGACAGCTACACATTGTCTACTCGGCCAATGGCAGCTGGGACAACAAGTATTGCCTCGCTGACCTTCGCCTTCGCAAGGGCGGCGACCCAACGAATGTGTGGGATTGGTATAAGTCGAATGGTTGCCTTTTTGGTTCACATCAAGACAGAATGATGAGCGGTTGGGATGCAACCCTCTACATCGATGGGCCCGGCCATCACACTTTCGCACTGCCTAACGGCGATATCAACAATAGTCCCGGTGGGATGAATCACATCCCCTTTGTATTCCATGGCGTCGAAAAGGGAACTCCATACAACTGGGGCAACCGAGCTTGGTTCACCGGCAGTTTCGTCTGGTGGAACGAGACAACTTACCACCGCAGTAATGTGCCAGGAGACAATGATAATACTGGCTTCAGCTTCAAGTTCTTTGAATGACTTGTGTTGAGTCGCAAATCCACAGCAGGTAGTCAACAACCTGATTGGAGTACAGCCGGCATGATTGCCACTATGATGATGAATTGTTTATACACCACGAATGTTTTGCTGTTAGGCTAGGTGGAAAGAGCAGTATGGATCAGAGGGACCCAGTGTTTAGATCACCAAGCTTGGAATATCTTAGTCGAATTTCAGTCTCTTCAGTCCTGATCTGCCGAATCGGCTTATGGTGTTAGTTATCTATCAGTTTCCTCACTACCAACTGCACCATAGGCTTTCCATGCAGTTTCGATGCCGCCGTGCAAGGTGACCAAAGGTGTTGTCATAGAAATGAACATCAGATGTCTTTTCTGCGCGTCGTTATCATTTTGCGTCATGATCTCAGAGCTATCTTGGATCCACTGTCTTTTTGACTTATAACCATTTTTGATGTGTGGGCGTGCTCATCCTTTTGAACCTTGGACAGGTTATGGCTTTTGCGCATGACTTCCCGGGTCTTAAGGGCCCGAAAACCTCTCCATGTGGCCCATATGTTCGGCATAAGTTGAGAGAACAGAAGATAACCCTCAGTAAAAGGTTTGATAACTTATTGAGATGTGAAGTATATCGTTGAACAAAGAAATAGCAAGGGAATATGGCGATGTTGGCATAAGATCGTTCAGGCCAAGGACATGAGCAAGGAACACTGCCTTAGAAGGGTCGGGGTTGACCGAATAGTTACCGAGAATCCTTTGTAATAGACCAGTGCACCTCATCTACCCTTGAGCAGTAAAGACAAGTCACCACGGGAACTGCGTCCTCCCCAGCCTCTTTGGTCTGAAAAACCTGTTACGAGCGCATGTAGTATCAGAGCCTAATCGCGTCCTTCAAATTCAGGGCACACCACACCATATGACTTCCAAGGACATGTCGGGTGCGAGAGATTTAAGCAGTGTGGCGTAATAGCCGGCTGACTGGCATTGGGCGCGGTATGCCGGATCTCACTATCTAGAAATTACAAAAGCAATATTACCGAGGTGGACCATCTCGGAATGAGGCACGGACCTTCCTCGTCCCACCTTCTCAGCTTTTACCGACAACGGGTGTCTCCGCTTGCTGCTCAACCTTTTTGTGACGTCGCAGCGTCGCAAATGGATTTGGCAACTTCACCAAATTTAGACGACCAGTGACTTGATTTCAGTGGTTTACCATGGCTCCCAAGATCCCTCCTGTGCGATTTGTTAAAACGGTATGTTGATGAACGATTGGAATATGCCTGCGAGTGAGTTTATTTGACGTTTGAAATGCAGGTCTTGAAGTCCTTCATGGCTGAGTCGGGTCTTGAGCCGAGGTCAGGAAATGACCCATCCTAACACAGTTCGCCGGGTTCTGATTGATTTTTGACCCTAACTTCGTGTCCAATGTATAGGCTATTCGGATCTCATGTGTGTACTTGAAGCTCCCAAATACTAACCATCAATTCACTGACAATTTGATGCTCGCAGCTCCGAATAACCAACGCAGTCCCAGGCAAGGTAGATTTCGAGCTAGATATTACGAAAGAGCACACCGTAAGCCAGTCTAAGGATGTACCGTTTGGTTCATGGCTCTAACGCATACCTTGAGAATCGTCTACAAATCCTCCATGGCGGCACTATTGCGAGCATGGTAGACCTGGGTGGCTCACTGGCAGTCGCTTCTATGGGCCTATTCGCAACCGGAGTTTCGACAGACCTTAGTGGCATGTTCTCTTCCTGTATTTTTGTCAACCAAGATTACTGACCTCGCCCAGTCACGTACCTAAGCAGTGGCGGCAAGGTCGGAGACAAGATCCAGGCCACGGCAGTTTGTGACAAAAGTATTGCCTTCGCACCGAATCCACGTTGTTTCATAAGCTAACTCATAACGCAGTGGGTAAGACCTTGGCATACACATCCATCACATTCAAGAATGCCAAGGGCGAGCTGGCAGCGCGGGGAAGCCACACCAAGTAAGCCGACCCTGCTGTCCATACAGGATCTCGAACATTAGCTGACTTCATTAGGTACGTCACACAGGCCTGGAAAGGGCAGAGCGAAACGTACACGACGCCTGAGGGTGTAGAGACTGACGACGTGGATTAATGCACGTCATTCGCTTACTTACCCTGTACACGTGCGCATGAAGACCATATACATTGGTTTAACAGCATGCGGAGACGCTTTGTTCCAATAGACCTAGACCCCGTAAATTTCAGTCGTATTGTCATATTCTTGTCGGACCGCACGAGCCCTTTTCTAGGTCTTTTGATGCCTGACAGCTATATTCAAGTTTTCTTGGCCATAACTAATTGACCAAGCTGATTACCCCGTGCTATCTGCTCTGGTGCAGTACGTAGTCTTGTATCGTGCTATGTCTTCATGTACTTAGAGGCCGTTATGGCCCATTGCGCTCTTGGACAAGAGGTGGGAACAGAGACACATTCAATTCCATGCTTTTTTATAGCTTGCAACAAGACCAATACTTACGTGATCTAGTGAACAATACACGACGCGAAGCTGGCTGCCATATTTCTCTGACAATCTATCATTCAAGGGTCAATGCTTGAAACACTGACGGTGCTGCTTTTTTCGATGCCGAGACTGCAGTCTTGCCGAAAATGGCATAAATGACATTGAAGAAGGTGGTAGTTCCTTGTAACGTACCTTGACTCAAACTCCCATACTTAACGGTGTTCAGAAGCAGGATGCTGGCAGTGCCAAGGGTTGGAACAACCTCACGATGCCAACCTAGTGAGCTAGGGTTAGCGTGTATATACACTAATATCCTCACCATTCTCCGGACTTTGGTTGCTAATGCTAACCTCACCGGAGGCCCTGGTTGGGCAAACTATTTATTTTATAGTTGCTAAGGCTCAAATAGCTATTTTACCCGTACCAGGGGTCCCTAACAGCCGTATTTTTAGGCAATTTGAAGGTGCTACAGGTCCCTTCCAGGCCTGTAGGACCCCCTATATGAATTATTAGCTTGCAAATCTCTGTAAAATGTCTAGTACTTTGAAACTTAGATGTTATCTTACTATTCTTCAACGCTTAAGCCGCTATCCTTATACTATGGATGGTCTAATTGCCCCTACAACGCCGACTCCGGTAGTATCGCTATCTCGCCAGGCTACTCCGGTACTCCCGGAGGCTCAAGAACTCCTTTTCCATCATTTAGTTGTCCGGTAGGTAGTTGACGGCAACAGGCCATTGACGGAAGTAGAGGATACGAATCTGCGTGCTGTCTGTGAGTACCTATCACTATCGGTCCATATCTAAGGTGGCTATCTATCAGCGCGGTCCGTACGTTAATAAATCGAATCGGAGCACAACAAGTACTGTAACACAGTAAAGGCCGCGCTATAGCGAAGACCTAGCGCTATTCACGTCGCATTTGATAGCTAGACCTCCCGTAACCATCTGGCTATACACGGAATCGCTGCTTTCTTCAGAAATAAGATACCTCGGCCGAAGAAGGTAGTCCTCGGATTGCAAGAAGTTAAGACGCGTCATACTGACCAGGAAACCGGCGCTCGAGTGCATATGGGGTGTGGAATGTTGTATAAGGAAAGGTTGGCCAGGTCAGTTATTCTGGCCTGACAGAGCTCGTTTATAGCTCTTATCTTATCTTATCTATACCTACAGGGTAACCGCCCGCGGGGTCTCGTATCAAACGATATAGAATCGACTAATTTATTAGATAACTTGAATGTACACCGAGCTGGCCACTTTGATGCGCCAACGCGACCGGCCAACTTAATGTTTGATTTTCTCAACAACCAATTATGGCAAAGTCATACAACGAAGCAGACTTAATGCTAGCCCTTCAAGCTCTCAAAAATGACCAAAAACTTAGTCTCCGACAAGCGGCAAAAACGTACCAAGTCCCCCGAAGGACCCTCCAAACGCGTAAAAACGGCGGCTCGCCCTCGTACGGGCCGAGTGCGCTGAGCTTCGAGAGGCAAATAAGATGCTAAGCCGGCGCCGGAGGACTAAAAAAATGCAATTACGGGAAGGAGAATCACTTATTTTCCAAGAAGGACAGGACCTACGGGACTCTAGGGAGTTGGCGACGAAGATACAGCAAGAAGAGCGCCGAAATGGTGGTCGCGCAAAGCGTGTTGAAACGCGCCCGAGGCGCTGTGGTATTTGCAACGGGACTGGGCATAATGCGCGAACTTGTAAGAACGCATTGCAATCTTCTGGAGAGGAAGATTCAGAGTAGTTTCAATTGATTTACGGCTTTGTGGTTTTACTATCGTAAAATTTCTATGCGAGGTTATGTAAGGGTGGCCAGCTCGGTGTCATGGCCAGCTCGGTGTACATTCACGTTATGTCTTGGTGTAAAGCTTATGATGACCTGAAGTTTGAACAGATACAATGCCTCGGAAACTCAATAAATCAATGATCGATACTAGCATAAGTATCGCCGATGTCTATTGGACACAAAGCCATACTGGCTCTCCGTGGAATACAGTGCACCGGTCTCCTCAACACTTGCGTCACCGAGAAAAAACCTTCCCGCAAACCATAAATAGCTGCTTTTATCAGCTATGCACATTCTAAGCTTATACCGTAATTACTGATGTTGACTTCGCCCTGCTTAAAATATCGGGCAGATTCTCAGAATAGGTTGTATGTTTTATATAACCTGCCTCGGTGTTTGTTTCGTTAGAGCTACCCGTGCAGAGAACATAAATCTAAGACTAATGCTTGCCAAAAACCAGCGATAGTCAGGATCTTCAAGTACAAATCTCCGAGTTTTGATCATTCCTTAAGTAGAGTCGTTGTAATCATTTGCCTCAGGGTTTTCCATGACTCCGGATTAAGAATGGGGTTAAAATTAGCAGCTCGACGTATTACCAATGGACAGGAGAGTTGGAGTTGCAATGTCCCAAATGTTGACAATTCGCGAGACCGACTCCGAGAAGCTGCATAACTGCCAGGCAGGTTGCCAGGTAAATATGTTCAATGCCTGTGTAGCACAGCTATGGCTGTAGTGTCTTCTGATACCGGAAAACTCAAGTAGGGGTTAGTGAAGACAATCCAAGCTGTCACTAAAAAAATCGACAGGTGTTTGGGAACACCAGGCTTGCAAATCCTTTCATGCAAGTTGAAGGATTTGATCCGTCCTGAATACTCTGCGCTACTGGTGTTGCAAGGTTGACAGTGCTCACAAGGTCCAATAGGTCCAAAATATATCCAACACTATATTCGCGCTTTGGCAGTAGGCGCGAGAGCCTCCATATCGTATCTAACCCTACGTACTGTGCCGGCGTAATATATCACACAAGTCATGTCATACATTTTCACACATTTATAGACACCCAGGGAACCGTGTTATCTAGTAAAACGGTGTATTCAATAGGATCCAGCTATATTTAGGTGCATTGTCGGATCCCAAGCACTGGGGCTGTATTGGTACTACGAAGGTGCGCGAGGGAACAATCTCAAGTTGGCCCTGAGGGGAGCTTAAATACTGCAATCCATACCTGAGGCCACGGCTTCTCATATGGGTCTCGCTATCCAGATGTTATGAAACTGATATGACAAGCATCATTCTCATCAACCAGAGGCTTGTACTCTCCTGTATCTACCTTTTTTGATTCATTAGAAAAGGGATGACGCGCACAAAACTGTGAATTAGTTTGACCCATTGTATGTTGATAAACACAAACTCCGCTCGGGAGGACAGAACATGTGCTTTAACGCAAGCAGGACTGCGTAATCCAGTTCACTAGTCTCGAAGATAATACTGAAAGTGCGGTACCATAAAGTCTTACCATACCGGTTGGCCTTCAAGTCTGGCAATGCTGGTGGGCTAAGTGCGGGTAAATGCGGGGGTACGCCGTGCGCTGAGCAAGTTGCATGTAGGATGAAGGACCCCATAATTGCATCTTTTCAGCCTCCCCATAACTGCCGTGATGCGCTAATAAGCCTCCCGAGGTTTTCTCCATTTTGCCGGATCGTGAATATTGAAACCCGAGAAGGTTTTAGACCCAAATGTCGAGTTGACAGAGTCATCATCCATCACCGTCTCTTGTTACTTCTATATGAGTCAAAAAGTACACAGAAGTCACTTGCACTATCCTCTAAGCAGTGGAACTGCAGTTGCCAATCAAGGCCAATCAAGTGCTTGCTAACTTCAAGTCCACGACTCAATGGCCGCCATTGGCAAGTTCAACCGGCCGCTAAATTCTGACTGGCTCACACTAGCTAACATCTTTACAGCTGCCTCTGCAGCGGCCGCCATCGCAGGCTCGCTCTATCTTGATGCCAAATACCATTTGCGGCAGGACTGGACCTTCATCCGAGGCAAGAAGAAGGTGGCGAAGCTCCTTCAAAAAGCAGGTACGCATTGAATCCACGTGGCTCTCCCGTCGCTTTTGCCCCACCTTTGCGATCGGAACACTCACGGATGCCCCCATGCGCAGTCCAGCAGAAGCGCTTGTCACCGTACTACTTCTTCGAGAAACATGCACTGCAGAAGCCCAACGAGGAATGCATCTGGTGGCGTGAGGGAAGCTTCACTTGGGCTGAGGCTTGCTGTCGCGCCCACCAGTTCGCGCAATTCTTTCTAAGCCAGGGGGTCAAACCCGGAGACCTTGTTGCACTGTTCATGGAGAACTGCCCCGACTTCGTCTTTGCATGGCTTGGTCTATGGGCTATCGGTGCGGCCCCGGCTCTGATAAACCACAACTTGACTAAAGCCGCGCTGCTGCACTGTCTGGGCATCAGCAAGGCGCCACTCGTCTTGGCTGAAGGCAGGCCGGAACTGTTGGCCAGCATAGATGAGGTCACGGACGAATTGGCCACCAATGGTGTCAGGGTACTGAAGTTGGCCGAAGTCCAGAGTGATATCAATGCGATGCGGGGCGACCGGCCGAATGATGGGTTGAGGGAGGGTGTAACTCTCAGGTCACCATTTGGGTTGTTCTACACGAGGTAAGACCGTTGTGAGGGTTTATGCTTCCGGTTGATGACTAAAGAGAACAGCGGAACCACCGGCCTACCGAAAGCATGCTCGCTCCCGGCTGTGGCTGCATTCAACCATGGTGTCAGCGTAAGGAGATATAGTACCGAGGTGAAAACTGCATGCGCTGATGAGACGACAGAGAGAATGCGGGCTCGCGATCGTACAAAAGGACAATGAGCGCTACTACGACTGCATGGTAGGAAAATGCACTTGAGAAAACACCATATATGACTCAGCTGACAAGTTGTGTCTAGCCTTTATATCATGGCACAGGGGGTATAAGTGGACTGACACAGATAATGGTAGGTATCCTTGGACTCGCAGGAGATGCATGCTGATGATTCAATCCAGACCGGAACGACACTATGCCTCGCTCCCAAGTTCAGCGCCTCCCGTTTCTGGGACGACGTGCGGGATTCTCGGGCGACTTGGTTTGTGTACGTCGGTGAGACTCTCCGCTATCTTCTGGCCGCGCCACCCTCACCGAGAGACAAGGACCACAAGGTGCATTCGATCTACGGGAATGGTCTGCGGCCTGATGTTTGGAAGCAATTCAGGGACCGCTTTGGCATCGAAACAATTTACGAGTTCTTCAACAGCACAGAGGGGGTCTTGTCTTTGGAAAATCGCTGTCGCGGCGACTTCAGGGCTCACTCGGTGGGTCACCATGGCTTGCTTTTGAGGAACAGGTATCACCATGCCTTTGTACCCGTGGCCATCGACACGGACTCGGACGAGATCATAAGGGATCCCAAGACAGGCTTTGCGGTAAGGGTACCATACGAAGTGGGCGGTGAGATTCTTGTGCTCCAGACAAGTCCTGTCGTGGCGCCGTTCGTCGGCTATCATGGAAACAAGGAGGCCACAGAGAAGAAGTTGGTCAAGGACGTTTTCAGAAAAGGCGATGTGTATTGTCGGACCGGTGATGCCTTGAGACGAGACTCTGACGGTCGATGGTTCTTCCTGGACAGGTAAGAAAATTATAACACAGCCCCCTGGCCTCGTATGACTGACTATAGGGCAGACTTGGCGATACCTTTAGATGGAAGGGAGAGAACGTTTCTACAGCCGAGGTGTCTGAAGTTCTTGGCCGCTACCCTGGTGTGCTCGAAGCTACCGTTTACGGTGTTTCACTTCCAGGTCATGATGGCAAAGCTGGCATGGCAGCCATCTATGTTGACCCCGCAGCCACGCCATTTGACTACAATGGCTTGTTGAAGTAAGTGTGACTAACTTGGAACTGAAGGATATATGCTAAACTATCAGACATGCCCGGGCTCACTTGCCGAAGTACGCCGTGCCGATTTTCCTGCGCCAGATCAGCGAGCGTTCCGCTACGCACAATAACAAACAGAATAAGGTGCCATTGAAGAACGAGGGCATCGAACCAGCCAAGGTGAAGGGCGACCCGCTGCTGTGGATCAGCTATAATGGGAAGAAGTCCACCTATGTTCCGTTCACCGAGGGCGACTTGGAAGCCCTCCATGGTGGCCGGGCAAAGTTGTAACCGCACTCCACACAGAGTATGTACGAGACGGTCAGATTGTTGCTCATACACTGCACATAAGCGTCATAAATACGTTATGTAGGGATGCTCCATAGGATGACTTGATGGTAGGATGTACGGAACGTAGGCAAGAGGGTCTGGTCGCGAACAAGAATTTCTTGCATCGAGGGGGTATCTCGACCAATACAACCGGATGGGCCTAGGATCGTGAACAAGTAGAGCCGGAAGACGCAAGCGTCCATATCGATCCTCAGTTGCTTGGGTACATATATAGGAATCAGCCATAAAATACATCACTGCAAGCAAGATCGTCATACTGCAGGCTTGAGTCCCAACCGCGCCCCTCTCTCATGCACCTTCAACCGGGGCATGCGGGGAACATACCCTTCACGGGCCCAACCTGCTCGGTGTAAGTTCGCCCGGCCACGGGGCCCAGCGTAGATGTCACTCTGCTAACTGCAGGAAACAGAAGCACATCGTGAGACGAATACTGGACGAGCCAACGCTCTGCCATACCTCCTCTACCATGAACCTCGCACGGGTATGGGGAGCGCCCGGCTTCGCTCCATCTTCAACACAACTGGACGTGCGGAAAAATTGAACTAGTGCTGACTGTCGACCCCGAACCTCTGCAGGACTGAACTCTATGAGAACTTCAAGGATCGTGCGGGGAAAAGGGCGGCGGAGAAAATCTACCGGCGTAGTGCCCAAATTATAACGACAAATCATATCCTCTCCAAAGATGGAAACGGAACTGATGCCGGTATTTGACAGTGGAGTAGGCCCCATGGGGAAGACCTTAAATTCTTGCAGGAACCCGCCATTATGAGTAACTGGTCGTTCAACATCCGCCCTGCCCACGGGCACGCAGCTTGTTGACCATGGTATCTAGGAGACTGCTCCGTCTGCTTGCCCAGGCTCTCTCTGTGAACAGCCTCCCAGGTAACCGCAATGTAGCCACGGGCCCAACTGTAAACCTTGGATACTCGATCTATGAAGGCGTACGACTCGCCGCGGGGGTGGATCAATACCTGGGCATGCGTTTCGCTCAAGCGCCTCTGGGAGACTTGAGATTTCGTATGCCCGAGAATCCAGTCTCCACAAACGCAACTCAAAGCGCCAGCCAGGTAAGTGCAAGAGAGTAATAACCGAGTGATTGAGTTGTTGACGTATTTATAACGTAGTTTGGTCCCACCTGCATCGGTGTCGGGCAGACGGAAAGCAGTTCCGTCGGAGAAGATTGCCTGTTTGTCAATGTTTTCACCCCCAGCAACGCCACAGCGAAGTCAAAGCTGCCTGTCTGGCTTTATATCCAAGGGGGTGGGTATAAGTCCAACTCGAACAGCAATTATAACGGGTCCGATGTTGTACAGAAATCGGGAGGGAATCTGGTCTTTGTCAACTTCAACTATCGAGTCGGTTCTTTGGGATTCTTGGCTAGTGAGAAGGTCAGGGAGGATGGGGATCTGAATGTTGGCTTGCTGGATCAGAGGAAACTTCTGCAGTGGGTGCAGAAGCACATCGGCAAAGTGAGTGCCCCCTTCGGTGCACCATGGTGAGTCACTACAGTGGCTAACTGCAAGTCCAGTTCGGAGGCGACCCAGACCATGTCGTCATTCACGGAACCTCAGCGGGTGGAGGCTCGGTTTCTCATCACCTGACAGCTTACGGAGGCCGAGACGACCATCTGTTTATAGGAGCTGCGCCACAGTCGATATTCTGGCCTACACAACGGACCGTTAGAGAGATGGAATTCCAATTCGACCGCTTTGTGAACGACACGGCCTGTTCAGGAGAACAGGATCCGATATCTTGCCTCCGATCCGCCAGCTTGAGCATCATAATGGCTGCAAGTGCCGTATCCCCTTTTCCTGGTGCAAGTAATACCCCTTTACCCCTGTGGTACTGGCTACCAGTCGTTGATGGCGGCCTCATACCTGACTTGATGTATAAACTATTTCAAGAAGGGAAGTTTGTCAAAGTTCCGATACTGGTCGCCAATACAGACGATGAGGGTGCCAGCTTCGCTTCCAATGCCACCAACAGCTCGGACATGGCTGCCTTTTTCAAGAACAACTACCCGAAATTGAGTTCCATCGAACTTCAGCAACTTATCGAAACATACCCCCTACAACCTGCCGTGCCGAAACACGCGGCCTATTTTCCATCCACAGCAGCGGCATACGGAGACGCTACGTTTATCTGCCCAGGACACGAGCTCGCTTCGACCTTTTCTCACTACGTCGCACCAGACCACGTATGGAACTATAGATTCAACGTACAAGACCCCGACAGTATCGCTGCTGGGCTTGGCACCGCTCACGCCGTTGATGTGCCAGCCATATTGGGACCGGGGTACTCAGGCAGTGCGTATAGATCCTATTCTGATGTAAATGCCGCCATTGTGCCCATTACGATGGATTACTGGATTAGTTTCATCCGATCGCTAGATCCGAACAAGTACCGTGCTCCTGATGCACCGGTGTGGGAGCCGTGGGGGACCGGGACGGGAAGAAGATTGAAGCTTGAAACCAACGCGACTCAGATGGAACTAGTTCCTGAGACTTTGATAGGACGGTGCGCGTTGTGGAGGGATCTTTCAACTTCCATGGACGTGTAGAGGCTTCCTCCCAGTTATATAAATACACGAAATGCCCTATGTAAACCGAGGGCATGGACTGTATTACCCGCTGTGTAATCTAGTAAGACCGTAGACATAGCGACTGTTCCCGATGAATAGTTGAGAATAAGCAATGTTGTAGTATCTAATTCTAAGTTACACAAATGCGCTGATGTCTAGTAGCAATACTCTGAGCCATGAACGCCGTTAAATCGCACAGTTTCTCGTCTCATGTCAGCATCAATTGGCTTGAATCAAGCAACGATGGCCTCTAGGTGTAATCAAGAAAAACAAGTCTTGATCCATATCCCGGTCACTCATTCCCTCAAGCTCGGAGACAATGGCATTTGGGAACGCCCGGAAGAATCGCGCAGTGGCTAGGCGCAGCTCTATACGGGCAAGATGCACCCCCAGGCATACTAGATAGATGAGTTAGCATGAACGTGATCTTCCTGGTGAGTATACAGACACTTACTACGCGAGCCTCCACCAAAAGGCATCATCGAATCTTTCATAGCCTTGGTTGGATTCTCCCATCTCGAGGGGTCGAACCGTTCAGGGTCGGGAAATGCTTCCGATCTATGCAGACTGTACGCTTGCGTCAACACGGTTGCGCCCCCTGGGATCCAGTACCCAGCCAGGCTAGCGCCCCCTGATGGCACCGTGCGAGGTAATCCCGAAGGTGCCGCTGCATAGATACGTGTTGTCTCTTCGATGACTTGGTTCAGATACGGCAGCTCCTTCACGTCGTCATAGCTAAAGTCATCCGAAAGACGTGTCTGGAGCTCGTTCACGAGCTTTTCTTTGATCTGTGGATCCCTACAGACTGCCCAAACGAGGTACGTCAACGACATGGCAGTAGTGTCGCTGCCGCCTACGATGTACGCCTGGGCATTGTCCTCAAGTTCGACTCCAGACAGAGAGTCTTCACTCTTGGCCTTAAACATCTTGGAAAACAATGTTGGCGCCATATCAGGGTTCTCCTCGAGGAGCGTGCGTTGGCGTTGTATCGAATCGCGAGAATACATCGCCAATCGACCGGTGATTGGACCAGCTTTCCAAAAGAAAGGGATCGGGACGTAGAAGGAGAGCTTAGATAGAAGAGGGAAGGTAGCACGCAGGCCTCCGATAAATGCCGAGCCCTCGAGGTCTTTGATGTACTGGTTTTTCTGTTATTCTTGGGTGTTAGTGGAGTGTGTCGAAACTCGAAATCAGCTTAGCTCACCCTCCCCAGCTCAAGCATCTTGAACGACTCGCCAAAGGTGAGCTCTCCAATGATGTCGGTTGTCATGAACATCCACCATTTGCAGATGTCAACAGCGCCGCGGCTCTTCATCTCTTCTCCCATTCGCTGTATTCCGAAGCGCACTCGGCTGTCGATTTGGGGTAGCATGGGTTTCAAGCCAGTCTCTGAGAGCGGGGACGACAAGAGGCGTCTGTACCGCCGATGGTGGTCCCTATTAACGCAATTGAAGATGTTTGTTACTCCTGGGAGGAACTGTGTGTAGAATTCGGACTTGAGGAACTCGTCTTTGATTCGGTGGATCGTCTGGGCGGCAACGGGGTCGGCAACATCAACATCGTTGGGCCCGATTCGGACGACGGGACCTGTATCAGCATGAACGATTAGCCAAGGTTTGGGATGACGGTGTGATTGATGATGGAAACCGGGACTGACCATATTTCGAATGAAGAGAATGAATGTAGGTTGGGTTACAACCCGTCAGGAAATGGTACTTGGTGACAATATTGGTCCAACTCGCATACCAGGGCCCCGGAACTTTGTTCAGCGGGCTGCGTAAGACATTGTAGACATACTAAATCATGCTAGTCAGTAGTTGGACTCGGCCCTGACGCAAATAACTTACACCGACAACACCAACAAGTAAGGCGATGCCTACGAGTTGAACTTGACCCAAAGTTTTCAAAAACTCCATGATGTAATAACACAAAATACCTGATGTGGGAAAAAAGCAACGAATGAAATCTTACACCTCTAGTTGAACGGACATGGCTTTATACTTATATAACAAGTATACCAGAGCCACTCTCACCGACCAATGAGCTGGTGGTATTTATCACCGCCCAGCTCGATCCTGGCATCATTCATGTCATGTAGCGTCGATCGTGCTCCACACGGTAATCGTAGCTGTCCGGACCACAATTCATTCAGCCGTGTGGGACATCGTTTTGCAACACGGCGAAATGGAAATTGCTAGTTGTCCGAATACCGATGCACTAGAGCTGGAGCTGCACTAGGGCTAGAGGCGCACAATAACGCCTAGTGCCGAACTGACAAGAACACTATGTTTTGACCCATGCTTGGCTCAGAAACCCGAGTCAGTTGCGAGAAACCGTGCTTATATAGGACAGCGCAGCAGTGGACCGGATTTTCGTACACCATTACATTGCAAGTCCGAAATCTTGGTTCTGATGCCTGATCGTAATCATTGACGACTTTCGATCCCCCCGTTCTTCGAAAAAAAAAATATTTTGACCAGGCGGACAGTGCTCGATAATGTAAGGGGACCCAGGAGGACGTCTCATAAGGGCTACCACAAGTGCAGCAGCAAGCACAAAACAAGAGCTAGAATTCGACAAAAGCATTGTGTCCATTATATTCGCCCATTTAATTCAGTCAGCAGATTCGGTTGACTTGGTGGTGGCAATGGGCGTTCTGCGGGCCAGAATCTATGTCACAGTATGTTCGCTTTGGAAGGCGCGCAGGCCTCTGTATACTATTTAATCCTCTGTATTGTGCTGGCGCATTGTCTGACAATTACCATAAAAGTGTTTGGTTGTCACAAACAGAAAAACATCATGGCGCATCCTGCGAATCATGATTGACATGAATAAAATTCGCTAACGTGGTTTAACACCAAGTCGCGCATATCACCGAGTCGCGCACTTTTTACCACACTATAATTTCAAGTTCAATTAAAAAGCCACAACAGACTAAAGTTTATTGAAATTTATTCAGAGCTATATACATCTGACAGTTATAGTTCGACATGACAAGTCTTTACATTATGTCCGGTCTTCTTACACTTACTACATCGTCGTACAGTCGACGGACCAGCCTTTTCTTTACCCCCCCTAGAGCGCTTGTCCTCCTTTACCTGGGCCTCCGCGTCCTTCCGGGCCAAAATGTCCAGGGCATCCTCGACAGTAAGTGCACCTCCTTGCCGGACACGCGATTTTTTTGCCCTCCGACGCTTGCTTAGTGCCTCATTTGCCTTGCGAAGGGTGGAGCACTCAGCCTTCAAGAGGGTATTCTCATGGGCTAATCGAGTTATACCCTTCGCAAGGTGGCCAACAGCATCAGAAATTGGAGTCGGAGAGCTTCCCTGATGTCTGGCGATTCGGCGATTGACAAAATCGGACTGCGAGAGAGCCTCTGTTGGGTTATTTGGCGTTTGCGAAACCCAAGGGTCAGCATCTGGAAGAGAGGGGCTAACGGGTGTAGGCGACCGAATCCTAACATCCAGCTTCGAGATAACGGCTTCAGGGTCGTGTGGGACTAGGCCGGCCCCTTGAAACCCTGCCTTGATGTTTTTGTCGGTTATTGTCTTTAAATAAGCCTCCTTAAAGGCGATAAAGAACTCGACCTTAGTAATGTGGTTAATATGGGACTTGATAAATATATCAATCTCTCGACCGTATATACGTTTCAAGACCCCAAAGCACCCGACATCAAGTGGCTGGGTTAGGTGAGACGAGTGCGGGGGCAGACTGATAGTAATAATGCCGTTACACTTGCAATAAGACTCGAAATCGGCCGATGTATGACTCTCATGCCCGTCCAATACTAACAGCCGATACACGCCTCTTTTGGTCGAGATAGTGTGCTTGTTGAAATGTTTGATCCAGTCTAGACCAGTCTCGTTGTTCGTCCACCCGTTTTCGGTCGGTTTGACTACCCAATCGGCTGGTAGGTCCCCCTCAGCATACCAATTAGCAAGGTGATAATTCCCCTGAATTACCAGAAATGGCGGGATGTCGCGACCCTCCGAATTGACACAGGTAATCGCCGTGGCCCATTCCCGGTTACCTGGCTGGACCTTCTTGCCTCTACCATTACGTTCAGACGAGGTAACGACCATCGAGCGTTGAATAACGCCCATCATAAAGCCCGTCTCGTCGAAGCTCCACATATCGCAGTCCTGGATCCCGTATTTGGCCCTCATATTCGATACAAGCCGGAACCAGTCCTCAATAATCTTTGGATCCTCGCAAAGGGCCCTCTGGAAGTCATACGAGCGAGAAAAACGCGTCTGTAACTCTGGGGTTCGCTGTACAAAGCGATGCGCCCAGAGCTTGCCGACGCGTCGGGTACCCCGCGTCGCAAGAATGGAATTGGCCATATCTTCCACACCCTCGAGCCGGGGAGGAAACACTCTCAAATCTAGGTCAAGTACATGCTGAACAATAGCTCTTTCCTTTATCTTGGTGAGGACTCGGGTACACCGTATAGCTTTGCTGCTCGACGTTGGCTCATATTTTTGGTCGATCGGATAGCTTCGATGGCAAGGTTGATTTTGGCTTCTTGGGTTTGAACTGACATGGTATTGTTGTTGAGGAAATAAGTGTTGAAGTCAAAAGGTTGGAAAAGTTGAAAAAGTGCGCGACTCGGTGATATGCGCGACTTGTCGAATATCACGTGTGTCCAATCGAGTAGTCAGCAGTGCGTAAGATTGTATATAAATGAGGTGTGTTCTTGTCTGTCTGTCTTCTTGTCAGGGTACGGCCTGGACCGAAGGCGATAGTACAGAGTGAAGGGGAGAAATAGGCGTGTCCCCCTGGTGGTCACCTGGTGTTCACTGGTGGTCACTTGGTGATGGCAGGTAGGGGTATCCACAGTAGTTTATTGATCTCTCCCCTCTCTATCTTCCTCCGTCTCGACTCCTTACTTATAGCCAGCCGAGGTTCTCTGTTGGATTCTGGATGTTTGCTTCCGCATGTCTGTGTTCCTCCGACTTCGGCCAACATCTTGGATAGCGGCTCTTTATCTGCAACCAAGCGATTCCCTATCCGCTGCAAACGGCTTCAACAGCTCTCATTCGCCACAAGCGGCTCTCTAGCCGCCACAAACGACTTCCTTCCTGGTGGAAGCCGGCCCGCCTCGGATGACACTTGTGGCTCTGACACTTCTGTTCTCGCGAACTCCCGTTGCTCTGCCTTTTATAGATGCTTTAGAACATGTCGGTAACTTTGGTGTTACTTTTGAGAAGAGGGGTTCCTTTCGCCTTCTGAACTTTAAGTGACAATAGTCTTCTCTAGTGCCATATTATTTCTGAACCTAGGAACCAGGTGCCCTATCTGACACGACTCGGTGATATGCGCGACTCGGTGTTAAACCACGTTATGGAATATCTCGCTAATTTCACAACTGAGATGTCACCCACGTATATGTATATATATATATAACTTCACAACATTATAAACTAGCTGTAGGCTCTGTTAATGTAGCTACTAGCCCATGTGTAATTAATCATAGTTAGACTTCTTCAACGGTACCTTGAATGACACAGGTCAATGGGAGAAGTAATAGATAAGACTTCTTCAAAAAGATCAGGTTCGCAAAATACCTAGTTCAGACACTGCAGACACTCCTAAGAGGCCCTTGATGTAGCTTGAGACACTACGTCGTTGTCTCACCACCCAACGTATTCTACTCGATGGTTCTACGCAACCTCATGGTTGAATTTCTTGGCTTGTCTCCCTCTCAAGGCTTAGGAGATTATTCAATCAATCTCAACTCATGCTACCCTTTGACATCCCACGAGCAATGGCCACAGCGAGTTAAAACGCTGCACCGCAGTCATTGACGCAGTATCTACGATGAAACGGCCTGCAAGACGGACCGTCAACGCCTCTCATGCCATCCGCAGAGGAGTTGAGGCATGATATTATTGGAATTTGGAGTCAAGTAACCAAAAGGTAGTATACGGAGATGAAAACGCCGTATCTTAGCATGTACAAGTATTGCATCGCACTTGGCAGAAGCGGCTACGCACCGTGGAGCGGAAACGCATCACCCAAAAGGCTTGGTTGAATAATTTCCCCGTTGTAAATCGAGCAAACCTTGAACTATTGCTGAATAACCTGATGTTGGAAATACAGGCAGACAGTTGTATTGGTGATGATGATGATGATGATGGTATCGGATTTACTCCCACAGGCTGCAGATACGTAAGGGCTGCCTATGGGCAGTTGGCTCAAGCGCTGCACCCAGAATACAGGCGGTGCGTGTGGGGCACGCAACGTATGAAGTCTGTAGGGAAAGATTGAGCTCACCTGAAGAGGGGTGGCTATGTCGGTTGGGGTAGTTGGATAAATAACTTCACTCCGCACACTAGAACTGAGGATCTTTCATTGTATCGCGAGAACTTTGCTTCTAGCTTGGCCGCGAGCGGCGGTTCATCCGGAGCGGCTCTGATATTTCGACATGGAAGAATGATACTCGGCAAAAGTATTCTTGTCTTGGTCCCTCCAGTCCCGGATCAGAGTATACGAAGTACTGGTGAATACGACATGTGCAGCCACGTAATCATGATGAAAACAAGGCTCCTTTGTCCAAGGCCTTGACAGCTCAGCTGACCAGTAGCCCAGGCACCAACTGCGCTAGGATGTCCAGAATGGGAAAATACCGAATCCCGGATGAGCTGAACCTCAACTTGTTCCATGCGCTTCCAGAGAAAGAGCTGATGTGCTTCACTGCTGGGTGACTGTGGGGGTCTGCCTGGAAGTTTCGACCAGTTCCTGAAACCCTTCTTGCCACTCAATTTGGACGCTCCTTATGGCTCATTGACAAAGCTCTCACGTAGATAAGCACGGCTGAACGGAAATTGCATTGCGCAACGTGTTATTATCATCATCGGGAACAATGTTTCATTGCATCCATGATATCTCTCGACTCTCACAAATTACTTAGGTCATAGATTCTTTCGTAAATGCATGGCTTCGCATTTTAAGCGAGTGACTTGGCGTGTTTCCGAGCAGCATTACGGATGCACCGTCTTCCTCCCCCGGGTAACCCATGCTTCTTTGTATATTATATCCTTAAATGAAACTCTGCGCAATATAGGCAGAAGAGTTGTATTGGTGATGATGATGATGATGATGATGATAATGATACTAACTGCCAAAGGCGGCAGCTATGCCAGGGCTTAACGTCCCACACCCACATCCGGGACACCCCCACATGTGGGACACCCAAAAATGCCTCATCAACACCGCTAGCCTCTAACTTCAACCTCTTTTTTCTTTATCAATATCGATTTAATCGTTACGAAATTTTACGTACGTCTTCTTTACACTAATATGAGTCAATATACCGAAGATGATATTTATCGAGCTCTTCAAGCAATAGCTACCGGTCAAAGCCTCTGAAAAGCAGCATATGATCATGGTGTCCCAAGGTCTACTCTTTCACGACGAATTCAGGGAGCCCAGTCAAGAGATATAGCCTTCGCTGACTACCAGAGGCTCTCTCCAGCCCAGGAATCTCATCTGGCTGAATGAGTTCGAATCCAGGCTGCCCTAGGCTTCCCACCAACCCATCAACAGCTCAAAGACTTCGCCGAGCGTATCCTACAGATCCACGGAAACACCGAACCACTTGGAAAGAACTGGTCCAGGCTTTTATCAAGAGGAACCCTTCAGTCAAGGTCCAGAGAAGCAGAGCTATCGATTCCCAGCGTATTAATGGAGCCTCAGCTAATGTGATCAGGCAATGGTTCAAATACCTCGCTATCCCTGAGATCAAAGCTATTAAGGCCTCGAATCGATACAATATGGATGAGACAGGTATTCTAGAAGGTAGAGGATCAAATGGTCTTGTTCTAGGATCATCTGAGACTCGTTCTATACGGAAGAAACAGCCTGGATCTCGAGCTTGGACATCTCTTATAGAGTGTATCTCTGCGACTGGTACTGCACTATCCCCACTTGTGATATACAAGGGGAAGTCTGTCCAGCAGCAGTGGTTTCCTCTGGACTTGACTCCATACGAAGCCTGGAGGTTTACAGCAACAGAGAATGGGTGGACGTCAGACTCTACGGCTATTGAGTGGCTACTGACGACGGGCAGTGAAACCACCCGCAGGTTTAAGGTGTAAGATGATGGCAACGAATAACAAGATCCTCAACAAGACCTTACTATTCGGGAGGTGGAAAGAAATAACAAGATCAAGAGCTCCTTTCCCTGATCGGAACGATAAGTACCTCAACAGGTACTAACAACTGTAGCCTCAGCAGGCTGGGGAAGAAAAGGAACCTCAACAGGTTAAAGGTGGGAACAATGGCCTCAGCAGGCACAATCAGATCTATAGGGGCAACAAAAGTACCTCAACAGGTACGTCAGATATTGAATGCCTGTCCAAGTAAAGAGAAATTGGTTCAGATTACTGTGGAAAAGGCCACTTGAATTCCTATCTTTTTCTCAAAAGAGTGACTATGTACATAAGGTCTTAAATATCCTTCAAGAACGCGCTTACATAACTCGTCTGAAACCGGAAAAAACGAAAACGAGCACCCAAAAACCCTAACCCCACGTCACTACAAAAGATCTTTATTCCTTTGACTTAACCAGAGGACTCTGAAGAGACTAGGTTACTTATCCTAGATGGGCATAGTAGCCACGAAACGACAGAGTTTATGTACCTCTGCTTCATAAACAAGATACACTTGCTTTTCTTACCGCCACACACATCCCACGTTCTCCAGCCTCTCGATCAGTCAGTCTTTGGACCCCTCAAGGCAGCCTACAAGAAAGAGCTTGGTTACCTTAACCAATGGGATACTACTACTGTCGTAGGGAAGAGAAACTTTCTCCTCTGCTATAGAAAGGCACGTCTAGCAGCATTGACCGTTAAGAACATTATCAGTGGATGGAAATTTACTGGTCTCTGGCCTTCGAGCATAGCTAGACCCCTTATGAGCCCCCTGCTCCTTGAGAATACGTCAGCACCAATCAAACAGCCTAGTCAGACTCGCAAAGCGCACTCTAGTAGTCAGGACTGGGCGTTAAAGACATCAGCAGAGCTTGAGGCTAGTAGGGCTAGGAAGCGGAGGAAGGTCAAAATGAGCCCTAATTCGAAGTTTACTAATATCAAGGCTATTCGGAAGGCTCAAATCGAGGCTGGTGAAATTGAGGATAGTACAGATGAGTCTAGCGAGTCTGAAAACCCTAGTGACGGTGAAAGCTGTATTGTAGTCGCATCAGAATAAGTGTAAAAAAAGGTTGAAGTCAATGGTTATAATATACAGCATCATTTTTAGGGCGTCCCACATGTGGGGGTGTCCCGGATGTGGGTGTGGGACGTTATCTATGGGCAGTTGGACCAAGCGCTGCCCCGACACGCAGGCCGTGTGTCTGCTACACGCAACTGAAATGTAACATATTGTCGACCTTTGCTCATTTGTGCCTGTAATAAATGCTGGATTATCATAATTTTGCTGCATCAAAGTGTCAAATAAACATGATTGGATGGTCCTTAGACGCCATATATGTGATACGCATTGCCAGCATCTTCGCATATTGGTGCATATGTTTATGCAGATTGTGGGCCAGAGCCGCGGGGCTGAAACTGACAAGCCAGTTATCCTGGGATGAAAAAATCAACTCCCATTCTTGCTAGGGCTTCTCGTCACTTGTCGGAACAAGCGATGGGGTGGTTTTTCATTACCCTTGGTCGAGCCTATGAGCAGACACCATCGGGTTGCAATCATAAATCGGTGATCATAGCCATCCTGCTGCCCATACAGATCAGGTCCCAAACAATGGCGTACATCAAGGAGGTACTGGCGATGGCGACAGTGAAGGAATTAGATGCCCGAGCTTTGGCAGTGGATAACAGGGAGTACCGTGTGGATGCCCTCGATATTTGCGCTGTGGTTTCAGATCATTCTGAAGCTTTTGTCAAATTACCTAGGGAACTCGGTCGGCACACAACTTCGATTGAGACTTACGGCCTGTTACCCACCAATCAAGAAGCTCTGGTCTAGATTCAATTGCCCAGGAGTGGTAGTGGCCTCAATAGCTGGCTTTCCGCTGATGATATTTGGCACTCGTATGGCCTACGTATCAACTCAGACGTCACTCTGGGCCTGGTAGAAAGGCAGCTTGGAATAGTGTGATGTTAGTCTCTGAAGGGCCACAGTCTGACCGTGGTTCACCCGCCAAGAGGACAACAGGATCTCAGGAATCCACATTGCGGCCTGTTTCTCATCACAGCTTTAATCCCGAACAGTTTCCGATCGAGATATCGAACAATGCTTGTTTCTTCGTTCTCTCCAACTAAGTCTACGGGACTGCCATTCAAGCCGTCCGCTACCAACCAATTTGCTTGATGCTGTTGATCATCTACAGCAAGGCTTTCTTACGCCTCATATGACAATGTCGACTTCTGCTGTCTCGCAGGAACCGGTAGGGGAATCGAGTGGGATAAGTTATGTTATTCGCCAATAGAGACTTCTAGAATGCACAATGGTATCCGCGCCCTTGACTCCTTGACGACTGCTGAAATATGAAACTTCTTACCTAAATTCTCCGAAAGACCCCATGTCTCGACTATTGGGGATCGCACAAAATATGCGTAGTGTTCTCTAACTGAGTAGTGAAACTATACGTTCCCCGAATATGAACCAGCCGAAGATACCAAAACGTCTCCTTCATAGTCAAGTTCCGACGGTAATTTAGCGGGGCAAGCCACCGCACTATTCGACCATTACTATGTGCAGAGTCACTCTTCACTGTGTTCGGTTGCAACAGTTTATTGCCATCGAACGCCCAAATCGATTCTCGTTGGACTTGACTCAATATTAGCTCCTATTACGCCCACGCTTGATGAGGTAAATATCGACTGAGTCTGCTTTAACGGGAAGCCGCACCACCGAAACTGAGGCATACCTATTTTTGCCGCACCCCAAACACGAAACAGAGTGCATACCCAGGCTCTAGAACCGTGTGATGAGGAATACGTCATTTCCACCGAGATGATAGAGAGCAGAGTCACTCTACAGGCGGGACCCGAGCTTGTAATTACCCATGGTCAGTACATGAAGCATTTTCCCTAACAGACACCGCCTCATCCATACCCTGGTGTATCCAGCAACTATCGTTTTGGTCCGGAGGCATTCATCTAACTAGCTTGATCCTTCTAGCCATCGCAAATATCAGCCTCTAGGTCCCCACCATCGTTGGCGTGGAGTCTATCTATCTGCTCAATTACTTGAAAGTCTATAGCCGTTTGAACTCAGCCGACTATTCAGTCGCACCTCACTTCGAAGACATAGCTGTATTATTGAAAGTAAGTTTGACTACGTGCAAGGGGAAAAATTAGGTCTCGTCGCTATGGTTCATGTCCACCATATATTCAGATCATCGTTCAGTTCCGTTTCCTTTGTCTACTTTTATTTCTTCGATATTATCTATTCCACGAAGCCACTAGCAATTAGAAGGGTTTAATGAGACTTATACCACTCATTCCACGGCTCAACGTGCAAGTAGAATTCAACTTGGGGCGGAACGTCTAGGCCACTCCCCCGTGAACCCAAACGGCCTGTTGTACGTGAGTATTGTGTTATGTGGGCTGACTTGACACTCACTTGCGAGCCCCCGATGTCTTCGACTTTCCGCTGAAAATTCCGGCAGGGGAGCCTTTGGAGTCCTTTCCCTTAGCCTTGTCACTACCCCGGTCGGCAGATCCTCCTTTCTGGGGTGATGCTCTCGCAGAAGTAGCCTAAACCAGAGACCGTGTCAGCTCGTCGTATATTTGATTGAGAATCCTATTTACCTCAGGAGTCCCGTATGACATGCTCAACCGATTGTGGCCACGGATCATATCGAGGTAGGATGTTCTGGGCTTCTGCCGGAGGTTTCTATGCGGCCCTTTATCATCCGACTTGTTGTCCTCGTCATCATAGTCTTCTTCTGCGTTGCGATTCTCATGGTCACTTTCCTCCAAACCAGTGACACCGTCTCCCTTACTTGGGGTTTCAGTAGACATGATCTCCTGCTCCATTAAGGGCTGACTACACATTACTCTAGGTGACTCTTGCTTCACCGGTGTCGGCTTTGAGATCTCATTGCTAGGGGTGCCTGCAGGCAATGTCAGGTACAGCTTTTGCAATGACCAACGCATCTACTCACACTCTGGGATCTTGCCATCCTGGTACCGGGAAGCAATTTCGTCCTCACTAGCGTTGACTGAGCTAATGTGTAAGCAGTGTGTGCATTATTCATGTGTGACATGTCTCACCCTGGTAAGCGTAGTTGACGAATATGTAAGAATCAGATTGACACTCTCTCAAATGCTTTGAATTGAAGTGGTGAAATGCTCGCTTGTTCTCAAATGGAGGCGAGTCGGCGATCCCGAGACTGCACTCGTGGTAGTCGCAACGAATGACGAAGAACCCGCCGTGCTGAGAGTGCCGGAATACACACTCGGTTGGGTCAAGGTCTGCCAAGCTGAGTGTACGTTCTTGACTCCAGTCTGTGGGAAAAATTCTTTGGGGTTGTTCCTGCGTAATCCGTAAGTCAGAGAACCCTTATTGCATCATTCCGTGGAATTACCTGCGAACCATCCTGCTTGGACTTCTTCCTAGCTACTGAGTCGTTCTCATCTTCTTCTCGGGGTCGTTTGGAATGGTCTACAGGAGACTGCAGATTCATGGGACTTCGTAGTTTGTCCATAACTTCCAAAATCGGAGACCCACGATTTCCACTAGCCGCATAATCTCCATCGACGGCAGGTATATGTGGTCTAGACTCTGAATTGGCTGCACCAGCAGGTCTTCCTGGTTCAATAATCAGTCCAGGGGGGGTGCCTTGAAAGCTCACAGGAGTCTCCTGGAGCGGTGAAACAGCCGGCGATGGAGGCCGAACAGCCAAAGACGATGCGTTTGGTATGACAGCCAACCAAATTGGTGCCATTGCGTCGATCTCCGAGACAGTAGTCGCGATGGAATCATTGCTGACTCCCAAAGATGACAGGGTGCCTCGGAGGTTTTGGAGTAGGTGGTGCTTGGTGTTGTTAAATTTGATACGCTTCCGATCAACCTCTCTGAGAATGGTGCGAATCTGCAAAACATAGTGTCGCCCCAGATCGTCATCAAGCTCGTGAGACATCCGTTGGATCTTATCCTTGATCAACGAGGTCGAGAACTCAGACGCGGCGATGTTGAGGTCAAACGCATTGTTGCCTTGGCCATCACTTCGTTGTTGGCCAGCCATGATGGTGTATTTAGTTCTTGGGGGGAAAGACACTATCTTTCCCGAACGACAACTTTCAACCACCAAATGAGCTGTACTGTTAGCACAATTGGTGGAAAGTGTCTGAGAGTTGAGGAATAATGACAGGAGCTCAGGGGTGACACAGGACAAGCGACGAACGGTTGCTGTGCAGAACAAACGCGGGGCTACTCACCTGAGATGTTAGACGTCTCGGTTTCGGCCGGCGATGATGGGAAGACGCCGTTGGCCCTGAATCCCACAAACGACATAGTGGACAATACAATACACCTACAAACAATTATGGTACTGAAGAGAGGACACGCTGCCAACGTGAGTGATACCGGGAAGAATTTTCAAACCTCGTTCGCACTTGAGACGAGGCTGGCGAGGTTAAGTTGGGCTGTACCTTCCAGGGTTGGTGAGGCAGGTTGCTGCAACTATCCATTTTGGGAATAGTCTCCCCGGTACGTACCTTACTCGACACGCCTCACCATAGCGCTGAAGCCTCATGAAACTAAACTGCCTCGGTATCATGGATAATGCGAGATTCGTACCGAACTTGATTGATTTTTAGGCTCTTATGGATTCACTGTTACATGTTTCCGTCCCCTCGTCGATGTGTTTTTAGTCAATTCAATCTCAACTGTTCATGGCTGCAAACAGCTGACCGTCAACTATCTGGAAGTACGATATGAACCTTGACCGACTGCGGAGTCACATCCTCGTCAGATTTGGAATTATCGGCCTAGGGATTTACAATAAGCAATGAAGAGAAAATATATGCTTGTACGCATGATAAAATCAGCTGGCAAAGATTCAGAAGTTCCAAGGGGACATTTCAGGGGCTTTCGGCGTTTGCCACATTGCGTTGTGCAGATTGTTGCTTCGAGGGCTGACGAGCCGCTAGCCATTCAAGTGGTGGTAAGGGATTCCAGAGAAGTTTTAGTATCCAAAACAGTGCGAGCTAATTGAAGTAGAGGGTTACAAGCACAAATTAGATTCATCACAACAAAAGATTTCCCAGAAGACTTCAATTGCAGTGTTTTGATCCCAAGGGTCACAGTACGGGATGTTGAAGTCCAATATTGAAGGAATCGAAACAGATCTATTATCTAAATCGGCATGGGCCGCTGAGAGACGCAGGTAATATGATGTCAAGTTCAATCAACAGGTATCAATATTTCCAGGACCGCTACCTTTTCGAATGACGAAGCTTGAATTCGTTCTTAATTTCGACCTCAAGAAACTATCATCCGTCAGTCCTCACCCGATACGAAAGTGTGTTCCTATGCTCGACGCTATAGTTTGTCTCGGTGGCGTTTCTCATGAGAGCCAACTTTGTCATCTTTGAGGTATGAAATGAGCATTAACCAAATGTATCTGGTGGCATTATTCACCTACCACCGATGTTCTCAAGATAAGTGAGTGCCGCTACGGCGGCAGTATTGCATTCTGTTAAGGCTAAAATATCCCATGTCTCTATCATTAAATTCCCATTTCACAGCACCAACACGCAGTTGGTCATCTAGACAGACAACAGCCAAGCTAAGTTTCGTCCCTCCATCCTGAAGTCCCTGGGCCCATTCATATGTCCGTGGCTCGACTTCACAATTGCTTCCTCCAGTTCTCGTAACTGGTCTTTGGTCATCCTCGACCTGTGGTACTGTCCAAGGTGACCCTGAACCTTCGCCCCTATCCGAGCCAGACAAATGGCAACATCAACGCTCAAAGCCCCAGGTTTGGACAAGCAATACTGGAACGGCGTAGAGCCTCTCCGATTGGGAGCATTGATGTCTGCGCCTCTCTGCAACAGTAGCTGGATGATGGCAGCAACATTGGACCTGACGGTGCACGAGATGGGTGTTTGCAGTGCTGGATTCGTAGCTGTAATGTTCGTTGTGGAAGATGCGAGGTGGTGAAGAGGCGTGTTTCCTCGATGATCTCGAACGTTAGGATCCACGTTCATGTCAAGGAAAAACTTGGTCATTTCGAGATCGCCATAGGCGACGGCCTGGTGGATCGCATGGAGCTGTGCCTCTGTGTGGGTGATAAGAGATGCCCCAGCTTGGACAAGGAGTTTGGCTACCCTTCTGCGTGATCTTATGGCCGATTCTTGGTCCACGTCTTGTTTGAAATTCGCACCCACTGTTGAAGCCCACGCATCCCCTGACAGAGCATCAAATAAGGCATTAGCACCCCAGGCCGAGGGTTCGAACCATGGTTTGGCTGTTGCGATGGTCCTGCACTCAGAGAGGCTGTAGTTGCCTCCTAATGACATTCCACCAGAATTTGACCTCGCGTCAATACAAGCTCCACTCTGCAGTAGAACGGTCACAATATGGCTGTGTCCGAGGAGTGCCGACCAATGAAGGGCTGTCATGTACATTGAAGGCGTGCCAGTAAACTGTTGGCCGCCGTCCGACCCCGAACCGACTTGTTCCTTTACCAAGGGCAAGGTAACATCTCGGGAGTTGGGGTCGGCTCCGCTTGCAAGGGACTTGAGAACAGCGCTCCTGTTGCCTCTTCTGGCCGATAGGATCAAAGCCGAGCAGTGGTTGTACTGGGTGTCCATTCTGTAGAGGATTGGGTTGATGAGCTTGTAGAACCCCTGACAAGTAGCCGCTAGATATGCCGTATCCCTCCAGACGCCAGGCTGGTAAGATGGCAACCAACGCGCTGTATTGGGTATCGTTGGAGATTTCGTTTCTTCATCGTGACCAGGCGTCGGAATCTGTTGGTGGTTGTTGAAAATAGATTCAACGATGAGGAGTAGTATTTCGGGGGGTAGACCGCTCATTCCAGCATGCCTCTCAGGGTTTGGGGTGGGGAGTTGAAAACCCATGGTTCTTTGTCGTGGATGACAAAGTGGTCAACGACTTGTCGACTTCTTCTGATAGACAATCTTTGAAGAGTAAGGGAAAATAATTACAGCAATGAGCAATTGTAGAAGGAAATGGACAGGATAATTATAATGCTGAGCAGTTTGATAATAAGAGCAAAGGATTTTGGAAGCTGTTGGTAGGTTGGTCCACGACCTATGTAAGTTGAGCACAATTTCTCCTAGCGGATACTTTTTTCTCAGGCGGGAGGAATGCTTAAATAGTAAAAAAAAAACCCCCCCAGGTTAAGTCAGAGGTAAAGTTCTACTAGACCAACGCATCCATGATTCTAAAACTGCATCTATCGTGTTCCTGTGGATCATATTCTAGTCATACCGGTCGTCACAAATACCAAGCTAGTTTCCAACGGCGCTAGAGTTTTGCGGGGTCTTGGCGCCGTGGGGAAACAGGTTCCTATTAATAGTGGCCTGAAAACCCCAGCGAGTTTGACAAATGCATTACCCCATAGTTACATGCTGGGCCTATTGGCTCCGTTAGCATCACGTAAAGCCTGCAACCGACTCATGCTTGTACTCACGCGTGGCTACGAAATTTACTGACAATGACGGCTTTTAATAACAGCTTGCAGTGTTACGACATCAACGTGATCTATGCCGTAATATCTGACATTGAGCGGATTTTCGCTCGGGAGTTCGGAGAGCGGTGATGCGATGTTGTTCCAATGGGGACCTCCAACGTAACCCCCTGACCGCAAGGTCCAGAACATAAGTTCTACTTCGTAGAAAGTCCTGCACGGTCAATCAAGAGTCTCCACTGTGCCCGTGTTGGACAAAGTCATAAGACCTCTCATTTAGGGAATGAGGTACACCATTCAACTTCCCGGCCGCAAGGATGTCAGTGGATTTCATTCAGTCGGTGAACACAACCAACAATAACTATGGACGGGGCTCTCCTTTTCGAGAAGCACCCACAAGCCTGGTATATGCAATAGCAAATATCATTCAAGTCGACTGGTAGAATGCCATCGACGGCTTCGAAGGATCAAGCGCAAAATACGCATTGCAGGGTTTCACAAACATGACGGAATATCCCAAACGATTGGATTTTATGAACATACGTAGTAAACATGAATAGTGAAATGGTAGATTCAGTGTATCTCCGCTGGGCGAGGAAACACACTAAGGCGATCGAGTTGTGCAAAATCCACCAAAAGTACTCAACTAGATAGACGATAGACCTTGTTATTCTTGGCCAACAGAACTGCCTGAACTTGCTTATGTAACTACGGTTGGACAAAGCATTCATGTTGGGGGTTGCAGTCACCTTAAACTGAAGACTGAGCAGATCAGTTCGATTGAAAGCAAATGGAATGTATTTAGCAGGTGATTAGCATGGCATGGAATTGAGACGCGGAATAGCACTTTCTGTCCCTGGCGGAATAATGTATATCGCATTTGCCGGTGTAAAGTTTCCAACTACTTGAAGCTTAGGCTTCCACAGAGACTAATTCTATGGTATAAGCCCATCAAAGTCCCGGCAATGCCAGACATACAAATGTGCACAGCTATCTTGTAATGATCTTTCGATACCTCACAACCTCAACTCCATCATCTTGTACTATCCTCTGGGCCTCAATTCGGTATCCCCCAATCGAAGGCCATATCTTGGTCCAGCACACCCAGTATACCCCTCCGAGAAGCAAAACACCGACTCCAACGACAGGGAAAACAAAGTAGGGGTAGCCCTCAGCGTTCCAATCACCATCCGGAGGAATAAAGGGAACCAATGCGAGGAAGATATTTGCCAGAAGATACAACACACTGATCGGCAGGAAAGTATGCCAAGGCGAAGACCAGTTCTCCGATTGCTTGAACTGCAAGTAGATAAGACCCGCAGCAACGAATCCGTTGATCCAAGCACCAGGATAGGTATAAAGGTCTACGATGAAGTTGTACGCGGGCCCAGCCGGGGGAGCAAGCAGGATTATCACCGTTACGATCCAGTGCAAGAAAAGCTGCTTTTATCAGTCGGTTTCTCAAGGTGCGCTGCGCCAAGCTGGACTTACGGCAGCAGCAGGGGCATTGAAAGGCTTGATGGATGCCCAGAACCAGCTGAAGGGTAACAACCCTTCCTTACCGAACTCCTGGTTCAGCCGCGCATGGGCAAAGCTGACTGCCAGAACGTTGCCCAAGTTGCTCAGGGCAACGAAGGCGGGTAAGCTTCGAGCTGCCGCGCTATTGCCATATACATTGCGGAAGAAGACTGCGGCCACAATGACTTCGGAGTTGGCCAGGTCTTCTTTCGAGATGGCGGCAAAATAAGCCACATTGGCCAAGACGTACAAGATCGTCACTCCCCCTATAGCGACAGGTGCGGCGATTGCGAGAGTCTTGCGGGGATGTCGCAGTTCACCGACGACGTAGTTCGCATTCTCCCACCCTTTGTAGCTGTAGATGATTCGTAACAGCGCAGTCGCGTATGCATATGCGCCTCCACCGCCATATCCGTTTCCCTTCTCGAGCGCAAATGCATTGTCGAAATTGTGAGGATCAGGCACCAACCGTCGACCAGCTAGGGCAGCGAAACCAGAGCAGACGATGAGCAGCAGGATAACAACCTTGAATATACCCAAGACATTGACAAGCCGCAAACCCCATTTGGGCAAAGTCGAGTGCAGCACCACCGCGAAGGTGATGCACGCGACTGCGATGCCGCGGGCTGCCCAGCCGTCTGGTTCCGTACTACCGGAGGCGTATAAGATGTATCGGCCAAAGGCGAGGGAATTTCCAGATGAGAAGCCAAGCAGGATCATCTGGGAAGCCAGGACGCAAGTAGCCAGGTAACGAGGATGGCGGTAGACCCTCTCGAGGTAGTTCTTCTCGCCCCCGGATAGGGGGATAGCAAGGCCGAATTCGAGGAACACGCTTAGTCCCGCGAATGTCAGTATGCCGCCTAATCCCCGTGTAAGTGAAGGTTTTTGATGAGAAAAAGTATGACCAATGCCGACTTACCAATGACCCACAAGAAAAGGCTGACACTAACTGAGCCGGTGGCGGCAAATATGCCCGAAGGAGTGGAGAAGACTATTCGATTGAATCGTCAATCTGAACCCTCGGATGAGCTTACACAGGGTCAACACGTACTGCCAGTCCCGATCATCTTGTTCAAAATCAGAAATACTGCGCCCGTAATTCCAATCTTCCTCGACTCAGAATACGCAATCTTCTGCACGGCCTGGTCCTCCGTCGTCCCCTCGGTCGCATTGTCACCGCTGGCCGTATGCGATGCCAAGGCCTCGAACACATTGCGTTCTGGGTCCTTTGACATGTTGGTCTTCGGTGTCGTATGACGAAGGTTGGGTTGCTAACAACTTTATCATTCGCCGAGCGTAGATGATAGAAAGAGGAAGACTCAGAGTCATATAGTGGCCCACAAGAGAGGCGCACCGGTATTTAAACCAATATGCACACGCAAGCTAATTCCAGTAGGTTGCCTTTGACGTTTCACTGGTGCTATTCAAGGTGGGGAAAAGCTACCATTTGATTCCTGCCAGGGCAAGGCGGGATGAGGCAGGTGCGGCTGGGTTTCGGCGGAGAGGCCTGTCAGCTAAGAACAATGGATTTCCTTATGACTTGAAATAGACCAGTTAAGTGCTCATGTTCATCCTGAGGACTTTTCTTTGTACATAAAAACGAAGTTGCCCGTCCTGCTTTGCTGGGTTTGGTGATATCGGCAAATCCGCATAAGTGATCGTCTTTTAGACTTCAAATGGCAGGTGGTAGATGGGGGTCGGTCTTGGCATCTTTAATACGGCGAGACAGAATTCTTGGGGTCGATGTCGTGCTAGATCAGGAACATTGCGACTTTTGCCTCATGATTCGGCCAAGCAGTTGGTTGAAAGATCCAAGCTCTTGCAATTTCCTACATCTACAATATTGATCTTCGAACATTAAACGTCTGACCAACATTGAGGACGATTAATGTAACTTAGTCGTCACTGCATACTAAAATATATGTATGGAAATCTGAGGTCTTGTCGACATATCTGTTAGTTTCGCACAACAAACAGATGGCAGATATACAGGACGTGCGTACCAGGACCTTTTACTGCTGCTCCTGAATGTGCCAATATGTTCGCCTATCGTCCAGTCCCGGTAGGGCCTGAGCCTTTAGGTTTGCTTCTGCCAAATATTTATCTAAACTCAACCGTGAGGAATTCCACGTTGCGCCGGTTTTTAGTGCATGATCGTGTCTGCGAGCACCATCGTAGCCTCGCAGCGCGAATTCATGCGGATAATCTCCCTATAGTGAAAGACTGCCTGGTAACTGCGGTCCCTTAGGCCTTTCCTAGCCAAACTGGGAACGGTGCGAACATTAAACTGAGGCGCCAGAACCAGTCTTGCCTCGAATGATGTTGACTAAGCCAGACTCACAAAAGCTACTATGTTAGACTCGCTGAATGGATGGGCTGAGTCAAATTGATAATCGTGAAGAAGTTTGTGGACCATCATATGCATACTCATTAGACTCTCCACCCACTAATTACCTCATATAAGGTATCATCCGAACCAACATTCCCCGGGAACACCACATACGGCAGCCCCGGCCACTTCGCCGAGGGCTCATCACACCTCCACAATGGCACTCCCGGAGCTGCTTGTCCCACGATCATGGCACGCTTCATCTTCAGCCCCTTTGTTGCCATGTCGGAAGACGTAATGCCGCCCTTCGCGATCACATAGCGTGGTTTGGTGGTCAATCCAACCAGGAAGGATACGAGCGCCTTGGCGATCGTCGAGCCGATATCGAGACTCTCAGCTTCGTCGTCACCGGTGATTAGCTCACGACTGGTCATGACAAGGACGTCCTGGCCGCGGGTGATCTGCTTTTCTGCCACTTCAATGGCCTTTGCCATCTCATTGGTCGCCTGCTCTTCCGAATCCAACAGCTTGCGAACGTCTATCACGACGCTAGTGAGCTTGTCTCCGCTTCTCGTCCTCAGCTTCTCAAGCTGCGCAGTGGTCTTTGGCACGTACGAGCCAGCGATAACCAGCCCACCAACGGCACCAGGTAAGTTAAGTTGTTCGGCCGAAATGGGCGAGATGGGAGCTATCCCCAATCTGGAAGAAACGAATGCGGCACCGGTCCTGAAAAGATACCGCTTGCCCTCATTCGCAGCTTTCAGCAACGCCAAGATAACAACATCGATATCCTCTTCGGCAGCGGCATTGACCACGACCACTGTTCCCTTTGCGACACCTTTCAGTTGCGAAAGGACAGCATCCGTACCTCCCGTCCTGATCGTATCTAAACTCAAAGACGTAATCCTTTCCGCCGGAATACTACCCTTACTCTTCTCCACAACGTACTCCCTCAAATTGGAACTCTTATAACCAAACGAGGCATCTTTCGCAAACGGCGTTGCCGCAGCAGGAACCAAAGTCCCCCCTTCGGCCACGTAGTGCACATCCCCAATCGTATACCGCCCACCCTGCAAGAAGAACGGGCACAACAGCCACGCGTCCGCCACGCCCAGCACATCCTCAGTCGCCTCGGCCTCCAAGGGGAAGTGTCCGCGCAGCGTCGAGTCGCCGCGCAGCACCACCTCAAAAGGCGTGCCTGTCTCGGCACTCGCAGACTTGAGGTTCGTGCATATCTCGGTGATGAGCTCGCGGGCTGGACCCGGATGCAGCGCACGTGAGTTGGTGAGGATGAAGAAGCCGCCGCCGTGGCGGGTGGTCTGGAACTCGGAGATCAAAGTCGGTATGTCCCAGACAGTGAGGACTGAGATTTTGTGGCAAGTTTGTGTGCCGGTAGGGTCGTCATCGAGGGCTACGAGGATGGGCACTTTGGTGGTCGGGTCGTGGAGGAGGGTTTGGACTTGTTCTCGCAGGTTGGAAGAAGGGGCAGGTGGGAGGCGTGCAAGGGTCGATTTGAGCTCGAGTTCTTCAATCGGGGCCATTTTCCTTTACAAGTTGTTTGATGAGCTACTAAGTGATGTGATAGTAAATAAGTGTTGCCATCTTCGCCAGTCCAGCAGGCGCAGACATCGCGAGTTGTTGCTTTATGCTTCAGAGTGTGGAGGACAACTTGATTGCGGAGGTGGAGCTCAATTTGGAGGTTTCGGGCAGAGCTCCGTAGGCAAGCGGGGAGAAAGCCGTTGCGAAATTGGGCAACAGAGTTGCCATCGACAGTGAATCCCGAATGTGCGTCTGTAACTTTCCTTGTCTTCAATGAAACAGCCTTTGATTGTAGCTGTCTGGGTTCGTAGAACATAGGCTAGAAGTGCAAAAGATCATCGACGGAGCATGTAGAGCCCCGCACTCACTACGTAAGTACCTTACTTTGGAGATTTCTATTCCCCAAATCTTCTCCCCGCCCAAAAACGGCTGTGTTCAGTGCCGCTGATGACTACAGCTTCTTCTTGTAGTCACAGTTACGACATATATAGTCAAGTCGAACTTTGCGAGGCCTTTTTCGGGATCGATGCAAACGCACTCATGTTTTCTGCCTCTGTGGGCTTTGTCTTATGCCTAGAAGAGATGGTTTCTGAAATATCACGACTTCTGATGCCTAGGAATCGGTGAGTCCCTTACTTACCACCTTCATTTTGATGACCGTTAGAAATCACCGAGGCTGTGGGTTACGAAAAATCGACACGGCGCCAGAGGACTGGTAAGGATTCGAGAGATCACCATGCCTCTTCGGCTGATACTGATATTATCTAGGAGTCACTCCCCTTTTGAGTGACAGGGTCGGGCCAGCCTGGCCATGATAAGATGCAAAGAGCGGCCGACTAAGCAAGAAGAATGCACGGTATCAATGGCATGGTTGGGTTGCTACTAGCTGTGTGTGAAACTCGGTCTATAGTGGTTTTAGGACTCTGGATACCGTGAGGTGCTGAATTAATAAAGGTTGGTATAAGGGTAAATTGCACCTGGCTAAAGGTATTCTTTCTCATGGTATGTAGCAGCAGTTCATAGGAATATTTTGTGCAATTTAAAACATTAATAACTCCATACCAAATAGAAAACGAAGTTGGAGCCCCGCAAGATACCTGGGCTAGTATGTGAACCAGGTGGCAATAAGGCGTAACACTTTACGGACCATTAGTAGAGCCTAAACAAGATTAACCTACAAAAGAGAAGGTAGGAAAAAAAAAGAACACAATGGTTAAGAGAAAGTGAAAATTGGTTAAGAATGACGACGATGTTCGGGGCAGTGACCTACTAAGCAGCTTGAAGGTGAGCTAACGGATCTAAGCGGAGTAAAGCCCCAATGGAGTAAAAAAAAAGTTCGAGCCCAGAGACAACCAACCGGTGGTGGGGTCCCGAGGCATCAAAATTCATTTTTTGAACGACAACAATAACTTAACTTGACGTAACTCCACGATGGTATCGTCCAAGGGCGCAAAATGCTCTTTGGAGCAACTAAAGTCTATTACTCAAAACACTAAAAGCCTCCTCTCACAGCTGGAAGCCGTCCTCCATGCTATCGCAGTCGACAAAACCGTTGCAACTACCCCGCCACCACCGTCGTCGAACCCACCGCAATCCGTCGATGCCTTGGCTCTGGCCCACGATTCCGCAAGCCTCATCAAGGCACATACAACCAGAGTGTCCCTACTAATCATCAACGAACCATTTACCCCTTCCGCCATCATCAAGGTCCTGAACGAGCTCGTCGCCGGCCCAATACCCGGCATCGCATCGGCAGTACAAGCTTGCGAGGCGGAGAAATACACATCTGTCGCAAGACAAGATCTAGCATGGAGATGCTATCGTGTGCTCAAAGAACTGAGGTGCTTGGTTGACGCGATACCTCTGGACGGGAAAGTTCTGTCAGTGGTTAAGAAAAATGGCGCGAACGGGGACGTTGGCAGCATCACAGCGACCGGCGTCATCTGGGCCGCTTGCGACGATGTGATCCTGCTCAAGAGCCTGGGTATCGGCGGGCTACTAGTGAAGAAGGTAGAACAGTATCGAGATACCTTGAAAGATGTCCTGGAAGAGTTGAAGGAGTGGAAAGAAGAGGGCGAGAATGAGGAGGCAGACGAGAACGACCAGGTGGAATATGTCACGAACCATCTGGAAACCACTCACATATCAACACAGGACATGCTCGATGATTTCATGAGTACCCAGCATATACCACGTGACGACCCCGAGAAGATCCGAGAACGCCTCGACTCGTGTATGAAGAGACTACGGCTCACTACACTACTCTGCTCCGCGATTATTAAGCGCAGGCTCAAAACACTGCCGCCTGTACCTACAAATACTCCAGCGTCGGTGACGAAACGGCTAGACGAAGTGTTTCCTGTGCTCAAGCGCATGGTGGAAGGTTTCAACGAGGTGGCATGCGCATTTTATGAGATGGAGCCGGACGCCATTGACCGCACTATGGACGCGTGCTTCTTCGACGCTTTTGCAGCTTCGGAGATGATGATGAGTCCATGGGAAGGACAGAAGGACGAATTCGCGGAATGGGCGGAAAAGTTCCAAGTCGGCATCAAGAAGCCTGATTAGACTCTTTCTAGCCAGGAACAACGACCGTGAGAACTGAGTTAGATCTGCTTGTATTGGCAGATATCCTCTGCGAGCTAGTGGGTAATGGAGGACGACTCGGCACTTCAGCAACCTACAAAAATTCGATCTGGCAAAGTCATATTGACAGTTACTTGCGTTTCGTTACATGACATTGCGCACTCGAAGATGTCGATAGGTGCAAAGTTCATATTCCGTTTTCAAGCCCGGAAAGTCCGATGGTATTCTTCCTGCCGGCTGAACACCTGGTATGATGACTTCTCTACGTCCATCGGTGCGCCTCCAGCATGTGCGTTGTAGTGATCGCTGGAGACGGTCTCCGGCTGACTTGAGCGGAGGTGTTGTGTGCCGGTCAAAATACGGATTTCATTCGTGCATTTGGTACAACAACTCACATGTGACGTTACCATTGTGCGGGGAGGACGAGAACTTGAAATTTTTATGCACTTCTTCGAGATGCGGGTGGTTGCTCCCCAAGGTGTTTCCAAGAGTATTCGTTCACCTTGTTTTTCTGTGCCGAAGCCCACAGACTCAGTTGTCCATACTTTAGCAGTCTTCTGCTTTTATCTGGGTTCAGAGCATACAATATTAGCATCAAAGGGCTGTACTCGGTCTGTGCTTACATCTCTCTCGGCTCCGAGCGGACCCTAAGCCATATTGTGCCTTGCTATGATGCATTCGAACCGCCTCTAGAAGCGGTTGAGGTTACATCCCCTTGGCTGTTGTAAGGTCCATGCCGATCAGCTGCCCACCAAACAGCATTTCGCTACAAGCTTTATATAGTGGCCGGTCTTATTTACAGAATTAAATTCTATATGTTCACGCCTCTCTATATAATAATACATGTAAAGTAGCGCCTTAAGAGCTACTAGTACTTAGGATCTAAGTAACCGTCCTGCCTCTGCACTCGATTTATCCGTTACGACCGCTAGTAGTAGCCTAAAAGCTAGAATAGCTAGTAATCCTAGTCGGCTATAGAAGATAAAGGTTAAGGATATAACTAGTACGTTAAGCTTGTCAGCTGAGACCGGCCCACCATGATAGCTCTTTCCTTACAGGATGATACGAAAAGGTAGGGGACCCACTGGTTAGGTGAATCCCATTCAATTAGATACTATAACGTTGCGCAGTACTGCATTATAGCATCCTCCCCCCTAGGTGCACGCATCAAGTGCCGGGATCTGGTCAATTGAAACCATTGTCCTCAATGGGCTTATAGCTCACAGGTCTTATTGCCAGAGTAGGTCCGTAATCCTCCCCAAGTGGTTTGGTGCTTCCGCCGGGATTTGAACCCGGTACTACCCCTATAGTGGTCTGTTCGTCAGGACGCGACAGCCATTCGCCGGATGCGGTGCGGACTTGGTGGCCATGGGTCCTAAACCCTACCAAATCGACCATGCGACCGTTTGACTGTCAGGGTACCGCTAGGCCGAAGGCAATAGTACAGAGTGATGGGGAGTAACGGGCGTCCCTCCTACGTAGCACCGGGTGGTCACTGGCGGTCTCAGGTAGGGGTGCCCACGATGATGCATTGATCTCTACTCTCTCTATCTTCTTCCCGGGCCTCCGCCCCTTACATAGATAGCTAGAACCCGGCGTCAGAGCCGCGGAGCACTAGTTTCTCCGATTGTTCCGCAAACCAAGACTTCTATATCGTGTCATGACTCGCACGTCCCTACACCAGAGCCCCACCGGTGGGACACCGGTGACTATGGCATTCTGTTCTCTGACATTGGCCAAACAACGGAAGAGATGCTACCATTTGATACGAAAAGCTAGGGGGACCCACTGGTTAGGTGAATCCCATTCAATTAGATACTATAACGTTGCGCAGTACTGCATTATAGCATCTTCCCCCCTAGGTGCACGCATCACAGGAAGTACTTAAATACGGCTTCTGTTGTAGGTTATTTCAACTGATACCTCTTACTTACAGCTTAGTAGATCATTAAAGTGGAAAATATTCAGGAAGTAAACACTATAGCGAGAGCATATTATAGATATTAGTCTTGCTGTCTTTAGTACGAAGGCTAGGAGTCGCTAGAGGGCTTCAAAGGGGACGTTACGCAGCGGCGATGCGGTTCTTCCAGTCTAAGAGCACTAACGAGGCAAGCGAAATAAATACGGTTGTTATGAGGTGTGTGAAGACTATATAATGCATGGGACTCGGGGGGTCAGTTTATCTTAAGAGGTCTTTAAACGTAGTAAGTGAGCGGCCGAAGCGGATGTTTCTAGCTATGATGTAGCACTTCGTATCAATGATCTTTGCTGGTACAATTATCATAGTGCAAATAGGGGCATTCGGAAGTAACTCTGAAGTGGGGTTAATGCTAAAATCATAATCGGCTGTCTGTGTAGTGTGGCTATGGCCTTGGCATGGAGGGGATCAGCATGGATCTTACCATAGCCAACAGGATACACTCAAAACGGATAACGGGGCGATCAATTGCAGTATAGGGATTGTCACTAACCGCATCCGGCAATGTGTACACGAACTAACTTTGTTGGTACTCAGCCGGCAATTGATGCAATTCCGGATTGCAAGTGCTCGGGCAAAGGCCACTGCACTTATAGTGGCCATAGGAAGTGCACTGATTTACACTGATTACAGGCGCTGCACTTGCAGTATATTGGTGCACTGGTGCACTAGTGAAGAGTGCTTCTACTTCGTATATACAGAGTAGTGCGAACTTGGGTTACTGGAGCATAGGCCACTATACTCCAGAAAAGGCTTAGTGACCATCCTCATACGGGTTTCGCTCGTTCCGGCAAAATTCGTCCTTGGGAAAAGCATAATAAAGGCCCCTTATGTCAAACTTAAGCGCAAGCTTCATCTATCACAAACTGGCGAAATAGAGTTGTGCTTGGCTTTCACCGCGAACTCCGACCAGGACCACTTCATATCAACTAAGAGATTTGAAGTTATGTGTTCAGACTATTCGATACCTGGAAACCTAGAATTTCGACTGCACCCAGCTAAGACAAGGTATCGCGATAAGTGTCAATGGAAGCCGTGAAGCTTCCATTTCACGATGTGACATTAATCATCAACACATCTCGAATCCCCACATCTCGACGCAGATGCCGTGCAGTGGTATATGCCCCCTTGGCGATACCAACCACATGGCTGAATTCTCTTTCCGCAATGGAAAACGCCCAGGTCCACACCCCTGCTCCGTTCCCCTTTTGGATGGTGACCCAAGCCTCAACTGGGCCTCATCCCGACAGCCAAGATGCCAAGACGGTGCACTCCGCAAACCGTACGACTACAGTAGGACGCTGTCAGGTTCCGCCAATGACAACTACCTTCACGTTCATTTTGGTTGAAACAGCTGCCGGTCCTGGATCGCGTCCTGGGATATATGTGTGACCTCAATGTTGGTTTGGTTGTTCTTGGGCTTCGTATCCAGGGCCATATCCATCTTAGCTTCTCCGCAGTAGCATATAAATGACCTGGGCCCTGATTGTGAGGAGTGTTTTCTGGTTTCGGTCGGCACAGTTCGACCTCGCTCATTCGTTTTCCACAGGCTCAGATCAGCGAGCTTTCACGATGTTGTTCCAGGTCCTCTTCCTGTGTCTGTTCGCTTTCAGTTCCTCCGTCTTTGCCGCCTTCGGCTTCACCAAGTCCGGCAGCAACTATGTTATTGACGCCGGGTCGTCGGAAGCCCTTGTGTTTACTGTCAGTGGTTCAAGCTGCGATGTGACCTCGATCAAGTATCGTGGTGTTGAGTACCAGTACTCGAGCAAGGGCACACACATCTCCTCGGGCTTGGGCTCTGCCACCGTCAGTGTGACCACCGTGAAGGGTAAAGGCATCTTATCCAAATCCACTGCAAATCCAATGCACTAACACTAGGTTCTATGAAGGCTCAAGCAACTTTATCAAGGTTACGTGCACCACGTCGACCCTGACACATTACATGGTGGTCAAGGAGGGCCAGAGTATCATCTACCTCGCCGACTACATCTCTGCTGAACCTGATATCGGCGAGCTGCGCTTCATCGCCCGACTCAAGCCGGATCTGCTTCCTTCTGAGTACCCCTATGGATCAGCCTCCACGACGGGTGGCAGCAGCTCAACCGTTGAGGGCTCTGATGTCTTCGTTGTCGATGGGCAAACCCGATCCAAGTTCTACTCGAGCACTCGCTTTATTGACGAGAACGTCCATTGCGTCTACGGTGGCTCTGACGTTGTGCATGCGTGTATCATGACTCCACAACAAGAATCGTCCTCCGGTGGGCCCTTCTTCCGCGACATCGACACCAACAACGCCGGCGATTCGACCAACCTGTACAACTACATGAACAGCGGCCATGTCCAGACGGAAGCCTTCCGCACCAACGTTCTGCACGGCCCTTACGTCTTTCAATGGTCTCGATCCGGTATCCCGGCCGTGAAGAGCGCCGACACTTCCTTCTTCAGCGAGCTCGGCATCACAGGCTACGTAGCCACCTCCGGACGTGGCTACGTCTCTGGCACCGCATCGGGCGTCTCCAGCAGCTTCGAGATCGTCGTGCACTGGTACAACTCGGACGCTCAGTACTGGGTCAAGGCCTCTTCTAACGGCGCCTTCACGTCGCCCGCCATGAAGCCTGGCACTTACACCATGGTGCTGTACCAGACCGAGTTCAAGGTGGCTACAAGCACCGTCACCGTGTCCGCGGGCAAGACGACGACCGCCAACATCGCCAGCACCCTCGTCTCGCACAAGTCGCTCTGGAAGATCGGCGAATACGATGGCCAGCCCACGGGCTTCCTCAACGCTGACAAGTTCCTCCGCATGCACCCCTCCGACTCGCGCATGAGCAGCTGGGGACCCGTTACCTACACGGTTGGGTCCAGCTCCGTTGGACAGTTCCCTATGGCGGTGTTTTCGTCTGTCAACAATCCGGTCACCATCAAGTTCGATCTCGACTCCGTGCCCGGAGCCGCTACCCTGCGCATTGCTACCACCTTGTCGTTCGCGGGCTCACGGCCCCAAGCTAAGGTTAACTCGTATACGGGTCCTGCCCCGTCAGCTCCGACGAAGATTGATAGTCGGGGTGTGACACGTGGTGCGTACCGTGGGTTTGGCGAGGTGTACGATGTCAGTATTCCATCGGGCACGCTCGTGGCAGGCTCGAACACGATCACTATCAGCTCGTTGTCGGGGAGCAGTGGGACGACATTTTTGTCACCTAACTTTGTAAGTAATAATCTTCCCCTGTGATGACTTGGACGCATGGCTAATATCGATGCTAGATCTTTGACTGCGTGGAGCTATTCACTAGTTAGTTTGACTCACAGCTCAACCCTCGCCTTCTGCGATAGCGTGCCAGCTAAACTTGCATTTCGCTGTATATACTTTCCAAATCCTTGTAAATACGTCAATTGATACATAAACTGGACAACCTGAATCGCGTCTTTTGTTTTCATGTGTTTTCATCTTCCCGTAGTCGGTGGTTTTCGTGTCTTGACAACGCAGCTGACTCACCACACCCCACCAACCCGTGTCTCGAATTCAGGGGCAGCTACCGGGTAGCTCCAGCGGGAGGAAATCCGTACCTCAAAAAAATCACCGTCTGCGCAACATGTGATATGAAGTTATTCCAGACACTATGCGCTTGTAGTACATGCCCGCAGGTCGAACTTCAGTTGGTGGCGTCGGTGCAACATCTGCCTCAAATCCCCTCACCCAAGACCTGCGGAGAAGGCTCGACCGAAGATGCCGAAATTGCATCTAAGCGCGGCTTGATCTACCGCATCCTATCGTGTTTCATCACCGCCTTCTGTTGACTCCATTATCTCGATCTCGTCGTCTTCCGGACGCAACAGTGGGTCAAACCGCCGTTTTGAAGCTTGACAAGTAAAGTGGCTACCGTATCGCATCGCGAACCTAATCGACTTCCACAGCTCACCCACCAATGCGCCAACGCGACACGCGGCACCCAAGAATCAGACTTCGAGACCTGCTGCAACGGCAAGATCATCGACACAAGCCAAGACTTATTCGCACCGCATCGCAACTCAACTTCCGTCAAATTACAAAATCTAATCTGCTGCGGTGTCTCCGGACCCCAGGCCGGTGGGCTTTTCCTCATATCGTCCGAAGCGGGCACGGAATGCGCGACGGGCACGCCAACATCCCTCGTGAGTCTGGCGGCAACGAATACTGCAAATGGGGCACTGTATGAGGTCACGTACACAAGTGCTTCGCTTGGGATGTCGACGATGGGGGATTATAATCCGAGAGAGACACCGTCATGTTTGTGGGCTGATACGGTGCACGCAGTGGAGATGATGGAGGTTACGGTGCCGGCTGCCGATATTGCTACTCTGTCGTCCCGGACGACGGATCAGTTTGAGTGGATGAGCTTTAGCTTCGCTACTTTTCGGAAACCTCGTGGATGGGGATTATTCCAACGTCGACTTCGACGAGTGCCGCAGGGTCAAACGTTGGGCTGCTTAGTCTGAGGGGATGCGTTGCCTTGGGACTTACACTTGCCTGCTGGGTTTCAATGATCTGAAGCAAGCATGGTAGTGCACGCGGATGATCTTGGACGGCATGATGTATCTTGGGGTGGTCTTGTGCGACGGAAAGATTATGCACTTACACCAAAGGTCGAAGTCACTCTGGGGCGATTCGCCCATTGCGCACCACGTTAACACTGATACTTGGCCACTCCACACCAGGGAGAGGCTCCCAAATCGGGGCCGAGATTCTTACTCATCGGCCTTCAACCTCAAATGCAGACTTGGAATGGATAGATGCTTGCTAATTTCCAACACCATGGTCTCATCAAATCTTCCCTATGGCACGTCTGAACGAGCAATGCTAAGCCTTCACTTTCGATATCCTGAAGCCACCCGGACAGCGCGTTTGGAACACCCCCTTCAGATCTTACTTCTCCACCACCTTTTTTATCATCGGCATAGTTGAGATAAAGCCAGTAGATGTGCGACCTCTTTCTCTCGCGCCAAAATTCTTAATAAGTCCTTGCACTGCGCATCACCATATTCAAAGAACTCCTTCTCCTTGACCTGGATATCATGAATAAGAGGGGAGCATTCTCGTTGAATTAGTCGATACCCATCACATGACCGCCCCAATCGAGCCCGCGCGTGGCTCAGAGGGAAGGTATTGCTTGGAAGATGTAAATGGTTCACAAACTCCCACTGGCGGACTTGGCTTTTAAGTTTTCGACGACGAGCTTATGGAATTCGGTGACCTTGGCGACGCTAGCGGCTTTTTTCTTGAGAGAAAAGGCTTGCCCGTATTGCATGTGGTCAGCCGTAGATTAGGAAGAGTCGGAGGAGTGTTCTGGGCCTACTATTTGCCACATCGCTGCTCGCATTCCATCGCAAAGCTAGCCGTAGACCTTTTTCAGGTCGTGTCCATGATGGCTGGCGTCGAAAGCCATTTCTCAAATGCGGCCGGTTTCTCTTCTCCCTTAGTGTTGACAGGGATGTCCATTCAGATTATACCATCATTCCTAGCTGTTAATGCCACACCATGCAGCAAGTGTCGTTTAGGTGGCTGCGTAGATTCGTTGTAGATTTAGTAAGGGTTTCAATTATCTTCGGGGGGTTCTGCGTTGGCTGTGATGCAGAGTGCGCCCTAGAGACACAGTTCCTCGAACATCTGATAATCAAATCGAGTTACGATTCCAAAATTTAAAGACTCTGTCTCCAGCGGGAAGACAATGGTTCTGTTCTCTTTCTACGTGAAGTGGTACATCCATCAGCAAGGCGACCTGGACATTGATGGTTTCATCCCATTAGAAGCCGACGCGGGGGATAAACCACAAATTCTGTAGCACTGACTCACTACTAGATGATCTTGACAGAATGTGAGGCATTTTCATTCTAGTCTCGAGCCAAATCTGAAAATGGGTGTCTCGCCATCATCTGTTTGTACCCCAGTCTCCGGCACTAGCATAGCTTCCACAACCGCCATCAACCACGACACATTACTCATCAGGCGCCGTGTACACATAGAACCATTGACCACCGAGCCAATCAGTGCCAACCTGGTCTCAGCATCGTAATGGTCTTGTTCAAAATTCCAAGGTCAATGGCAACACCATTCGATGGGAACACCATTCGTCTCACATGGATTGCATAGCGTAATTTCCTAATGCTGCCTAGATGATCTTCTTCAATTGATGATCCGGGACTGTTTACTATAGATTTAACGATGCTTGTACAGGAAATGACGGATAGAACAGTGGCGTGGATACGGATGTCGGCCAGTGGAAGCTATGAGCGTTATATGCTGGTTAGTATCACGGCTATTGAAGCGGAATCAGCAGCCACATATTGGCTGAGTGTTGTGTGTTGTTGACCACTTTGTGAGGCCTGGCTGTTGTTCTAGTTCGCGCCATGTTCTAATACCCACATGGGTATTTCTAAAATGTGAGAAGGGAGATTGATGAACACGGGGCTATAGGTAGGAGAGGGTTACTTCTGTATGTTCCAAGGCCCATATTAATTAGTTAGATACATCGCATCTAGTAGCCTAGCCGCAAATTTGGCATCATCGGTGTCACAGTGTGATCATGCAGCACTAGAACTCTTTGATAGGTGAACTCATGTTGACATGATCGGCAAATGTACATACTCAAGCTCCAAGCATGCCTCTGGTGTTCAATACACCTAATAACCTGGTGTTTATCACCGTCGTTCACGATCTGGGACTTATCTTCAAATTCATAGATCATCGGGATTTTATCGTCTGTTTATGGCCAAACAAATTTTCCGTTCATCTCTACCTAGCTCATGCCGGGATCCGAATCTCAAGAATCAAACATCCAGCTCAACCTCATCGACCGTTGACACTTTGTGCAACTTCATGCCAAAGTGCTTTGCCACCCCCTGGATTGCATCCCAGATAATCTGGACGTCATCCTTTGAGACGCCGATTCTTCTTGTGCCTCGAATATGCCAATGTGATTCATTCTTCAGATTCTGCATCATCATGCCCGACAACGTGACCAACTGTGTGTCAGTATCACCCAGCACCTGGCGATCAGACAAGTACAAGCCATAGGTGATCTCAGTGGAGATCCAGGCGAAGTCCTTGTGAGCGTCGAAGAGGCCGAGAGTGCTGCTCGTGTTCTGTGTATAAACTTTTCGCAGCCAGCCCATGGCGCGTTCGTGGTTGGCTTCGTCACACTGCCAGTTCTCGCGCGTGGAAGTGAAGTCCTTGTCCTCGGGTCGCTCAACTTGACTGATGGCGACGATTGCCTCAATTGGTTTGCAGACTCCGATAATCGGAATTGACTTGACCAAGACCTCTCTGAGACGGCGAACCAGGGCCTTACGGGAGTCGCTTGTGGTGTAATGGGGCTGGCTGGTGAGGTAGGTGTAGAGTTGAGATGATGCCTCCGGGTCCGGACTCGCTGTCAGGCAGGCAAGAGCCAGTATATACCAACTATCGTTATTGAGCTGTGTTGACTTGAATTTGGTCTCAATGCTGCTGAAAAGCCTTGCTAAGTCGTCCTCGACCTTGGTTGACGGAGGTGGGCCACTCATGATGTTGCCAGGTACTGTGTAAGCCTTTCATGTGTATGTTGATGAGGAAATAATGGTAATGTGTCGGGGTTCCGTCTTGTTTACCTATTTAGATGTGTTTGTTCGTTATTTACTGCGCCATTGGCGACGTCAGGGTCAGTGTCAGTTTGCAGTGGTGGAGACATTAGCGACGGTTAGTTGCGCCTGCCCAACGCTAACGACGGATGCCATAGTGGAGGAGGAAGTACAGAAGCCCTGCGGGGAAAGAGGGTGGGGGTTTTTGGGGGTGGGGTCCCCCCTAGGTGGTTCAAAAACGCAACCGTGCGCTATGGAGTTTTTCAGCGCAGGATGTTCAGATTTCTCCAGCCTCAAAAGCAATCATTTTGAAGGTAGTCACTTCGGTCCGTCAAACGACTCACAATCGATGGGTTCGAGGTAAGTAGGTAAGTATAGGTTTGGTATTTGCCGCAGACTCATAATTCTTTGCTCAGCGCATATTAGAAGTCGCACTGGAGGCTGTGTTACCTACACGTTCCCGTAATATTGCTACAGCTCGCCGACTTCGGAGTTTATATTGCACGGACATAGCACATTTCAGAATAGATTCAAACAGAATAGGTCACTCATGCACCTGTCTAGGTATTCGTATAATAGGAAATCTATGGACCGTCCACCTTGTCTTTCCCACCACATTTTGTTGAACCAAATACACGCGTTGCGGGGCCGGTTTTGGTGAGTCAGTGGGGCAGTCAGTCCACTTGTAACCGCAAGTTATCTTCGGGCCCGCGGACTGCGCTTCATTATGCGACGCCAGTGTTGCTTAGTTCAACGAACCAGTCTAACCGTTAAGGTACTACGTACTCGTACGACCTCCAGTCGAGTCTTGCTCCGGCGCCCGCGGAATACGCTTCAGCAACGCCAGCCCAGTGCGTTGCACAAAGACTGATCAAACTGTCTAGACAGTCACCGGTTGTGGCTGCCTCAGGGGCTTCGGCATGTTCCTGGGCGGCCGCCGGCACCTGCGCAGTATGGTTTGTGCTGGAGCCTTCAAAAGTTCTAGCCACAAATATTTTCTACCGTCGCAATCCTCACTATTATCTACATAGTCGCGCAACAACTAGAATTCGATGGCCATCCTATGCCAGCACTTTGGCGTTACTCCTTCATACTAGACCGACTACTTATTCGATGTTCTTTCCGCGCCTGGAAGCATCATGATGTCGCGCCGCGATTCTATTCGGGCCCGTTTCTTCCTTTACCCTGAACCAATTCCCGCGTGAGCTTCTTTCCAGCCCCTTTCTGCACGCGTCGCAGCTGACAGTCACAATTAGCCCAGACATACCCTACAAAAATGGAAATAGGCCTCTTTCCAGTTACAGGGGCTGGCCTCTGGTAGTTGCTGCCTTCTTGTAATTGCCCAGATCGCTCGCTTGCATATATGCTCGCTCTGTGTTCTTGTGCTTGCGCTGACACAAACCGCCCTTCCCATAGAATGGAGTGGCTAGGCTTTCTCAGGCGAAAAGTTTGGGCGGATGCGGGATTCGGCTCATTGCGAGATATCAGGCAACACATTGAGGACACTGAGCCTCGATTCGATCCCACCGTCTTTCCACTTGAAGATGCTGGCTTAGAAGCTTCAGAAGGTCGAGAGGATGCGGGTGTGAGAGAAGGCTCGGAGGTACCAACGCGAGTCCTTTTGCCTTGGAAGAAGTATTCCGTGGCAGATTATCGATCTCTTTATCTCTCGGGTGAGTTGACGCCATTGGATGTTGTTCATTCCATTCTTCCCCTGATCCGACGAGACACTTCGCCACCAGGTGAGCACTCCATGGCCTGGTTCCATGTCAACGTTGACTTGGTCATCAGGGCTGCTGAGGCTTCCACGTTGAGATACAAAGAAGGACGATCTCTTGGGCTGCTGGACGGTATCCTGACGGCCGTCAAGGACGAGTACGACATGGAAGGTTATATAACAACTCTTGGGTCTGTGAATGACTATACAGGCAAGATTTTCAACGAGGACGGTAAGATTGACGCCTGGTGCGTGAGAAAACTGGCCGATGCAGGAGCTATCATCATGGGCAAACTCTCAATGCATGAGTTTGGCATGGGTACGTTGTATCCATCACAGTATCCTGCTTGGCGCCTACGTCGCTTACATACTCAGACACATCTAGCAATAACATGACTTATGGAACTCCGTTAAATCCATACAACCAAAACCACTATACAGGCGGCAGTTCCTCCGGTTCAGCCTACGCCGTTGCTGTAGGCCTTGTCCCCATCACACTGGGCAGTGACGGTGGCGGCAGTATTCGCATACCTTCGTCTTTCTGCTCTGTCTTTGGCCTCAAGACAACCCACGGCCGACTGTCTAGCCATCCAGGGCAGAACCACAGCAACACTTGTGGAGTCAATGGGCCTATTGCAGCAGACATGCGCTCCCTTGCAGCCTTGTACGAGGTTATCAGTCGGCCGCATCCTACGTCTCACTTCCCCTTGACATCCCAAGTAACAAAGTACGACCCATATCGGCCCAAAGTCATTGGCATCCCAGAAGCTTGGTTTCAACGCGCCACGTCGGCAATCCAGGAATTGTGCCGCGGCATGATTGACTGGCTCGTTGCACGCAAAGGCTACAGTGTCGTTCCCATCACGATGCCCTTTGTTGAGGAGGGCCAGATGGCTCATGCGCTGACGATACTCACCGACGCGGCCACACTACTGCCCGACACCCGCGGACTTTCGCCCGCAAATCGCATCCTCCTCGCTCTAGGCCGCACCACCCCAGCCACCGACTATCTTCTTGCCCAGAAGCTGCGCCGTGTGTTGATGCAACATCTCGCCTGGCTTTGGCAGACTTACCCGGGCATGGTCATTGTGACACCCACCAGCGGCTGCGCTGGCTGGCGGATCCGCTCCGAGGCTGAGCTCAAGTACGGTGTCAACGATGGTGATAAAACGAAAAAGACGATGGAATACGTGTGGCTGGCTAATTTCTGCGGAGTACCGAGCCTCAGCGTGCCGGTGGGCTATATTATTCCCGAAGGACACGAGGATGAGGGAGAGGTTGCTGATTCGGACACGGTGGGCAAAATTCCTGTAGGGTTGATGGCCACGGGTGAGTGGGCGTCCGAACTTGCACTCATGCAGTTTGGGCTGGATTCAGAGGAGGCAGGCCTTGATAGGCAGTGCCGGCCGCCGAATTGGGTTGACGTTGCTGAGCTTGCAAGACAACGAAGGGGCGAAAGTATACTGTGATGTCTGCATTTCAATAAGTCTCTCCAACCGCGGCGTATATGAGAAGAATATCTAGGAGAGAAAGGACCCGTAAACAAAAAAGAAAGCACTCGATGATTGATCACACAGTCTAGAGGACTGAGATGACACACGGCGTCTGAGGCTGCGAAGAGACATCGTATTTTTGGGGAAAAAAAGCGAATCTTTCCGTCTCGTTGCGTTCAGCCGAAACGAAACCGTTTGAGCATCAGAAGACTCACTTGATGACGCTGTGTTCCGGAGGTAACGGCTGATGGAGGCGGTGTCTTTCAACGAAGTAGGATCTATGGAGTCCATTTGATTACCCTCGTAACTTCGTGTTTCGATGAAAAGTTGACCGAAAAAGCCGACAGATGGACCTTTGGTCCCCAAGGCGTCTATAAAGGCTCAACCATCTACTTCTTTCTACAATGATCTACTATTAGGAGGACTAACGTAGTCCACGGTCCAATTGCACACTTCGGCAGATTTTCGTACGCTACCACTTTGACCTGCGGTTTTTCACCACATAACTATGGTTGGTTCTTGGAACGAAAGTGATATAATTCTAGCATTACATGCGCTTCAATCTGATCCAAAATTAAGTGTACGTCGCGCTGGTCAGATCTATAACGTACCTTTTAGAACCCTTGCGTATCGACGCGACGGTAAAACCGCTCGAGCGATTACGCGATCGCCAACACAAAAGTTGGCTCCTTCCGAAGCCCAATCACAAAGCAATTATGTGAAAAATAGGATTGTACGACATCAAAATAGCTCACCAAGGTCAATTTTTGCTGGAATAGATCAGATTGCGCGAGGTACAACGAAGGTTATGCATCGGCTTGCCCTTTTAGAAGGCGAGGTCGAATCACTTCGAAAGGCAAATGAGACCTTAAGTCGACGTCGCCGTGCGAAGAAAAAACAGCTACAGAGTGGAGGGTCACTTCGTATACAAGATGGACAGGACCTACAGTCTCAACGAGAGGTTGATGGGCAGTTACATGACGAATTTCGTCAAATTGGTGGTCGTACGAGGCGGCGAATTGCGCGTGTACGGCGCTGTAGAATCTGCGGCGAGCCCGGACATAATGCGCGCACTTGTGGAAATGATGTAGAGACGTCTGAAGATAACGATTCTGAGTAGTTTCAATTGATGATAGGCGTTGTGGTTGAATTAACTTATACATTGTCGTATAAGGTCTGCCAAAGTGTGCAATTGGACCGTGGACTACGTTAAGCTAATACTTTTGATACTATTCGTCTGTCAATCAGGCAATGGGAAATTCACTCTGTTGACCAACTATGCTGCATTAGCTCAACTCGAGGATGGACAAATAAGGTGGCCATAATCATTTACATGGTCCTCTTTCGACTTGAGCACTGTAATGACGTAGAATCTCGCTCCGTGGTCAGGTGATTGGCTCAGGACTCCCAAGTAAAGGGCAACGCCCAATTTCATCAGCAATGAACGTTCTGCTGTTGCTCCACCCATGTCCGCATGCACAGCTCCCGGGCAGAACGAGTTGATGATGACTTGTTGTCTGGTCGGTTGCCAATGCGGGTTGGTAAAAAGTGCGAATCAAGACAGGAGAAGATGCGAAAAATAAATGTAAACCTCTTACTCGCCATCTGGTCTCAGTGCCTGCTTACACAACTTGTTGGACCTTCGAGGCCATTAGACCAAATTGCCAGCTGATGAGGATATATGGCCACCTATCGTACGTTACGGGCCAATCTGACCACCACCCAACGCACCACACAATTTCTGCTTGTGGGGCAGGCATCGTTCATTTCTACCTCTCTAAGGCCATTGCGGTGGCAGTTCACTCTCTTGGAAATCTCCATAGATCACCACAAATTCAGTGCAATTCAATCGGCACAATTAGTCCAATACAACTCTGCAATGGCATGCATGACCAGTGGATTTCTTCCGCCGAGGTTTCACTCAGTAGTAGGGAACAAAAAAAGGAGCCAGGTCTTGCTGGTGAAATGGTGCAGTATGCCATCATTTCCGGCCCACTCAGCCCAGTGGCTGAAGTTTGGATATAGAAAGTCCCGCGAGGTGAGGAAGACGAGATGAGCGGGTGTCTTACTCAAGCCGATACACTAGAAAATAGAGATGGTTTCTGATTTGAGACTGTGTAAGTACTTACACCTTCATTTCAGCCATCGCTGGTATTGTCTCCTCGATTGGAGTCTTGGGGGTGGCGCGGTGCATGTAGATGTCAATATATTCAACAGCAGGAAGCTGGCTGTCTGCACACGCCTTTCTAGAACATGTTCCTGAAGTGTCGGCCTCGGAGAAATTGGGCAGGCCATTGGACGAGGCTGAATTTGGTCGCAAGATACATCTGGTCCCTCTTCCCAGTTCGCTTCAACCACCTGCCCAGGAGCGCTTCGCCGCCGTACAAGCTGGGGTTATATTTATCCATCATTATTCTCGTGAGGCACATAAGCGGACCGTAGGATACTCACTTGAACGTGTCCCAATCGTTAGCGCCTAGTCCCGTGGCCCGGTCGAGCACTGCGAACCTCTCCTTGTCTGGCGGCACGTAGCATGGACATTCCCATGAGACTAAGGCCTAGTGCTGGGACCAGTATTCCATTTTCACTGAGTTTGCGAAGGGGTACATTCTGGCTTCACGTACTCGTGTGATTCTTTAGCTTTGGCCGCGATTCGAGGTGCAATAATAGGTTCCAAAAGTGCAGCCAATCCAAATGCGTCAATACGTGGCTGATGCAACTACGCAGTTATATCACACTTTACATGGATATCGTGCAAATTTCATGGAGCCATATGCTCATGAGGATACTGAGTCGTAGCATGGACCCTCTGGTTTGTTTCAAAGTGTATCTAACACAAGCTCCTATCGGTGATGAACTGATATACGATTTGAGCGGCTGTGCCCCTCGAATGTGCGTTTTTTTCAGAATCAACAGGAATGATGAAGCTAGGGGAACGTGGCACTCTCTAAAGAAATGACATGGAATGCTGCCACACAATGTTGCAAAGTGTGACGTAGCTATGTCGGGCTGAGTAGCAGCACCAGGTTTTCTGATCTCATTTCTCGCATATATTTCAGCTGTTGTTTGCAAGAGGCGCGGGATTGCGGGCGACTCGGAACACTCTGACTTTCCTAGCTCTGCGCATCTATATTTGCAGCATCATGTCAGGGCCACAGGGTTACGGCTATCCAGCATGTCTCAACCTCGATCGCCTTGGCAGATTCACGTGTTCTTCGATTAGCAAGGTGAATACATCGCGTGATGATGCATCCGGTGTGCTCTAAAATAAGCAAAGACAAGCCTGAAATTGGCCAGCTCGTGAAGGGGGAATATCTTCAGATGAGAGTCCCAATTACTCCGGACCCATACCTGCACGCTGCTGACTCGGGCAAAGTTCATGGACGAAAAGCCCAAGAGCTTCGTCGTCCGATCGCTTTTAGCTTTCATGTCATGTCATCTGTTGATGGTATTTGCCGCGACAACCCTGCTCTGTGGCGCGTCTGCTGCGGAACCGCGTTGCACGGTATTCTATATTTATACCCTGCCGGCCTTCTGGGAATATTTCCCATACCCATCTTTCAATCTCTATCTCCTGAGATAATCACGACAATAAAGCAATACGCAGCTTCAAGATGGCCACTCAAACTGCTCGACCCGTTACCCAAATTCCTGATCACGCAGCGGAGAAGTCCGACTTAAACGATTCCACTGCGAAAGTATGGGTTCAAGTTCCATATGATGTGAGTTTCCCCTTTGCACCCATTCCCAGCACTATCGCAACAACTTCCTAACAACAGCTCAACAGCCTTCCAAATACGAGGCCTCCCACAATGCCAAGAACTTTCTAGATTGGGAACAAACCTGGGATGGTCTGTTCCCAATGCTTCTGATCTACTCCGTGGGCTGGGTCCGGAGTTCTGCCCCGCCGGGACCCGACAACGCGACTTACGACCTCATGTACGAGTCCCGGGCCCGTGATCAACAGACAAAGCCAACTGCCATTGGCAAGTTCAACTCGGTGGGCGTCGCCAATAACCACGCTATGGCGTACATGGATCAGTGCACGGTGAGCCCGCAGGCCGACATGGATGGAAAGGGCTTCACGTGGCGATTGCATCCGAATGGCTGTCTGGACCTCATGATCCAGGAAGATGGGGAAGAGCATAAGATTTATGTTCAGGAGCAGAGTCCTGAAAGTGAAAATGGGCCGTAGAAGTGGTGGTCTAATCGTTGAGATGAAACGATAATCATAGGGCAGATGAAGTGTAAACAGCTCGAAATCAGAAGCATGATGAACTTTTCCATTATCACATGGCAGTTTTCTAATTTATTCGATCACCAAGGCTACGGTCGCTTTTGACGAAATAGTGTAATCGCAGTTCTTATACTTATGCAGCCCATGACTCCTTAATCTTGCTGATAGGTTAGCCCCTTACGCAAGAAATCCACGAGTCACGGTTCTCATGGGACGTTCGCCTTTAGGGATTACTTTTCTACATAACCTTGAGTCTGCACACATTTGACCCTTTGTAGGTATTTTATCTATTATTAATAGACCGTGGAGATGTGGGGAGAAGCTTTGGTTCGTAGACTTCTAAAGCGTGATAAAGTTCTTTGGCCACCACTTCGCCCCAGATTCATCCCCGGTGTATCATTTATGGACCCGGTTTATGTGAGGAAGTGAAAATCTGAGAAACTTGTCTGAGTCTACTATACTGCAATGCAAATGGTGCTGAACTATTCATGCTCTTCGACTTTCCTATCCATCAAGTATGGCCATGCGAGTGCAACAACTGCAACAACTGCAACACTGGCCAGATATAGCCACCATACCAGCCCAACTACTCCTTCTTCAACGCCAAGAGCAAACACATAGCCACCAATGGCCGGGCCGATCGCGCGGGCAAGACTGGCAAGCATATTCCCAGCGCCATGAATAGTTCCCAGTACGGATCGCTCAGGGGCTGCCTCGGTTAGGAGGATGACAGTGCTTGGGATGGCCATGGTGCGAGCCATAATCTGAGCGCAAACTATGAGCCCAAGGAACACCCATCGTGCCTCGTGGTCTCCAGTCAGTAACGAAAGATACGGAGCCGCGGTGTATGTGATCGGAAAGAGAAATAATGCAATGCGGAAGACTCCACGAGTGCCGATCCGTACTTGCAGCCGAGGGTAGATGAATAGCTGCAGCAAAATGCCACATATACCAAAGACTGAGAGCCAGAGGCCGATGGTTGCCGATCGAAGACCCAGACCGCCGGTGAACGCGTAGAATGTCGCCTCGGTATTATCTGCTGGAGGGCTGCTGAGATATACTGGAAAGATGTGCATGAAGGCCGAGTTGTGCAAAGGGAGGAGTCCAAATGATACTAGGGCGCATACTACTTTCCGCGTCCAAATATCTCGAAAGGGGGTCTTGCGCCTATCAGTGATGTTGATAGTAGTTGTGGGTTTCTCGATGACTGGTGTCATATCCATTAGTATTTCATCGGTTTCTCGAATGGCAACGTAATCGCTTTTACGCGCTGTGAGTAAGCGCCTTGCAAATCGTCTTAGCACGACGCCCGTTTCAAGACCGATATCACTCTGGCCTTCTTTACCCGGGAGTGTCTCCCGAAGGCCCAACACCGCCAGTGCCAGAGCAATAGTCAAGAGTGTGGCATTTAGCAGCGCGGGCAGGGCGTACGGATATGTGAGTGCCCACACCACACCATCAGGATTCCCGATCGTGTTGAGGATGCCGCCTGGCCCAAAAAGCCAAGGCAAGTTGATAACTGGCTCAGCTAACATGCCACCTAAAGCAAGACTGGCTACCATGCCGGAGTTGAACACCAACGGTAGCAGAAGGAATGCTTTGGTTTGGAACCTGCGCTCCTTCACAATTTCCGCCGTCACTGTCCTCATAATGCCGACATTTCCGTTGGCAAACCCGGCGAGTGTCCGCCAGAACAGGAATGCGCCCAAAGATCTCGAGAGGCCGAAGCCGATATTTGCCAGGACGGATATGACGAGCCCGGCAATTATAGAGATGCGGCGGCCATGAGAGTCTGAAATTCTGCCCCACGGAAGACTGACAACGAATTGTGCTAACGGAAAGGCAGCCACTAACAAACCCGAATACTCTGATATGCGCGCAGCCGCGTCGTCGGGAGAGTCGTCTTCGGATTTCGGCAAGACGGACCGAACGAGGTAAAATATGTAGGGCAGTAGGCAGACATTCGACAGCGGCTCGGATAATCGACAGAGGGACAGGATGAAGAGCTGATTCTTACTCGGCAGATCCCTCCACCGAACTTGTTCAGCTTCGGCATGCTTTTGCAGGCTAGAATCATCATCCCCCCCGCAAATGGTAGTGGTGTCGTCGCTGGTCTCCGATGGCGCTGCAATAAGTGCAGCTGCTGCATCTGATAGGTCATCCACGTGTCAGCATGCTTTGAATCGCGGCAGTGGAGAAACAGCGTCCACAGTGCAATAATGATCAGCATGGCATGATTCTTTTAGTTGACTTACCAGCAGAGGAGCTAGACCCTTGAGCCACAGCTCCTTTCCCAACCGACTTGGCCATCGGGATTGTATAGCAACTATCGTCAAACGGAAGCGGACGGCAAATGCCAAAGAAGTTCTTGCCTTGTTTCCAATAACACGAGGCGACACTAGGCTTGGGTCGACGCTCAAGGCAATAGTAATTGGCAAACTGGCAACCTAAACCCGATATCACCACTCGAAGTGGATCGCGAGACCCATCAAACACTTTTATAATGTCGATCGGAGGCTCATCGACCGTGACTCTTAAACAGGGGTGGAATTAGAGGTTTCAATGGTAGCTCATTGCAATTATCCAGATTTGGCAATTTATAGCTTCTCCATACCCCAGACAGGACCCTGGGAGTGACTGGAATTGCGTAAGTTCCAACCCCAATTCACTTTAACCGCCGCTATCCGGTACGTTTCCTTCTTTTGGCGGCATATATCACACACCTGCCGTAGAAGCCCCATGCAGCATCCGGCAAATAGTTGACGAACTTGCCTTTCTGCCAAGACGGTGAAATGCAAGCCTGTCCCATTGGATGATAGCTTTGGCTCTGGCTGACGGTCAACCTGGGGTGCCGTTTCGGTAACGGGTCATGATTCGATGACAGGTCTACTGACCAGAGCGTCGTGCACTACAACTTGCTGCAGACCCGGCAGGCTGGGGTTACATTATCGCCCCTCTGCAATATGTAGGAAACCATATTAAAGGCATACGCATCCTCGTTTCGTTATCAATCCTTCGAGGCCCGGATTAGCTACTGCATCATCGTTGACTGAACTATAACCTGCCAGTCTTGGCTCCGGGTTGTCTATTGCTGTGTTATTGTAATTGATTTTCTTTCCCGAAACCATGGCGGTATTCACCAAAGCGACTATTAGGTTACACCTCTTATGTATATTCTTCGCAGTTGGATCTTTCGTCTGGGGGTAAGTTCCATCTTTAAAACTCCGCAATGCGGGTCTTCGAGCATTATACTCGACCGACCGACCGACTTACGGAAACCCTTTTTGTCTCATCGCAACGTCGCCATACTAACACAAGCATTCGAACAGCTACAATGTTGGCATCCTCTCCTCGGTCCTCGTCCATCCCGGCTTCGACGCCGAGATGGGCAAGCTCACCGCTTCCCGTAAAGGCGTCATCACCGCGATTTACTACCTCGGAACCTGGACGAGCTACATCTTTCTATCGCACCCCGCGAGCGACTTCTTTGGACGGCGATATGCCGCGCTTATAGGCACTGCGACCATCGCGGTCGGTACGGCGTTTGAGGCGGGCGCGAGATCCCCGGGGGCATATGCGATGATGATTATAGGACGTATAATTTGTGGTCTGGGAGTTGCGATTGTTTCTACGTCTGTTCCGCTGTATCAAAGGTTAGTATATACTAATTTCGCGCTTGTGGCGTACAGTTGACTTTTGTGTAGTGAAGTTTCACCTGCTGGCCAGCGAGGCAAGTATGTAGTTTTGAATCATGTTGGGTTCGTGGCAGGGCTGGCGGCTGGCTTTTGGTATGTTGAATTACCTACTTCGTATGAATCCGTAGCTAAGCATTGCTAACCTCTCACAGGGTTGGTTATGGTATCACATTCTGGGGTGAAAGTCCCCACGACAACTACGTCTCGTGGCGGTTCTCGGTTGCGATTGTCCTCGTCCCTTGCTTGATTTTCGGCGTTGGTTTACCATTTCTACCTGAGACGTAAGCCCACCGGTACTATTACGGCTAGTAAGCCTCATACTCACAGTTTATAGTCCTCGATGGCTTATCAAACATGGTCACTACGACCGCGCCCAGAGATCTCTACACTGGCTCCGCGAGGGCAGTTTCACCAACGCCCAGATGGAAATCGAGCTCAACAGTATCCGGGACACAGTTGAAGCTTACAAAACTTCGGGCCACAACTGGCTATCCTTGTTCAAGGAGCGAAGTCTCTTCAATCGTCTGTGGCGGGCAGCACTCCTCCAGTTCATGGCTCAGATGTGTGGCGCTACGGCAATGAAGTACTATCTGCCAACTTTGTTCCTTAAGCTAGGCCTTGGCAGGCGGATGTCGCTTCTAGCTGGTGGCATCGAGTCCACTTTGAAGATTGGGATGACTGTGATTGAGATGCTACTTATCGACAGACTTGGAAGGAGGACGACACTGCTCGCTGGGTGCACCGCCATGAGTGCGGGTATGCTTGTAAGTTAGCAATGAACGGGTCTGGGGAGAATTCGACTGACACACCAAAGATTAATGGAGTCCTTGGAGAGGCATATCCCAACAACCAGAACCGTGCTTCGGATATTGTCTGCATTACATTCATCTTCATCTATGCAATTGGGTACAGCCTTAGTTTTGGGCCGTCTGCATGGGTCTATGGGTCTGAGGTGCGAGACTTCCACAACTACGCGCCGGTCCGTGATCCGTTGAGCTAACATGTCCCAGATATTTCCGACTTCCGTGCGTGCCAGAGGGTTGAACTTCTCTGCTTCTGTTGGAGCTATCGGTTCAGTCGTCGTTGCACAGGTCTGGCCTGTGGGAATTGACCAGATTGGGTCCAGGATTTACTTCTTTTTCTTCGCAGTGAATGTCGTCTGCGTTCCTGTAAGTTCTCTTCGGTAAGCGTAGTCCACGGGAGTGAGCTAATTTGTGGTCCAGATCATCTACCTGCTGTACCCAGAGACGAAAGGTCGAGCATTGGAAGACATGGAATCGCTCTTTAGCAGAGGTACAATGCGGAGGAACAGTGAAGCCTCGGATCTACACGACGATACGGCCTTGCCGAAGACTAATCCTCATTCCGTATGATGGCGGATTCTATGTGCTAAACACATGTGAGTGTAGAGAATAGGCGGTGGCAGTGTACAAAATTTGCACATACCAATTGCGAAGCAGTAGTACAAAGTCAATGACAGTTATTTGCACACGCACTTGATTGTTCTCAATCTCATGTTTATTCGTATGTGTACATACAATCTTGAAATTACTCAAATACTTACCTCTCATTTTAGTATCTTCCATTAACTTCACTGACAATAATTCCCGCCTGCGCCATGAGAAGGCTTCTGGACCCATTGACGGGCAATTAATCATGTATATATTGAGTCAATGAACTTCGGGACCTTTGGACCAACGAATTATTGCATTATTGGAATGAGGCTCAAGCAATTCAGGACTCTAGGGGAGTGCCAAACCAGATACCGCTCGTGGATAGGGATATAAGCAGGGCTAGATAGCATCAATTATGAATGCCAAGAACTAACTACTTTGTCTCTACTTTGCATTCGATGAAGTTTTAGGTGTATATTCAGGATTTTATCTTGGTTATTGTGTTGTACGCACGCAAGGGTATCATCGGGTCCATGGGTTTGCCGGAATGTAAGCACTTCAGGTAGTTACTGAAGTATTTTCGCCCTGTGTTGTCCGGTGCCTCTTCAGCAGTTCGAACCCAATGTGAGTTCCAAACGAACGAGATGGTGTGAGGGTCTGGGAAGCACTTTGCCTTTCCATATTCACTCAACTCGCCCCTACCAAGTTGAAGTCCTGCCTTAGGGTGTGACTGGAATGCACCTGCGTTGGTTCTGCTTCCCGAACAGTTTTATCCCATTTCTAAATTGGAACCTTTCCCCAATCCTAAGGCCACCACAGTCGCCAAACTGTATTTTCACCAGGTTGGTCGCCTTCTGTATGCTTGATCCCTCTTCCATTTCATTGTTACAGTTTCTCCCCTTGTTACTTTCGACAAACATGAGCGAGGCAAATAGCTCCATGGCGGGTTTGCAGCATCGAAGAACCGGCGGGAGAATGGAACTGACTGGGTTTTTGAGCTTCTTATGGCAACCACACGCCCGATTCGACCCGATTCTGTAGGGCAATAAAACGCTGCATGAGTTACACAGGTAATGCAACAAGCTGAAAATCGCTGCCTGGAGAGTCAATGATGCAATAAAGCCCAAGAAAGCTGGACAAAACTGATTAAAGAACCCGGAGGTGAAGCAATTACACTCGTGAGGCTCACCAAAATTCATGAGCGGCAACTTGACGTCCATGGCAGGGCATTAGGGCTGTTTATAGACGAGACGTAGGTTGGCTGAAATAGTCTTAATCATCTTGTATACTGAGAATGTGGCTGGGGCCAGGGTGACATTGGTCACTGCAGTGCTCTTCTACTGTGATCTTGCGGAATAAACTGAATGAACGGAGGTATTGGCCCTCTGGTCGTCTACGTCATCTAGCTTCGCAGATTCCGACAGCTACTGATTGGCTATGTGATCCTGGAAGACAAACAAATCAACTCATGGTTTCCTTTGAGACCAGAATTGCTCCTCGATCGCTTAGCTTATTTGATATACTTAGTGGTTGTTCGATGCTGCAGTGACTTCTCTAGCCCCTTTACAGTCTTCGCCTACGCGCTAGGAGCACTGTCTGAGGGTACCTCATCTTGAGAACGAGACCTTAATGTTCATTGACTAAGAGCTCATCATTTCAAGGTTTCATGCAACATCCAAGTGGATTGTTCTATACACGAGGAAGTACTCCCTTCTTGGTCCGGAATATCATCCCTGTCCCGTGAACTCGGACATCCATTTGGTATCTACCAGACGCCATGCAATACAATCAACCTTCCCAACCATCCATCCGAAAATAAGGCCATGCCACACGACCACCTAGTTTAAGTTAATCGACGCTTCCTTCACAAATAATGCATTCAGCCCTGTACTCCACCTGCATCTGCACTTCCTTCAAACGCCCTTACTCCAACCCCATCTGCACCTCATCCCCCACCCCCCAAGTATCCAACTCCTTCCGACTCCCTTGTATCTCGAGCTCAAGCTGGGGCGTTAGGTTCCCCTCGCCATCATGTAAACTGCCTACCTCGCTTGTCCTACGACTGCGCCTCGACTCACCCGTCGTCCGCCTACGCAATGACGGGGCGACCTTGCTGCTGCCACTGCCAACGGAGAAACCACCTGAGGGGAAGCGGAAGCGAGTGCTCTTAGACGAGGTGGAGAGAACTGAGACGGAGTCCATGTCTTCGTCGTCTCTGGGGTTGGTGTCCGTGTTAGAGTTGGATGAGGGGGATGTGGATGGTTCGGGGTTCGAACTAGTTTCTATGGGTTGCGCTTGCGCTGGGCGAGACGGCAAAGCTGGGGGTGGAGGTGGGGCGGACTTCTCCTTGTAATTGTTATTCTGATTGTCATTTTCGTCTTCTTCTTCGTCTGCTTCGACGAGCTCTGCGTCACGATACCACTTCCTTCTACGCGTCCAGCGTCCCCAGCCATCCTGGCCTCGGCGGCCGTTCTGCCACTGCATTTCCATCTGTTAGTGATTGACGCGAAGTGAAGGTGAAATGGAAACGTACCTTGTTATCATAGAAGATCCATCCCGTTTTTCCTGATTCGCCCTCGTACTCATTTTCATCCTGCACGTCGCCCACACCATCGACGCGCCACTTGCTCCCTTTAACCCATCGCCACTTAGCATGACCATCTTCCACCTCGGGTAATTCGAACTGGTCCCTTGGTGGAACCGCATTATTGTGTTCATCCGTCCAAGCCGAACGCTCGTACGCAAACAGACTATTCGTCCAACCGAGACCCACCCACCTACGCTGGTTCTCGTAGATTATAAACGTGAACCTGACACCGGATTCCTTGCCAGATCTGCTCCGCTTAAGGGCAGTTGTCAAGGCGGATACCTGGGATGTTTTATTCTTTTTATCTGCCGTCGCTCTCCCCTTTCCTTCCACCTCGTCTTTGTTTCCAGCTCCAGCGGTTGGCTTCTTAGGCCCCTCAAATTCGAGCCCGGTGACCCATCTGGCGATCTCGCGTATCGTCGCACTACGCCATAGCAGCGTGCGAGACACTTGACAAATCCTCGAATGCCACGATAATACGAGCGTCCCGAAGAGCATGACTACGCGCTTGGTAGTAATGATACGCAATGGCGGCAACGTCAGCACAAACCAGATAGGCGTTACCGCCAAAATCCTTACAAACAGAGTGGTGAGGGCCGGTCTCGTAGTGGCACTCGTAGCAGTCCGCTGTGTAGACAAAAAATCTGTCATTTCCAGCAGGGGCTCCAACAGGATGTTGCATCGCGTCGTAAACACCTTAAGCGTATCGACAATCTCGTCCAACGTCTTCTGATGGCGCGTGCTGGTCACCTCGCTCGTATTCGTCTGGTGCGCACCTCCCGTGCCACTACTTGCGGCGCCAGGGGCGTTCTTCTTCTTATCCTTGGTTGTAGCCCAGCTAGGATGGTCGGCCCATCCACTGCTGGAAAGCGGGCTGTATCGCCGACCGTACATGCCGCCGATAATACCCAGCACAACCGCAATAGGTCCGGCCCAGCGCATCACCACGTCGCCGTACTGCACGACCGCCCAGAACAGTACCAACAGCAGGAAGCTCTCCCACGGATCGCCCGTCGTCCAGCTCAACAAGCCCGAGAGCTTGTTCAAAGGCAGGAGAAACGGGTGACTGTAGGCGAGAGCGCGCGTGATTTGGGGGGGTGTGGCAAGAAGCAGTGGCGACTTCTGGTGTACGAGGATGGTAGAGCGTCGCTTAGCTGCCGTCGCGGCATTGGACAGGTTCGACGATGAGAAAGCGGCGTAGGTGGGAGGCGCATTGTAGGGAGGTTCGGCGACGGGGGTGCCTAGCCCGTCAGCGTCGCCATTTCCGTTGTCGCGAGGCATGGATTTCGGAGTCGACATGTGGGTGAGCCAAGGTATATCCTTGCGCATATTGGGTCAGCTTCAAGAATGCATCCTGTGTGCTCAAGTATAGAACTCAAGATGTGGTGGAGTTTGGCAAGATGCCGCGACGCAGGCTGGCTGTTCACTACAGGCTTCCTTCCAGCAGCCTAACTAGACAACGAACGTCTCCAAAACAGGCTGCGGACAGGGAAATTGGAGCTGCGTGAGATAAAAAAAAGATTTCGAATGCTAAATGTCTAAATACGACAAGTTGGAGATGGCATCAAACTTACCAGCGCAGCCATGAAGAAAGCGAGAAGCGTGTTGCGCCGCGGCTATCAGCCTTTACTGCAGCAAAGTGCACCAACGTCATCGACAGCCCGAGTTTGGTCGCGTCGCCGGCATTGATAGTGGGTAGGTAAGGTAGCCGGGATCAAGGAAATGGACCAGCTAGTTTAATCCTTCTCACTCGTGTCTCGTCGGCAACCCATGGAAATCATCAAGTGACAGAGTGTTGTAGAATCAAATTGGCTCAATTATCCTGGATCTAGGACGAGAAGAAGTACACCTTGCTGACGCCTAAACACGTTTGTCACGAATGACCTCGGGTCGCGAATGCAGCACAAGATGCGTAAAGTCATTTGGGCGGGGCCGCGCTATTATAGCACGCTGCTCGGCGTCCCCAAGCACCTCGGTTTTCACATGCTACAAAGCCACTGCGGCACCATAATCAAGGCACCTTTAAACCCCAACGCCCTCCCCTCACCTCCAAAGTAGGCTTCTCTTAAGCAGTTGAAACGCATTCCCCCCCCCCTTTTTTCTGAAATATGCTCTGCACTCCATTAGAACTGGCCCATGCCTATCATTAATCATCAGTGAGAACTCATTATGAACGCACGTGCTTCCATACAACTTTGATTCATGTACGTATTGTATGTAGTAACCCTCGGAAGTGCCTAGCAGAACTGTACTGGAAACGTAAATACGGAAGCAGGAGCCGCTGCCAACAGTGTGCAGAACTTTCCTGGTTACTGAAACCTTTTGCCATTTTGCGACAGAGCTCAACTAGCTTTCCGTAGTAGAATACCTTGAAACTTCCGACACCATACAACCAACACTCGATTACTTGTGGTTATGAATCCCGCCCAATTGACCTTCGGGCTGCCATTGCCAAATGTTTTTTCCATATAAAAACCCCTTGACTTGCTCGACCTTGGGAATTTATTTAGGCAATTTGTTAGTTATTGTCGCCCTTGCACGCGCCAATTCAAGCTGTTGCCGAGTTGATGATGCCGGTTTGGGGGAAGACTTTCAAATGATCTAGTCACCATTTCTCGAGCAGGAGAAGAGCCGAAGTGCAACTACTCCTACGTGGATAACTTGGGTGGGTGGACTTTCAAGTCTCGATTTTGCCATTGCAACCAGCGGACGAAGTCACGTGTCTGAATCTTTCCAACTGACAAGCGGCTTCCTGGGCTGCGATCGAAAACGATTACAGCATCCTCCAAGCCGGCAGCCTTGAAATTTAGCGTGAGCCGACTAAACTTATCTGGTGCGCACTGGATGGTCTCCCACCACACCGTGCCAAGCGCTTTAGGGTCGATTTCCAAGTCGACTGGTCCACCATGTGCCCTCATTGTCCTCCCATCTGGGCTTTTATAGAGCTGAAGACATGTATCCTTGGGGCTAGCACGTTCCCAAGCGTTACTGCCTATCTTGCAGTAGGATAGCTCGTGGTTGGGAGTCTGTGCTACCGCAGGAACCGTGGTCTCCGAAAGAGGTGTCCTTGTCGAAACGGCATCTGTGGGTGCATGTTGCGTGGCCGGGGCTGATGGTAGCGTTATCGCAGTTAGGCCACTCGCGGAAGAGATTAGAGTTGCTGGGCTCGGTGCAACATTGGCAGGTGCGTTCGGTGCCTCGAGGTCTGCTGACAAAGAATCTGCCCGTCGTATTTCTGTAGCTCTTGCTTGCACCGCGTAATCTGCCTTGGTGATCATCCAAATACGCTTTGCCGTGGACTTGGGAGTGCCTACGGACGAAGCATTACCCACGTCAGAACAGGTAATGCCAGGTCGATCAGCTGGAGTTGAGGGATGCTTAGATACGGGCGCCAGCTCTGGAACTGTCTTCCTTGCTTGAGGATATCGGTGGCTCTCATTAACTTTGGCTGATATGTCCTGCGATATACTTGGCTCGGGAACACCAGCGGGCATTGATGCACGCGCGCTTGTGATACCGGAAAGACGTATCGGAGAATTCAAGGGCGATGATGTCTTTGCCTTCGTAGAGCTAAAATTGCTCTTTTCTCCTCTCCTGTGGCTTGCCGTATCTGTTGCTTGGCCAACGTCGGATAACTGGGTGCACTGAGGGTGAGAATGCGGAGAGTGCGACAGTGCGTGAGACTGTATCCAATGGTGCTCGGCTGCTTTACAATCGCCCATGGGTGCTGCCCTTTCGCCTGCTGTACCGTTGATAGTCTGACCATACCTGTTGTTCTCCCTTTCGGAGTTTGGCAAGCTGCTCAATCTGTCGGATTTAGCTACTGCGGTATTTTGATGAGCGGCAGGGTCTTCTTTGGCTGATTCACTTGGCATAACATTCAGTGGTCCTTTTCGATCCGGCCTTCGTTTCGGGCCATTCGAGGTCAAGGGGACTGTTTTGACCTGTGGCTTGTTGATCTTTGCCACGCCGGACGCGTGCTGAACAGTAGGGGACTCAGTGGCAGATTTCGCATCCCTGTCAGCCGGTGGCCTAGGCAGTTCAGAAGCGAAGCAGCCACTTTGTGGAAGACTTTCTGCTGCCTTCAACCCTTCCAAGTCAGTTTTAAGATATGGTTTGGACGGGGTCACCGTGCTCGGAGAATCTTCATTGCGAATGACAGGTCTCGAGAAAGTTGTCCCGGGCTTCGTGTGACTTCGGGTATGATACGTGAGGAAGGCCTTATCCACTGAGCCAATGTCCTCGCCCAGGTCCTCCATGTCTAAATCCCCTTCACGATCGATTTTATGCTCTCCTGGGTAGTCGTCGTCGCTGGAAATATCACCTTCGAAAGCTGGCTCTTTCAGATACTCGTCCTCGTCATCGGTAGGATCAAAATTGGAATCTTCTTCGTGGCCGGCAAACTGGCCATCCGACGTGATGCATCGAGGGCTCGGCACATGACCGGCAGGGTTCCAAGGGGCTGTTCTGAAATTAGTCGGCCAACCAAACATGGTCAACAAGATTAATGATCTTACCAAGTCGATTCTCAATTCGGGCGGCCTCCCTTTCAGCCCAGGTCTTGTACTCCCCTTCTCTCTCCAAAATGAAGTCACGTACCCAGCTCCATCGGTAGGCTGTCTTCTTAGGTAGCTCAGTTTGATACAAGGGAAATTTGGTCAAATGGGAGGCCGGTATCCATCCAACTGATCGTCCTTGGTCAAAGTAATACACGGGAAATTCTCGTAGTGTTACGTAGTCGCCGCCATCTTCATAGCCTGGCGCCCAATCGACAATTCGATCATGTCGATAGATGTAACACTCTGGCAGCTGCGCGGGCTCATTGAGTAGTCCAGACTTAAACAGGCTCGATTTGATGCCACCAGGTCTCCAATTGTCCCAACCGAGTATCATGACCGGGTACATTGTGCAAGTTTCGGTCCACAGTCCGAAGTAGACATGGTACGTCTTCGGGTTAGTGATACCATCTCCGAACCGTCTTGGCTTAGAAGATAACTTTGGGGGTACCTTTGCCGACTTGTTCACAGGCTGGGGCTTCTTTACTACCATCGATTGAGAGTCGGTAGGGGGCTTCTTGCTGTGTTTGCAGTTCTTGTTAATTCCGTTCTTTGGTTGATAGCCATTAGCGTAGGCCATTTTCACTTGTTCATTGTGCAGTATAGCCAACTGGTGAGTGCAGCCGATCACGAGATAGCCAAGGGCCTCAACCGCGGGATCAAAGCTCCTGTTTGGGTAGTTATGGAATCGGCCGTTGAGGTGCTTTGCTGCTGCAGCGATAGCATTCTGCTTCATCCAGACTTGGTGCTCTTCGCAGAAAAGTATGTAATGCTTGCCGCTCTTGGGTGGCCATTCCACTACCAAATGAGAATTAGTATTAGCCACTTTAGGACGGAGGTCGGTTGATGACTTTGGAGTCATGAGTTAATGCCTCAACAAGGGCAAGAACGCTAAGACAGATTATAAACGAGAACAAAAACTCCGCGAATTGCATACCAATTGTATCCCATATGCCCTTCTCGGGACCATTACGACGGACTTCCTCAATCGAGATGGTCCGCTGCGGTGGAGGTGGAGAGGGCTGTTCAGTTGTCGGGGTTGCAGCATTGGAATCGTTAGGTGGTATGCTTTGTTCGCTCAAGCTGTTCGGCGTATTTGCCGCATGGCCGGGAGATTCCAGACGAGCTTTCTTCGCAACGGGTGCATCCTCCGTGGCTTTTCGCTTCTGCGTCGCGGGCTTATTCTGGAACTGGATTAAGAGGCGCTCGCCATTATCGGCCACTTCGCGGCTGACTTTGCAAGATACAGGCTTAACAGATTGGAATGCGAAGCCGTTTTGTGGTCTTAATTGCGCAGTCGCCTCTGTGCTTGGGACCACATCCCAACGGACTGTAGGTGTGGCCCTGGTGAGGCGCGGCTCATCTTGTTCAGTTTGCTTCGGCACTGGTATCATGCAGGCCTTTGCATAGGATTCTGAGGCCCCGGGAATTGAGTTTGCTGTAGAAGTAGAGAAAGGTTGTAGAGACCCCGTAGCTGGTGAAACGGCAACCCCACCATGAATCGGTAGACCGGAGCGAAAGGCAACGAGGTGGTCCTTTTCCTTTACCTCGTGTCTGGCCTTAAGAACCCTTATTTGCGACTCATGCGCCTCTTTAATTTTCTGCATCTTCTCATTAAGATCCTCTAGCAAACTTTGGCCGTCATCGTCCGGGTCTAGCGTTTTGAATTGGAACTCCTCGATGAGCTTCCGTTTCTCCCTTGCGAAGCTTTCCTGATGAGAAGAAATCTCAGATTGATGCTGAGCTTGTAAATGCTCTCGCTCTTCTCTCCATACCTTCATGTAGGCCTGCATCGTTTCTATGTATTGCAGTTCGGACTCAGCCATGCCAAGCTTGTCTTAGAGGAGCTTAGCTCGAAGGTAGAGGCGACTGTTAACGCGGTTAGTCAGATGGGACTGAAATTCTCATCAGTTGCTAAAACGTAAATGAGGAACAATGACTAAGGAAGTGTTTGGTCGCCTCGCAAGTTGCTGCATGTGGTTGCGTCTGTACGCTAGCGCGATACCTTCGCACAAAGGAAAGAGTACTAGACGAAAGGATAGGAGCATAGGTAGTAAGTAACAACAAGGATGAAATGGAAAAGAGAATAACTTGACATATGACAACATGTACTTTGCTTGATATGTAACGTGCGAAATACTCTCAGTACGAAATGATTCGATCCTTTCGTTTGATGCGGCTGGACGTTAACGATAAAGGTATGTATTGAGAAGTAGCAATGTTTGACACGGGTCGATGCAAATGTTTGGTGGTGTTGAGACGAGACGAGGCGGGCGTGGACTCACTGAACACAACAATCACCACTGGAGTTAGATTGAAGTCATTGGAAAGAGGAGATGGATGGTCTCAACAGAAAATTGCCGAGTGCAAGCTTGGCCAATTGAGCCCAATGCATGCAAGACGCCCGCACCGTAGAAAGAATGTGCCCTAAGGTGTGAGACGAGTTTTGGGTTGATTGGTATCTGGAGACGAAATGAATATTGAGCTTTAGGGTTATCGAGGTAGCACTGGCAACCTCGGGCAGGGGAGCTGCAGGCACGCAAACAAACGGCGTGTCTAAAGTGGCAAGGAAAAAGAGATCTTCTAGAAGAAACAAGCACTAAGCTCCAGAACTCGAATGTTTCTGCAGCTGCGTGTCAGTTGGAAAATTGGAACGTGCACCACTTGAGCCCGTAACGTACAACCCCACCTTTCCGGCCACCTAATCTGCCAACTACAACAACCTTCGGCACAACAGATTATCGTCGGTATTGGCTATTATTATACAATGCCTCGATATTCAGAAAATTCAATTCAAGGCGCTCTCAAAGATATCAATCAAGGGATATATCCCAGCGCCAGGCTTCCCTCCGATAGGGCGTTCCACGCTCTACCCTCCAATTACGACTCGGCGATGGCCTCAGCCATTCTGACGCGTCAATCGCGTCGATGAAGCTATCTAGGGATCAGGAAGACGCGCTGATTGGATGGATCCTCGAGATGGATCGCGAGGGTCGTAGCCCGTCGGCGCTATTCATCGCTAAGATGGCGTTAATTCTGTTGCCTCAGGATCGTCGATCAGAGGGCCTCGGTCGCCATTGGGTTCATCGCTTTATTCAACGCCATCCAGAGGTCGGAAGTATCCAATCTCGACGCCTCGACCGTCAGCGATTTGATGGCCTATCGACGCAGAATATCGACGATTTCTTCGAGACGTACGAAGCCTTGATGTTAGCTCACGACTACTTTCCACACAACGTCTGGAATATGGACGAAACAGGCATCGCGATTGGCGAAGGGATCGAGGGTACAGTGTACGGATCGTCAGAGAAACGGACAATATTCGTTCGGAGTGACGAAAGCCGCGAATGGGTCACTATATTACATGCTATATCGGCGATGGGTAATTCGTTGATCCCAGCAGTAATATACACTGGCAAGAGCCTCCAAGCCCAATGGTTTAACGATTGCGACGATATACCTGATTGGCAATATACTTATTCATCCAACGGTTGGATCAGTACAGATATCGCCGTTCGATGGCTTCGTGATATCTTTATACCTCGTACACAACCAGTTGATCCCGACGAGCAGCGGCTCTTGATATTAGATGGTCATATCGCTCACGATAACGTCGAGTTCATGTGGTTAGCCTATTGTAACAAGATCTCGTTACTATTTTTACCAGCACACTGTTCTCACGGGCTCCAACCTCTCGACGTCGCCGTATTTGCTCCATTAAAGCGGTACTATCGCTTGCTAGCGACATCTCTCTCGATCGAGTACTGTTCTGTTCCATTTAAAAAGTCGACGTTCCTCTCGCTATATATCGAGGCATATACGAAGTCGTTCACGATCAGTACTATACAATCAGGCTTCTCTGCAACTGGAATATACCCATTAGATCCATCGCGACCTCAGCCGACGATAGTCCCCCTATCAGAACGACGAACTACACCAACAACAGCTGGTAATTGGCTTGATCCGACAATAATGGCGACGCCAGTGACTAGCTTAGTAGCTAGGGAGAGTCTGGCAGCGATTACGCCATTGCGATCGTCGCAATGGCTATTGTTTCGGAAGCTGACTCGTCGGCTAGATGTACAGAGCGTCGAGGTCGCTACTTTGACCCAACGTGTACACGCATTAGAAGCCGAGATAACTTCGTTACGCCCCAAACCACGTAAGAAGGTACGATTAGGGCCTAATGAACGATTTGGTAACATTGTACAGATTAAGGAAGCGATGGATCGAGCCCTTGAAGTAGAACGGCAACGAGACCAAGTACAACGTCGGAATCAGGTAATACTGGACGCAGCTAAGGCGTCAGAATCTATCAGATCTATACCTCGGGAAGCCCTGGAGCACAGCTTTCTATTAGAGCTGGTTGTATCTGAATAGCTATAATAGTACGTTGACTGTTTCGAATACCTTCAATTGGATTGTAATATGTGGCCATAAAGGTGGGTGGCCGGAAAGGTGGGGTCATACGTTAGCCATAATAGTTAATGCTTGCCCAACGTGGTGTGCTTGTGGTAGCGCTAAATGCACAATGCAGTATTTGTACTTCACAGTTGGCCGTAAATCAAGCTGTTAGCGCTAATTCGGCTTTTATATTAAGCATGAAAATAGGCTAATGCGTAACGTGAATGTACACCGAGCTGGCCACCCTTACATAACCTCGCATAGAAATTTTACGACAGTAAAACCACAACGCCGTAAGTCAATTGAAATTACTCTGAACCTTCCTCTCCAGAAGATGGCAATGCGATCTTACAAGTTCGCGCATTATGCCCAGTCCCGTTGCAAATACCACAGCGCCTCGGGCGCGTTTCAACACGCTTTGCGCGACCACCATTTCGGCGCTCTTCTTGCTGTATCTTCGTCGCCAACTCCCTAGAGTCCCGTAGGTCCTGTCCTTCTTGGAAAATAAGTGATTCTCCTTCCCGTAATTGCATTTTTTTAGTCCTCCGGCGCCGGCTTAGCATCTTATTTGCCTCTCGAAGCTCAGCGCACTCGGCCCGTACGAGGGCGAGCCGCCGTTTTTACGCGTTTGGAGGGTCCTTCGGGGGACTTGGTACGTTTTTGCCGCTTGTCGGAGACTAAGTTTTTGGTCATTTTTGAGAGCTTGAAGGGCTAGCATTAAGTCTGCTTCGTTGTATGACTTTGCCATAATTGGTTGTTGAGAAAATCAAACATTAAGTTGGCCGGTCGCGTTGGCGCATCAAAGTGGCCAGCTCGGTGTCATGGCCAGCTCGGTGTACATTCACGTTACAACCAATCAATTGGGTAGTACTTTATTCAGTTACTTCGTGAGAGACTTCACTATGAACGTTGATGGGCGGGTGGATAGAATGTGGAGTTCGTCCACAACCCTGGACGTAGGGACTTGGCGCTAATCTGCTCCTTTTCCCCCTTGCTTCCTTCCTTGCAAGCCGATATTTGGACAACAGATTTTGGCTAGCAGTATGTGCTCTAATGCTTTATATATCATATCTACCGAGCACTGCAATTTTGGCCATAACTGCTGCCTCCATGTCTTAAGACAGCTCAAGATATTGGCCAAATGCAGTCCTTGTCACCATTGAACGCCGGGGCTTCAAATCCTTAAACCACGACTCTTTCCCATTTTGCTTATAGCGACTCGGAGACCCACATCTGTTCGGCACATACATAGTACGCTGTAGATGTATCTATATATCATTATCTAAATCTTCCTACTCGAAGTGGCGTTTCATTATCGAATGCGTCCGAAGTACATCACCTAGGACATGGCCAAGTGGCAATCTATGACTCAAAGTTCTCGCCCTAGGCACCTTCCACACCGCTCCATTTTAGAAATTATTCACTCATTCTTTACAAAGGTTCTCAATCGCAGGGGCGCCATTACTCGCATTTTGGTAATCACAATTGAGCCAGATCGCAAAATGAAGTTGACTTGGTGACTTGGTCTCAGAGCCAACGCTTGGTTGGTTGAGAATTCTATCGTAGTGTATTAGGGGTTCAGTCCAACAGGACAAGTCTTATCACGTCCGCAGGGACGATGTGGTATACGACAGCCCACGCCTCTCCGCGGTCTACCATTGCTGAATATTCCCAAATCACCAGACATACGCGATGCCATCATCACTATCGTCGCCTTGCTCCGTCCCTCCTCCACCACCACGGCCCCCAGCAGTCTTCCCTTTCGAGGTTCTCCAACCCAAACCTCTGGCAGCGAAATCGCGCATCTCCAACTCATTCATCCGAGTCTCGCGCAATTCGGCGCAGCTTTTGCACTCGGCGCCACGGAACTCCTCCTCGGACCGGCCAATACCCATTGTGCAACGGCCAAAGCGCCCCTTGCGGCGGGCGTCGCGACACCACTGCTGATGGGTGTTTTCCGTGATGTGCTCATTGCATGTCGGACAGATGGAGAGCGTCTTGACGTTGCGGCACATGGTTGCCTCAGCTGAACTGTCGGGTCTTCGGAATGTGGTAAGCTTGCTGCCATCTTTTCTTGTTCTTTTATTGGCACGCTGCACCGCGCCGCATTTTTGGGGGCGGTGGGAGACCGAATTGCATCGTGAGGAGTTACCTGGTACAGATCTGCGGACAAGCATTAGCCTCGGTCAACGAAACAGGGTGAAGAGGCGCGTGCTTGACGTTACCTGCACACGCAGTCTGATTTATCTGAAACAAGGTGAAGTGCGTGGCAGGGCGATGCATCAGTCGACTTTTTTTCGGACTCGGGCGGCTCGTTTGTGCTCGGGTGGGATATATAGGGGGCAACAGTCCCCGATAGTCGAGCACCGAGTCCATGCTGGGTGACGACTTTATATACCCGTCACCTACCGTCCATCGATCGCATCGACCTGCTTCACTTCCATCTGCCATGTGTGTATCCATACAGATAACGGTCCAGCTCGATGAGATCCTTCGGTACACGACTTTACTGTTTTATCATCTGCCTCTTATTCCCCTCTTAGTTTGTTCTTGCATCTCGTCTGTGCGTCCGTTTCGCAACAATGACGAGGTTGACGGTCGTTCAGCGGGTAACACAAGCAGGACGCCGCGCCCTGCCGGTGTGGAGAGTCCCAAGGACCGGGGAGTGAACACCTTCGTCATGATGGCAGGCCATCACGCCTCGAGATCTTGTAGAACGGTACGATTTCGCGCAATTCTAGAACCCATATCGATAGCACCATGCGACAACTTGCCTCCAAGTATCACGGCAACACGTCGCATCAAACGGTACGCAAAAGCTGATAAACCAAACCATAGACCGAAGTTTCCAAAGATTCAACCAACAAGGGGCTGTGGTGAGGTTCTCCGGTCATGATGGCTGGAACCCCAACAGTCACGGCCGCCACTTCATGCAGGCGGCTCAATTCGGCATCCACACTCCTGCTGTCAAGGAGTTCACGTCGCACACCCAAGCAAGTCGTTCGCCAACATGCGGCAAGCGGGCACGGCGTGAAATTGCGGTTGCTATAGATCATATGTGATTTATGTCAACTTCCGCATAGACACGGATTGATCCCGTTGGACAATAGTTATCGAACCGATTGCTGGCATCGTCATGAATGCTACGGGGAATATCTACAGCTGGAGGCTGGGTTTAGCCACTTACCGGTTCGGGAAATCCCGATACATGTGCCAGCGCGGTTGACAGCAAATCTGTCTCTCATCAGCAGTGATCGACCTGAGACAGAAATTGCTGCTAGTGGAAAATAGGCAGTGCGGTGTTCGCAAAGGTACCACTTCTCATAAGCCTGTGTCTGCAACATGTTGGGGGAAAGAAGGAAACAAGGGAAAAGCCTTCTCCTGCCACAGGATTCGTGTCTGCATCCTCCACAGCGCAGGACTCCGGTAGAAATTTCTGGACTTTGCCACCATGCGGTAAGCGAAGTGGTCTTGTCAGGCATGAACGGCGTCAAGAAGAAGACTTGGACATTGCTCGAGTTCTATGTCTTCGCGTACCTGGGTCTGAATCACATCGAGACGTGCACGCAAAAGATGGGCAGGATTCACAATCGATGGTACAGAAGTAAAGATGAAAGGTCGCCCACGGACGCTACGATTTGCTAGCCGGAGCATAATCCATTCTACGCCAGTCCCGAACGAGCCCACTACTGAGTAACTTCTGGCAGTTACATCACACCCAGGTGTCGTCACTAAAATCGGCATGCAGGAAGATTGCATAGTGCGCCCTCTCTTGAAAAGCCACGTTATTTGAGTATGTATCATTACTTACCTGAGAGCCGTGATCAACGTCAGGCGGTACCACCAAGTTGAGTCTAAAGCTAGTGAGATAAGCACCACATATGATGCCTTTGACGGCATTGTTGGTCCTTTGGATCGATCGAGGCCGGCATCAATCGACAAGCCGGGTCTCGGTACGGCTTGTTGACGATGAGCAGTATTCGCCACCCCTGACTTTGAAATGGAAAACGGAGATCAATAACCCGGCATCGCGAATTTCGACGATCGACGAAGGCGGTAATATATTATGTCCCTGCAGGTTTATTGACGGCATAAAGTGCGGATTCTGTTCAAGCATCAGGCAACAGGCTGGAAGTTGCGGGACCGAGGAATTTTACAGTCATTGTGGAGATTTCTGCTATTTTCCTCGTGATAATAACGGAGACTTGATAGGTCTGGTGGGAGACGGGGGTATAAGAAAGCAGTCAGACCTTGCACCTATTTCGTGTATGCGGACTCAGCAAGGACTCACCTAGGTTCAAACTCTTGCCCTGTTAACCGCGAGGACTGAACATAGCGGCCTTGTATTGTTAAGAATAAGCAGTAACCGCCATTATCTAGGACGACCTTCGATGTTGCTTGATGCAAGATTCAGTGCTGATCTTGAGGCCGTTCGAGAACCTCTGCCACCGATGATGTATATACACAATACACAGGAGGTTCTTCGAAATATCCGTTTGCGTCGTGGTGCCGTCACCAAGATTACAGTCTACCAAAGATAACCTTGAACTATACCAGATAATTGAGATCAATGCTGGCAAGCCTGAGTTCATATACGATGGCATGATCAAGGATCTTGATCAGCATTCAAACGGAGACTTGTAGCAGAAACTCCAGACGAAGAGAGGATAGCAATGCTACGGATATGCTCATCGTGGCCTGGCATGGGCTTCCAATCTTCATTACTCAAACTACACTTTGAATTACGGCATCTACTATTGCTTGTGATATGAGATGTACTTAAGATGCGAGCGAAGCCTCAAAGCTTAGTGCAGAAGGAGTTTGGTAAATCAGGAAATTGAACATAGAGTTCTCACTATGCAGTAGTATTCAAACTCTACATTAAATAGTCCAGAGGAGACGTATCTCAATGGTAGTGGCGGCCTGAGCAATAGCGATGAAGTACATGCATTAGGTAGACCAGAGCGTATCACTTGGTCCAGAGGGAAAGGACATCATAGTAACGCAGCATACACCACTTGGATCGAGACTAATGTACGCCTTCAGATTACATTCATTATCCTCTAGTTGGAGGGTAGAATCACAGCCCTAGCGTGGCAATGGAGAGGAGAACAATGAAGAAATAAACCAAATGGGTTTCAGTATTGCAAAGACGCTGAGAAGTGTCACATCGCCTCTGTGATCTCCTTGGTCGTAGTTAGATATAACCGGCTAACTGTTTACCGATCGGAACTCGGCCAAACTTTGATGGCTAGAAACGCATATTCCGGGATGTAACTGAGCTCCTACACGCTGCTCGAAGCGGTTGTGCTTCTGCGCACTAATTCTGCAAGCCATTGTGGGCCTTAGGAGCGACTTGCCAGAATCTGCGTCATTTGCACATGTGTGCCTCGGCGGTTTAAGCTGCTTCAGTATGTCCTGGGACCATGGGCTTCCACAAAGAGCCCATTCTAGTCATGCGGCAACCATGACGTCGATCTGCGTCAACTTCATACCCAAGCAAAGTCTGAGCTGCAGACAGGAACGCTTTCAGTCCCGCGTTCCCGAGGCCAGACTTAAAATATGAGCAGCGCTGAACAGGCCAAGATAAGCTTCAAAATATGAAGCTGCTTCGTAGAGGCAGTAAATAAAGTATCCGTATGTGGCACGCCATGGTGCAGGCTTCCCGAAGGATATCCTCGGACTCTATATTGATCAGGTTGGACGTTGGATGGAATTGGAGCTTACATTTTCGGGACATATAGCCTCATGACCTGTAGGCCAGTGAATACTCTGAGTATCCCCTGGTGCTTCTTGGATGTTTTATGAGAATAATGAACAGTTCTGGTCGCTATCCCTCGTCCTCAAAATGTTGCCACAGGAAGCCTCAGCGAATAAGGTCTATAGGAGAATTGGTTTTACCGTCAGGCAGTGGACAAAAGGCGTTTGATACAAGTCAGACTTCACAGAAAATTCCATTGCAAAAGGAAAGGAAATGTTAGTTATAATATAATAATTCAGCAGTTCTGCATATCGAACGATAGCCGAACATGGATGTTCCTTTGTGCAAACATTACTCCCTCTTTCCTTCTCGCGACGCAGCAAACTACCATATATAATCTCAGTTCCGGTACTCTCTGGGTTTCTCATACATTTTCTTCTGCTTCTGCTCCTGCTTCATTCGCGCTCAGTCTGCTCGGAAAGACCGTATCCAGGATTAACCTCCTACAACATTTTCTCCGAGCCCAAGTCCTTGTCCTTGTTATCAATCCTCTGCGTTAACTCACTGTGGATTCTAGAATATGAGTCCTTGAAAGCCTCGAGCACCAGACTCCTCGCGTACCAATGCTTAACGCTGTGGTCCAATACACCGAGATCGTTTAGATTTGAACGAATGTTGGTGAAGTACTTGAAGAACGAGTCGCTGTTATGATGTCTTGAGTTCTGAGATTCTCTTCAACTTCACGGAAACGATGGGAGTAACCTGTTGACGGATAGTTGTGTAGGTTCGTTCGTATATGACCTTTGGGTCTTTCTCGGTGGAAAGGTCTAGTCCGGGGGCTTTGACGAGCCCCACAACTGGCCGTGTGGCCGAGTAGAGTAGAACAGACTGGGTGAGGAATTGCTTATCTCGCCAGGCTTTCTTCAGAGGGCTCCTTCACCTTCTTGAATATGAACTGGTGCAGCTTGGCTTGTGGTCGGTGAGATGTTGACTTAGTTTTAGCTTCCATTTTATTATTTTTTGTCAGCCGACGAGTTTCACTACCCGGAATCCGTCATCATACGAATCAGATATCAAGTCTATTTGCTTGTCAGTGATGTCAACTGAAGTTTGTTGGAGCATATTTGGTTTCGCTTACCTAGCTGCTGGAATTGAATGCTTTCGCACTGGATGTGGATTGAACCATAGCGTCATACATGGCGGGCAGTGTTGTCCTGCTGCAATTTACAGTAAAATATGCGAATGGAACTCGAAGGAAGAAGCACGTGCGGCCGCAATGCTGCTTGCTTTTGTGTTCTAGGGTCAGGACGGCCTTTCTATCTCATTCCAAGGCTGATATAGGGGGTGAAGGGGTGGAAGACTCGACTTTCCGTAGAATGAAAGTAGGTATTAAATTCGGTAAGTGTTGGCAGTCAGTTTCTTGGTGCCTTCCTCGTGCTGACGAAGGCGTGCAACTGTCGGCCCAGTTTCTGGAACTCGACAAGAAAGTTCAGGGCGGCGCTAGTGCCCGAGACAAGTTTATTGCGGTGATTTTGTCAGAGGGAAGACCTGGAAAAGCCTGAAAAAGCAATGACTGGTATGCGTATCATTACACATAGACAGAAGAGAGACGTCTCTAAAGGGCCAATGCCTCCGACAGAGCAGCCCAGTTCCGGCTTGGTGTCTCTAGATGAACATAGACCCCCAAAACTTCACCGCAGAGAACGCAAGTAATCGTAACATAAGGTAAGATAGGGGAGTACCGTCTACAGTCACACCCCAGTCATTAAAGCACAATCCAGACTCCACAAGTATGCTGACGGACATCTCACGCCATCCATTCCTGTTCAACAAACCTACGCTTCTTGGTTCGGCTATCGCACGGAATATTGGATGGCACCGTAGTTGGGTTGATATAGTAATCATGGTACCAGTAAACCTGCTGTTGCGCGGTAGTGTTCAAATTGGGTGCGGCGTCAACCCCCTTCTCCGTCTTGAGCACAGTGTATTGCGTTTTATAGCTAGAGGATACATGTTTAGGTTCGCCTATGGAAAAGAAGGGTGTGAGCATGGCTTGGGGAATGTTGGCTTACTAAATCTGCGAACAGTTGCCCCCGATATATGTATTCTTGATTCTGCCCTGGGCTTCGTAGACTGTCGCGGTTTCGTTGTTGCCCGCAATGAAGGTTATGTTGGGCCAGTGCTGCATCAAGCGGACGGTCAGTTTTCAGGCTTCGCCCGGGCTGGAGATAGGTTGGATTGGAAATCTGGGCAAACCGACCACTAACTGTCGCCCATCTGCCAGGAACCCATCTTTGCACTTCTGAATCCCTGCTGCGCCGACACAGTGGAGAGACAAGGTGGTTTGCAAGCCATCAGCGGGGAAGTAGTCTGTGTATCCCATCGTTACGTCCGGGTCTTCAGCTGCGTTGACAAGCCTATACCGGAGGAAGTTTCAATTGGCCGTCCTGTACAGACGTATTTCAGAACTCACGCTTCAAAGAATGGTTTGAACTCGGCCTGGACGCCGGGTTGCGGATCATAGTCTGCGAACTCGATCGCTGCGACGATACGAGTGGCCAAAACGAGCGAAATTAAAGCCTGTGCATACATGATTGATGGTTCAAGGTAACGAGTGTGGTTTGAGAGACTTCAAGGCTACTGCGTGTTGTCAAGAAAAGTCTGGTGGGACGCAGCGTAGTTAGTTTACACTATTCGTCGACTTCGGGCCTTGCACTCTCCAGCGGATTGCTATACCTATTACTACTATAACAAGCTTATAGCCAGGGACGCAAACAAAGCTTGCAATGAGACATTAAGCCAAGCATTGTCATGGATGGAAACGGGTTAAGGTTTGAGTATTTCCGTGGGGCCGCGACGTGTTGACTTTTAATAGATGAAGTTGGCATAGCATAACAAATTGAACAGATGCTCTAAGACTCAGACACCGGGTGATTCCCTGTTTTGGGTTCTTATTTTAGCACCAAAGAGTGTACCAGTGGCGTTTAAGGTGTTGTAGAGGGTAGTTCCTCGAACTACCCAGAAAACTCTGCATAGGTCGTTATTAGATGATATATAACTACCCCAATATAACTACAATTATCTGAGCGGGGCCTCGTTTTAGCTGGCATACGCGTCTGATAATCGTTCAGGCCCTTGAACTAAACTGCGGCTCGTCGACAGTAAACCGAACGTGAAACATATCAAACGGGACATGTTAGGCAAGTGACATATTGATCTGTTGTTTGGGGTGAACCACACATGTTAATTCAGTAGGCCAGTGGGAAAACATGTAATATAATATTTTGCTGTAGTCGGCTGTCCAACTATACTTAACACATTGCAACAGTCACTACATGCTCTCATTGATCATTTCGTAACCTTTCCCCACCAGTCTTGATACTTTACAGTCATTACTTGTTTCGTCTATTGACACTATGCAGCTCAGCATCGCGTCTTTTTTCTTCACCGCTGTGGCCCACGCAGTCGGCATGGCACGTTACTAAGTCGAAACGATTACGCAAGAACCGACAGGTTCTGCCGCATCTCAGAAGACAAGAATCGCCATCGCCGGGCTCGAGTTCAATGGCTACACCGAAATACTAGGCACAAAGCAGATGCTCCTACCACCACCGGCAACAAGTCATGGTGGCATCTTATCCCCAGTGCCAGCCCTGTGGGCGACAGATACGACCAAGAATCATGTGGCCATCGTTATCTAGACGACGCATACCCAGGGCAACTGCTCACAGGCATAAGAAATAGTCTATCTCTTTCTTTTCTTTTCCTTTCTTTTTGGCTATGGTCGTATATCTAGTTTCTGACTGAGTGCACAGTGGCAACACAACGTTGGACGATTCGCATGTTCACCCCTTCTCGGTCGTGAAAGGCGTTGGAGAGAGAAACGGGCATATAGACAGCATTAAAGTCAAATGTATATGGGCTAAGACGAGTACCTTATACTCACATTACCACTGAATCTAGTAAAACATCACTATGCACACTCGAAAATCGCCGTTCATCACAGCGAAATCTCAAACGTTCACTCCCGCAGGACGACAAATGTACGAGGCATTTTGCATAAAAGACAGAGCTCTAGTTAGTCGACCAATTCACTACGTATTCGCCCCAACCAGGTCATGCGACACCGCATGTACTTTGACCAAAACGCCACAGATCACGAGCGAGGTCGTTTCAGGATGTGCAGTCAAACAAGCTCCAGCTTCGGTCCGCGCAAGCAGATACCGAATCGGCTATCTCGTTGCATAATTCAACAAACGCCACGAACACCTTGCGTTTAACATCAAACAGTTCAGCTCCATCATCCAGGCTCGGCCTGTTTTCGAGCCACCAATTCGGCTCAAAATAGGCCATATTCCAATCCACACTTCAGGCACAAGCCAGACTTCAACATTCCCAAGATGAGCACTTGCGCATCATCTTGGCGTTCCCCTGCGCCACAGCCATCCACTCTTTCTTACCATTTCTTACCAAAAAGAGCACCAACCAATATAGTGCTGGCATAGATTCTCCAGCCTCGTCGCCTCCATGATCAGCTTGTTGACCTGCATGATCACGTCAAGCTCCTCGCCAGGCTTGAAGTCGCGACCCGTCAGTTTTTGGTTCACGCGATCGAGGACCTCGACAGCTCGGGCATTCTGAGCCTCAGCCTCCCCAGCTCCTTCTCCAGCGCCATTAAGGAGCGACGAGTTCGTACGGGCACGGGCCCGACTGTTAGGCGGGCCGCCAGTGACGGATGATCCGACTTGCGCAGCGAGGTACTCAGAAGGCGGATGCTCAGCATCGAGGATCGAGGGCCGGCGGACGCGCTGGGCGTGCGGATCGACCAGGGATGACTCGCGCTCAGAACGGAAGTTGGGGCCCACTGGCGAAGCCGCATTAGTGAGACGCCAGGTGAGAAGAGGGTCATGGATGAACTGCCGGGTTGTACTGCATTAGTATCTTTTTCGCAGAAACACAACAGAGTTGTCGAGATATGAAGCAAACGACGGGGGAAAAACTCACGGCTTCCAAAACAGCCATCACACTCTCCTTGTTCTCCCTCAAGACGCGCATGACATGCTCACACGTGATGCGGAAACTGCCCTCGATGTTGCTAACCTCCATGGCATAGGTAAGCATGCGCGTGAGGCGGAATGGCACGCGCTCAGGGTACTTGTCACGCTTCATAGCCACCTCGAAGCAGTCGCCAAAATCGATGTGGATGATCTTGCCCGTGATACGGTCAAGCATCAGGTTGCTCGGATGGCGATCACCGAGACCTAGGATGTAACCGACCATGCTCATGACACCCAAGCTGCGTGTGTAGTTGGTACGACGCTCCAGCCAGGCCTCGGACGACTTACTCTTGAGCCAAAGTACGCGATACAGATCTTGGCCAGTCGTATTGTCCAGGGCGTAGCCGAAGACCTCGACCTTTTGCATGAGGGTAAGGTTGTCGTAGTCGGGCGCCATCTGCAGCATGATGCGGTGCTCAATGTTAAGGAGGATCTTCCTACTCTCCCTGTACTCTCGGATGAGGACGTGCAAGGTGTCGCTGTTGGGCACCCAGCCAAGCAAGCCCGAATTCTGGCTCAGGGGGATGGCTGGATAACGCTGAATGCCGAGATGACGCTTGTAACACTCCGAGTCGTTGGCCAGGAGCGTGTTGCACAGGCCAAAGAGCTGCATCACTCGCTCATCCTGCCGGATGTCCTCGTGCCCCTTGAGAAGGAAGGCGTACGAGATGCCGTCGCTACCATTGGTGTTCAGCTTTCTCGGTCTTTGCTTCGAATTTATTACACTAAAGGTCGTCTCGAAAGATAGGATGCGCACAACAGGCATGCCGCTGTGGTAGGTACCTGGTACTGCCAGGTCAAGATCCTTGGCCGCCAGAAGTTTAGGGGAGCAGTAGGCCAACTCCAGTGACGTCATCTGGGGTAGTTGACGACCGATGCGACGGAACACTTGGTAATACAGATCCCAGGCCTGATTAAGATCGCTCACATCTTGGCTCTGTTCATATTGACGACACCACTCTCGCGCCTCGCCAAGATCTCTGCCGAAGGTTTGTGCGAAGCTGATTTCCCTGAGCGTCTCAGGCCCGCACTCGAGCTGCTCATGCAGCGGCCCAAGCGTGGCAAACATGCCCTCGATGTTGTGGTCACCGAAGTAGAGACGGGATGCCTCCTCGAGGCCCTCGTGCCATTGCTCGTGCCAGAGGACGGCAACACGAATCAGTTCATGGCTCACAATGTCGGCTTGCTCAACCAGCTTAGGGCTGTGCGCGCGCATGCTGTCCATGATGAGCGCCGCCGATTTGGATCTTCGCGAGCTCTGCGCAGACTTCATAGCAACCGTGAGCGGGTAAACTAGCGCCTGGGGATGGTTCCGTCCCACGTCGGCAAGGAGATTGTGGATCGACTGTCGAACTCGCGTATTGGGCTGATTGATTCTAGCAATGAGTTGCGGGATCACTTCGAGCCACGTATCCACACTGACTGTGCCGAAGCCCTGCGTGACGGCGTTGTTGACCTCAGGGGTGCCGCCATGTGTGAACCACAAGGTGAGCAGGCGAAGCGTATCCTGGAGCGAACTACCGGAGGACAGAGCAATTGATTTGAAGAAGCCCTGTACAGCCGGCACAACGTGGTTAATGATCATGCCAGGATCAGGCGGTGATGCGCCTTGGACAATCTCAAAATTGGCCAATGCCCAAGCGTGCCACGCTTTGTACCACCTAGGATTGAACTTGGTCGCTTGGGCGTATGAGGTCAGGATCTCCTGAACGTTCTGGCGTTGCCAGTCACTCTTGTTCAAGGCGATCTGCCACTCTCCCTGGCGCAGATAGCACTTTGCGAGAAGTACTGTTTGCTCTTTGATTGCTTGCTGGGCCGTAGGGACGTTCATTTGACGCGGCTGGTAGCCAAAGTCGTTAGTAATGCCGAGATCCTCAGGCGAATGGGTCGAGATGCTAGATCTGGCCATTTCTATTTGCATCGATGTATCTTCAGTGAAGAGACGAAGGCACGACAATGTCTTCTCGGGGTAGCCGGCTTGCCGCAGGTTCGGCTGCTGACCAAACTCCCACTGGTACTTCAACACAGCGTACATGACCTGTGGAGCGACGCCTAGACTTCTGCCAGCTCTACGGGCCACAGTGTCACTTTCGGCCCAATATGGTATGATGGTTTCTAGCGGCTTGTCGGTACCGATGAGTTGTTTGAGCGATTTCTCAGCAAGGCCCATACGTCCAGACTTCCTGCATAGGTTGGCGAATTTGATCCACATGTTCATGTTCTCACCAGGCGAGATGACCAGGGCGCGCAGTCGCAGCATCCTCTGCCAGACTTCGACATTGCGCTGACAGCCCTTAATACGCGTCTCCCAGGTGCGACGCATGGTGCATTTCTTCCTCTCATCTGCTTGCTTGTAGACAATAAGTTCCTCCAGCTCGGCGAGCATCTGTACTCGCACAACCACCTGGTACGCCCGATTGTAGGATTCGCTGACGAGTGCGCTGAGCTCGGTATCAAGACCCTCACGTGACTGTTGTATGCAGTCCGCTGCTGTTCGGAACTGGTTGCGGTGAAGTGCTAGGATGGCTCCGAAGAAGGCTCGGTCTGGCGAGTACCGCTTAAGTGACTGCAGGTAGTTATCCATGGAGTCCCATTTGCCCAGACCCCAAGCAGCAGCGGTGGCAAGTGGAGCAATCCGGCGTTGGACCTCTGGAGCAGAATTGGCCCAGGTATTACCTGCCAAGTTTGCCAGGGCATCCCACTCGCCGAGCGCATGCAAGCATCTCATCTTGCCCATGACTATGTCGATAGGAACCGCCTTGTCGGCTGGGATCTCCATTTCCCGCTTATTGTAAAAGGCGAGAGCCTCGTCCCATCGTTCCAGCTTCTCAAACCACGTCTCCCTGAGTTGAATGCCATCCTTGTAGAGTTGAGCCTTGCGAAGAATACCAATGGCAGCATCGTACTGCTGTAGCTGGTTGTTGATTACTATCAACGCCTCCACCGCGGGACCGCTCTGATCCTGCAGAAATTCAAGCTCCTTGTAGTGGAGCGCCTTAGCATAGGCATGGCAACGAGCAGCCTCCCGACCCAGCACCCTAATGTCGATAGGCAAGGCTTTGTCGTCGTGTTCCATGAACTCTGCTAGATTGAGCAGGAGACCCAGCAAATCGGGCGGCACATTTTCGGAACGAATGGCGTTTTCAATGTTCTGGATCAACTCATCCTGATAAGATTCGAAGAGCTCGCCCCAGCAGGAAACAAACGCCGAGTTGAACAACTCTCGGGCCAGAGGGAGATAGACACTGGCAAGTCCAGCGCAAGCACGCAGAGCGTGATTGGGGGACTCTGTAAGGAGGGTCGTGCTGAATCTTCGCAGCCACTCTTGCCAGTCCTCCTTAGTCGACTTACCTCTAGTGTCCCACGCGTTTTTGAGATGAATTGCATTCATGTCGAGCTTCTTATTCCCGAGTTCAGCAAATGATGGTTCATCTGGTGGATCAAAGAATCTGTTTTCTGAGCTCAAGTCCTGAGGAAGAACTTCTCCCTTTTGCAGCTTGCTGATGAGGAGATCGTAGTTCTGATGTTGGATAGGGTAAGCCTGGATAACCTTGTTGACGGTACCCATGAAGTGCAAGTAATCCTTGCCCAGCTGCTGAATCAAGGCACATAGCGTGTCGAGAGCAGCATGCCGCAGACCTGCCTCGCCAGAGGAAGCCAGGACTCTTGCCAATGGGTGAATGATTTTGGCAGCAAAGTCGTTGAGATTAACCTGACGCGATATCTTCCCAATTGTCTCGATGGCCAATTTCCTGAGGAACGATGGCTGGCCAGCCTTCTCGAATGTTTGAACAATTACGGGAATGATCAGATGCATGTATTCCTCGGCACTTGCGCCAAATACTAAGAATGCGTGGAGGACCTTGAAGGACGGTTCCCGTTTCGTGGACTGGTCCCTGTCAAGAACGCCCAACATCATTGGTAACAACCGGGCCAGATAAACCTTGAATTCCCCCTCCAGTGATCTGGATATGGCCTCCACCAGCGATATTATCGTGCCCTGTAGGGCACCTGAGGCTTTGCCCCAAAAGTCTTGCAAGGTATCCACAATATTAGGGAGGTAGTTGCGGATGTGTTGCCGAACAATGGTAACAAGGGTTGCGAGTTGGTTGAAGTATGACTCAAGTCTGTTCGTGGGCGCCGTCTTGATGACTTGCAGGAAAGCTGGGATAATGCGGTCCAGGAAAGACACACACTCGAGACCAAGGGTTCGGAAGATGTTCATGATGGCCTCAATAACATTGGCGTGGTGCTGTTGGAGCGACTGATCCTTCAATATATTCAAGAGTGCATTGATAACCACTGTGGGGAAGTACTCCTTGCTGGATGGCGTCAAGCCCGTCATCATCAAAGATATGTCAGTCATGCGGGTGGATTCGACGCTCTTCTCGGCATCGGGCGTTCGCTCTTCGACTTGCTGGTGTCTGTATGGGTCTAGAGCACCCAAAATACCCATCAGCTTGATCGTTTCCTGTCGCAGGGGGCCACGCTGGGGCTCGGAACGGATGATGGTTTGCAAGAGTTCGAGGAGTTGAGGATACTCGAGGTAGGGATCAATGACGTACCCGCTGTTGCTAGCGAGTTGGCCGAGTGTGTGGAGCGCCGCTTCCCGCTTCGCGGTCGAGCTTTGGTCCTGCAACGCATCAATGATGAGTGGCATCAGCTTGTCCTTGTGGGGAAGCATGTCCTCGCCACCGACCGTACAAAGCTCTCCAATTGCCTTGAGGATAGTAGCCGCCACGGCTGGGCCTGGATCTCTAGCCTTTGGCAGGAGGACAGCCATCATGGGCTCAACATAAGGTTTAATAAGCCCCTGCGCGTTCTGAACAAGGAGGCTGAGTAGTTTGGCACTTTCTTCTTTGTTGCGAGATACATCTGTATACTCTAGCTCTGTGAGGAGCTGGATGAGGGTCTTTCTCAAAGACGGAATTACATATGCGGGATTGTATCTCGCAAGTCGGCCGATGATTGATATAGCTACCTCTCGGATGGAGAAGTCTTCATCGTTGAGAGCGAAAAATAATGTGCGGATGTTCTCGGCCTTGGCAAGATGAGGATCGAATCGCTCGTCAAGTGCTGCTAGAACCGTTCGGCGTATCTCGGCTTCGGGGTCAGAGACACCAACGGTGAGCAACTTCTCAATCACGTCACCAACCACTTGCAGCGCATGATAGCTTGTCTGGTTGACAATGGGGTCGCGAACGTAGAGTTGACAGCAAGTCAAGGCAGCTGCCTCTCGGATTTGCGGGTCGTCGTCCTCGACATACTTGATGGCGATGTCTCGGACGAATTCGTTCAGGACATGGCCCGAGAAGTCAAAGCTTCCCAGTGTATTCAACGCAAGCTTGACCTCTGACTTTCGATGTTCGTAGACCTGCGGATCCTTCGCATCCTTGGGAATGATCGGTACTGAGGATAGTGTGTTGGGCATGGGTGCACCAAGCGGCTTGAAGGGCTCTCCACATAGAACTTTGCTAAGCATGTCAAGCAATCGGTCCTGGATGGTGGCTTTGACGGGGGGGATGTAGAAGGCCATATCCACCAGAGCTTGGGTGAGCTTGGGCGTGAGCTCGCAAGCGAAGATGGGGTCTAAGAGTGCCTCCATGTATTTGCTGAGAGTCTGTCCCACAGCAACTGCCAATCTACTAATGCAGTCAAACACCGGATCTACAGAACCTCGTTTCCGAGACTGCAGGCTCAGGCCTTCTCTCACGTAGATTAGAACGCCATCTAGGTACGGAGCGATGGCACTCTTGACCGAGTTGGCGATGTTTCCAATCGCAAAAAAAGCGTCGTTTCGTTCCTTGTCCTTCTTGAGCATGCCAGACAGATAGAGCATGAATTTATGGAGGTGGGAATGCGCGAATTCAGCCGGGGCATAGTTTGCCAAATCGGGAATGAGCTGCACAACCGTCTTCCTGATGATATGATCGCGGTGATCTTTGTGTTTGAAGACGATGTCACAAGCCTCTTGATAATGATCTTGCATGAACATGGCACCTTGCTCCAAGAGCTCCCGCAGAACCAGAAGTGAGCCGTGGATAGACTCGACAGTGCCGAACTTGAGGCCAATGAGCAGTTCGTTGTACATCTTAGTCATCCAAGCTGCCTTGAGATCATGGTCTCGCTCCCGAATAATGCGAAAGCAGGCGCTAACCGTCTCGCCAGACGTGGCTCGGATGAGCTGCCTGGGATCTCGAAGACCAACCCAGATGAGGTCGAAGACGAGGCCGACGTACGAGTACATCAGAGTGGGTGCATTGCGTGCAAGTTCGCGGAGTACAAGTACGGCACTGTATCTTCTCTCCTCGATGCGCTCTGACTCAAGCCACTCCAAAGAAGTCTTGACCTCGGAGTCGACAAGCTCGGAGATGAGGGAGCCACCTGGCCGCGTGAGCTTTCCCAGAGCCACTGCCGCCGATTGCATAGGTACTAAGTCTGTACCGCGGAGGATTGCCTTGAGATTGCTAGTGAAGCGGGTGTATTTGACCGTCACGTCGACGCCTTCAAAGTCGACCAATGCATCCATCGCGTATACACCACCTATTCGATCTCCAGGGGTATTACTATGGACCAGGCTGGTGATTCGGGAGTTGACACCATTGTACAAGGTGATGAACTGGTCTGGTGGGGTGTCTGTATAGTGGAGATGATCAGTCAATGACTTATATCTGTCTTCGGGACTTGGGAGGTCGGGGAGTGGAGTGAGGAGTGCGAGTGAGGACCATCTGGATAACTGCTGGGTCAGAAGGTTGGCGGAAGTTGAGGCACCCAACCATATACAGCAGGCAACATTGGCAGCAGCCAGCAGATTGCGAAAAGAAATAGCTAGATACACGATGACATGTTCCCCGCTCTGGCTGAAGATATCCAAGCTACCAGAAGAGTCCCAATGCCACAGTACTGAGGCGTATGGCTCGATCCTGCATATCCGGGAGAGCTTGGGGTTGTCGACGGAATCCATGTGCGCCGTTCCATTCCTGCCAGAAGCCAAGAGGTCTCTCTGAGCCGCATCCCGAGCCACAAGCGAGGGCAGCAGCTCTAACGACAACGCAGCTCCATGCAATAGAACAGACCAATCGGCGTTGGTTTCAGGCCGGTTTATATGCCAGCGTCACCACAGGATGCGGCAAGAGCAGCTTGCAGGCATGAGCAAGTATAATGCAGCAGTGGTGATGCCACTCGGGTTTCCAAAGCCAAGCATCAACGGGCCCATGTTTCCCCAAACCACTTCATTCTTATTCATATGCAAGGTGCTCATGTTTCTGAAGGTGCTCACGGTCCGGATCGAATTGCGTTCAACGTACCTCGGTATAGTGTGCCCACCATTTCTCTCAGTCGCATGGCGGCATGTTTCTTGCGCTCGTCTTCTGTTCTAATTAATAAATCAGAACTGTTAGCAAGATCGACAAGGTCACATTGACTTTCCCTCCGGTGTGTTGAAGGGGAATACTGTACGGACTTTGCTTTCAAGTCCCTCATCACGTTCTCCAGGGCCGTGTCGGCCTGCTGCAGTGCGGTATTCGCCATGGTCTGTTCGATCGTGGATTCAGTTTCAGTGGGAGGTATCGCTTCGTTGGGTTAGAGGGGTGTTCGGGAGGTAAGGCCTTTGGAACGATGTCTGCGACGACGTGAGGAGCCGGCGTTGCGATGGTGGAATTTGATCGTCGTTGGTGATGGCTTCACCTCGAGATGGACCCTAAACCCCAAGGTCGTCTGTGCCCTCAGCCGTTTCCACTACAGCTTCAGCAGAGGGCGACAGAGACCATTTGAGGCATGCGACTTCATGTGACGGTGTATCGCAAAGCCGATAGCAGATTCGATGCCGAAAAATGTGAGGATGTGTCGCTGGTTGGCGAAAATGTTGTATGAATATTGTTGCGCGGTGGAACGACGTTCAGTGTCTCGAATTCGCGAAAGCTCACCACTTGCTGGCAAGGCACGCTGTTTGGCGGTCCGGCAAACGACGGTGGGTCAAGCTTGATGCTTCGACAAGAATTGTACTTTGTTACTTCCGGCTCTCCTTCCACAAGGAGTTCAGGGATGTGTGGTAGGAGACCCGACTGTGGACAATCATGAGACGGAAGGTGCCAAGCCGTTAGCGCGTTCTTCTACCAGAGATCGGATCATAGCTTCAAGATGCCGGCACTACCCAGGTTGTCTGATGTACCTTGGTCCTCCTAGAAACGGCAAGTTCACAGAGAAGAGCCGTATTTATGATATAAATCCCATATCTTAAAATACAGGACCATGATCAGTCCATCTCGTCCCAAGGGACAGCCAAGTTGGTAGTTGTGGACGTGGAGGCTACTGTCATGCAAGTCTTATCGTTATCGATATTGGCTGTCCCTCCATCTTATCGATTATTGGATCGCAATCAACGTGACTTATTCAGTCCAAGTCAGTAACAACTAGGTATAGTTCATTTGACAGCATCCTATCCAGCAGGAAAAGTATATCAAGGTTGTCACTCCAACCCGCTTGCTCTATCAACTAGACATACATAGCCCCACTTATCCCTTGGTCTTACCGCTGAGGCGTTCCACCTGAACACGAACGATCGCAGTTGTCGCAAACTGAACACCTGCACAATAACTCTCAAGGCGCGCATCTCTAAGCTTTTGGCTCAGCTTAGCGACCAGCGATACAGGTCTGAGGAGCGACTACACTACAGAAGGCAGCCTGAGCTCATTCCGAACCTTCAAGAACGTTCAACACAGCGACCCCTATCAACAAATTTGGCGAACCCGAAATACCCAAGCGCAACTCTCTCCATCAAGATGGGTAACGATGGTGGCTCAATCCCCAAACGCCGCGAGCTCGTCAAAGAAGCAGCCCGACTCCCCTCAGCGTCCGAACTCAAAGAAGCAGCCGCGGAAAACTTGAACCACTCCTGGTCCTTCTGTCCCTTATCCTCGAGTGCCATAGATCCCACCAACACGGTTTCCGACTGGCGCGGCCGACTGTACAACTACGAATCTATCCTGCAATGGCTCCTTCCCTCACCCGAAACTTCGATACCCGAGACGCAAGAGGAGGCGTTCAAAAGCACTGGAATTAGAAATCTGAAGGATGTGTTGAAGCTCAAGTTCACAATTAGGAAGGACGAGAAGGGCCGTGAGTTCAGGGCGTGTCCAATTAGCCTGAAGGAATTGGGCGCGGCGACGAAAGCACTCTACATCGTGCCGTGCGGCCATGTGTTTGCCGAGGTGGCAATGAAGGAAATCTTCGATTCCGAGGGGACTGAGGCCGAACATAGATGCCCGGAGTGTAGCGAAGTGTTCGAGACGGAGAATGTGATCCCTATTCTGCCTTCCTCCGAATCCGAGATCGCCAGACTCGCGTCACGGCTCGAGAGTTTGAAGGCAAGGGGGTTGTCGCATACCCTGAAAAAGGACAAAAGCAATGGGAAGAAGAAACGCAAGGCCGAGGAGGGCGCGAATGGCGACATACAGAATAGCAACAAGAAAGAGAAGAAAGACAAGGAGAGTGGCATCGAGAGTCGGATCAACAATGCAAGCACGGCCTCTCTGACGGCCAAGGTACTCGCGGAACAAGAGGAGAAGAGCAAAAGAAGGAAGATAGCCGAAGGGCATAAACGGAGTGAGGCTGTCAGGTGAGTAAAGAGCAACATTACTCAGCGTAATAAGAGCAACACTAGAAGCATTATGCGACATAGGAGAGAAATTGGAGAAACTTGCCATATATATTTAGCTAGCTGCCGTAGCTTAGCAACGGTCAATTAATCAGGAATTTAAAATAACCCTGAGACAGTGAAAGCTTGAAAATACCACAAGGTAGAGTGTGATACAACACCGCGGGTTTCCCCCTCCCTACCTTTCACTGCCTGCTTGCAACAGCTGTACAGTATTGATTAGCTCAATAGAAATGTATTCAGGAGTAATACGCTACAACCATAGGTTTCAAACTTCCCCTCCGAGGTTCAGAGCTGTTGGGCCACTTCTTTGCGCATTACTCGTCTGAGGCTTCACCCGATCCCGAAATCATTTTGGGCGTTAGTTGAATAGATTGAATACAGAAATTCCCAGAGCAACCATTTCAACAGAGCAAAGTTGAAAGGAAGACAGGGAGATTGTGGATATTGTCGTATTTGCCCATATGAAATCACAAGAACCTGGGCTGGGTCGCGGATATTGTGTATGTTACCTTCAACGTATGAGCAAGTGCTATGTTTTCGATCTTGCCATGTGTTCATTGGCCTTTGGCCTTTTAGTGACATCAAATAATTGCTCTTCCACGCCTCAGTCAGCCGGGTGGTGGCCTCAAATCATCGTGGATCCCAAGTAACTGACAATTAAGGTATTTAAGACCAGACTCTCACGTTACAACTTCTGCTCCTAAGGTCAGCGAACGCAATACACAACGTTAACTGAACGCAGCTTTTACTCAGATATCTCACTAGGACCAGACCATTTGCATCAACATCACCAAGGTTTTCAATCCCGCGGGTTGGAATAAAGACACGTATCTATTTCATGCTCCCTATCCAAAGAATGTCTAAAGATATATGTATATATATATATATACGTATGTGTAAAAGAAATAAGGGAATATCATACTAAAAGTCATCATGTACAACACAACTAGATAACACCGGGTACCATGGATGTTTAGATTTTAACCCAACCAGAAAGCCTAGAAAATGACAGCAACGTTCGACAAACAACACCTACACGACCAACAACCGCGACATAACAAGACTATATCTTCTTTTTCGATTACGGCTTCGCCACCTGTTCCTTACGGAAGAACTTGAAGAACCCAATCGGGATAGCAAGCTGGAACGCCAAACACACCCAAAACCAGACATTTGCGACACCGGGGTACAGTCCCTGGGAGAAATCGGGGAAGGTAGCCGTGGCATACAGCTTGTTCGGACTAGTAGCACGCGCCAACATAGTGATGGCAGAACCAAGAATCTGGGCTCCGATAAGCACTGCCATGACGTGCTGTCTCGTCAGAGTAGCGAGCAGCATCATACCCAACCCGACACCCTGAACGGCATCGAGCAGACCGAGCCAAAGCCACAGACAACGCGAGAGAATGGCGGAGCCGACGGGGCCGCCGGCCCAAGGGAGGTACCAGCCGATACCTGAGGTTCCCCAGAGCATCTGCGCCCAACGGGGGGCGCCAAGGCCGATGGCGAAGATGGGGAGGAGCCAGGTGTGGCGCTCGGAGAAGAAGGAGAAGCCGTAAAGAATAGCAGCCCACAGTCCGACGAAGAAACCGAGCGCCAGGAGGAAGATGCCCCAGCCGGGCACGTACTGCGAGGCAAAGAGGAACTGCCAGTTACGGCCGTAAGGGGCAGACAGCCAGTAGTTCTGGATGATGATCATGACGAAGAACCACGGGACGAGCTTGCGGTGCATAAGGGAGATGTACAGGCCCGGGATGGACTCAGGGGACTGGCGGTAGTAGTCGGGCAGGCCCAGGTAGAGGATGACACCCACGGCCCAGAGGATAAAGGCGAGGGGCACACAGATAACGAGGGCCATGGGGATGGGCGAGGAGCCGACGAAGCCCGTGGCACTGGCTTCCGAGTTGGAGACGAGGGAACCCCAGTACCAGAGCGCGAGGGTGAAAACTTGTTGCACGCCGGATACGGCGAGGGCGCGGGTGATCCATTGGCGGGTGGGGGAGCCGCCTTTGAAAGAAAAGAATTAGTAAATACAACTACTTGGAGTTGGAAAGGGGATGGAGGAGAGAGAAAGGACATACCTTCATCACCGAAATTCAACGCAAAACTTAAAGATCCAAAACTAGCACCCGCCGCATAAAACGCAGTGGCAACCGTCTGGACATAAATCCGCGTCTGCCAGTACGACACGAAAGGCGCCACACCAAGCATCATAAACGCCAAGCCAAAGAAGATCCACGGTATCGAAAGGGCATATACGCTCTTGAAATTGCGCACCAGCAACCACCACACCACGGAGGAGACCAAGTACGATGCAGCAACAATGTACAGCTTAACGGGCGTCTGCGTCGTCTCGCCGGTCAACAGCACAATCTGATACGAGTTCACCGAAATGACCTGTCCCAGTGCGAGCAAGAACGAGTAAATGGGCCAATCCCCTATGCGAATGGAAAGCAACTTCTTCAGACCCGTGGGGGCCTTATACCCATCACCAAGCAAGAACTCGTCGTCCAACGGCGGAGTCTCCATGGACGTCTCGTACGTCAACATGCTATGCGGCGTGAGGCTCCGTCTCCGTTGGCGTCCACGACTCACAACAGACGTATTCCTGCTATCACCACCTCTGCTTTCGGGCCGACCCGGCGCTGGACTTCGTGTCCGACTCGCGTCGCGCGACCGACCTAGCTTGGCGTCGCGGTACCGGCTGAACCACTGCTTCTCGCTCTTCTTCAGGAACGTCTCGATACACAAGTCGTTGTGCGAGTTCTTGGCCGTCAGGTTCTTGGCGAGCATCTCCTCGAACTCGGCGTAGAATTCGCCGTTGTTATCAGTGAAGGAGAGGTCCACCTTTTGCAGCTTCATGTCCTGCCTATCTCCCACCACGTCAGGTAGGGAAAGTTGACTGCTGTTGCGGTACGACTGGTTGAGGTAGAAGCCAGGCTTGGGGAGTTCGAGACCCGCGAGGCCGAGACCCTGCTCGGCGCCGGGGTTCGTAGGCCCGTCTTGTTGCGCGCGGATGGCGAGACTGTCGACGCTGACCATACTCGAGCGGTCGTGGGGGTTGAAGACGGAGCTAGCGACCGAGTTGCGGGCCGATCCGGGGGAGAGGTTGGCCCAGGGGAAGGTCGGGGTTTGGAGACTAGGGGAGGCCAACGTGGCCGAATTGCCGTGCAGCATGGGGCTGTTAGCGTGAGGAGGGGATCCCAGGGCCGAGTTGGGACTGGCTGGACGACCCGAGGGGGTGCCGGGTCTGGACAGGAAATCGCCTCCCGTCTCCTTCTCCTTGCCGCGCAGGGTGAGAGAGATGAGCGACCGGCTCGTGAGACGTTTCCGTCGGGATGCCTCCTTGTTATGAATGCGGATCGACTCGGCGTACAGAGAGTCAAGTTGTCTCACCCATTGTGCGACGGGGAAACGCTGTTTGGCGCTCCATGCTCTCATGACGGCGCGCTTCTTCTGTTTCGTCTCCAGGGCGGAGACGATAGACTGCTTGAACTGGTCCAGTAAATGGGCCGGTGTCATGGACTCGACCGTGTACCAGAAACCTGGCATTTGTCCGAGACCACCCACTCGGGCCCCCACACCCAATGCACCCTTACGTCCGAACTCGACAGCGACGAGACCGAACGGCTCGTCACGAGACGGGATAAGTGCGAATTCGGCACCACTGAAGATGTACGGGGGTAATTGCGTGAACTCGGGCTTACTGAACACACGCCTGGGGTACTTCTCGACCAGCTTCTCCAACTTGAGGGCAGCAAAACGGCCGTACAAGTCGATAACGGGACCGACCGCGATCAATTGCGTCTTGGGGTACTTCTCCAGAATACTGGGGAAGATATCAGCGATCAGATCGCAACCCTTCTGGACGGACCAACGACCGACGAAGACGAACAGCTCGGCCGTGGGGTCGACTTCGAGTCCGGCCCATTCCTGAGCCTGTCTGCGGAGATCACCGCGGGCAGCCTCGAATGCGGGGTCGACCTTGATGCCCTTTTCGCCCAGGTCCTCCATCTCCGGGTTCCACTCGGCAGTATCGGAGGGATCGGGGTTGGGGAGTTGACCAATTTCCTTCAAACTCCAGAAGATGGGGTATCGAGCCAGCGAACGATCACCGTACTTCTTGGACACACCCACGGCACCGAAACCACGCTGGTGCAGACGCAAGTAACTGGCACCGGCGTGGAGCAAGTTGAAGACGGAACCGTACTGGACGTACTCCTTGACAATATCCATGGGCAGACCGAAAACGTCACAGACTTCCCGCTGCTCCTCAGGGGTACGCATAGGCCAGAGACCTTGGAATTCGGCGTTGTGGAGGGAGAGACAGGTCGGGATGGTCTGGGGCAGCAGGTAGAGCGGGGCGGCGGCACCGTGGTAATCGTTGATGTGGTAGATATCAACGGGGAAACGGCGCATAGTCTCGGCGATACAGCTGTTCCAGGCGGCGTACAGGATAGCACTTTCGACGTCGTCCATGCGGGCCATGTAGGGCTCGGCCTTGGTCTGTTGACGGAAGATAGGCGCGTCCAGGAGAACGTAGGTGATGTTCTTGTACTTGTGGTACTGCACCATAACCTCGAATTGCTCACCCATGCAGCTTACGAACATGGACTCGACGGGCGTGTCGATGGGGTAGTCGATACCGCCGATGCAAGGCACGACCCAGACAAGGTTAACGTGAGACAGGGCCGTGGACATGAGCTTGGCCATAACACCGAGACCACCAATCTTGATACCAATACCCCAATCGTCAATGTTGTACTCCATGGTGGCGATGAGAACCGTCCTCCTGTCGCCCGTGATGGTGGGCAGCGCCGGGGTGCCCGCAGACATAGGCGAGGCGGGAATCGGGGTCATGTGGATCATGGCCTTGTTGTTCTTCTCCTCCTGCGAGTTGGACTTGCTCCTCTTGAGGAAGGCCATGGGCACCAGGCCTTTCACCTTGGTGCTGAAACCCACCTTGTTGACCTTAACGCGGTAGAAGCTGCCGACGTAGGCCCACCCGGCCAGTCCGGCGAGAACGACAGGCATGATGGCGAGTAGAATGAAGAGAAGAATCTGGACAGAGACATGGCCCTGGGGCACCCTGCTAAAGGTCCAAGTGGCGTCGTTGAAGCGCAGCTTGTACGACAGAGCGGGCCACGCGGGGGGCGACGTGATGTTCACGACGTTTTCGGACAAACTGCTGGGTGGTAGTCTATCGATGACGCCGTCGTCGTCGATATCACCGTAAATGAAACTTTGGTCAGGCTGGGCGTCCGGGTTGATACCCCAAACGTTCATCTGGAAATTGGCAGGCCACTCGTACATGAAGTGTAGCTCCCAAGTGCTGCTGCCGACGAGATCCATGGAGCTGGCCAAACCGGCATCGTAGCCCCACTGGTTGTAGTCACCGTGGAGAAAGACGTGAGGGAAGCGGCGAGGGTAGCCCGAGTCGGCCCCAACGTCGGAATGCTGGACGAAGGCGGACGAGCCTAGAGGTTGGCTCCAGTACTGGACGATGACGTGCTCGCCGTCCCAGGCCTGCTCCGTTGTTCCGTCCCAGCTTTGCTTGACGATCTTGGTCTTGGCTGTTGCGTACTCGATCCAGTTGCTCCAGGACGATCCCCAGTTGGTACTGTACCGCCATTTGGAGGCTCCGGGGGCGGTGTGGGTCACGTATAGGGCCTCTTTATCGTCCATGGTGAGAAGCGTGCTCGAATAGTTGGCCGATTCTGGGAACACGACGGGGTTGTTGGGCTGGCCGAAGCGAATCAAGAAGTGGTCGGTGCTGTTGGTGGCCACGTTGTCCGCCGACAAAGCGTTGTCCAGGGTGATACGATGAACACCGTCTTCCAGGTTGGAAAGAGTCGAGGTCCAGGACCACTTGGTGGCAATGTAGCCGACAAAGTCCTCGGTGTCGTCAGTTGTGGCGGTACAGACAGGGTCACTGAAAGTGCTGGTGTTGGTCGTTCCCGAACCGTCGATGGTGGAGGTCACAGAGATGGAGTTGGTGATGGAATCGCAGTCCATCTCCATGTTGAAGTGCAGGCTGATCTCGATTTGGCCATTGGCATCGGTTGAGTCGATGGGCGCGTCGTGGCCCGGAACGAACTTGGTGATCATGGGCCCGGGGGTCACAGCCAGAGACTGGGGCACGTATGCACGGTATTCAAAGGGCTTCATGGTGATGGAGCTGAGGCACCCGGCCGAGTTAGACGTGCCGGTCCAGTTCTTGTTGGAAACGGCCGATTCCTCCAGCGTTACCGTGTCGTCCGTGTTGAACAGGTTTTGCACCGTAGTGCCGGCATCGTAGGGAGCCAAAAAGGCATCCGATGCGTCGCTACAGTCGAAGGTATAAGTGGTAGTGTTCTCGTTGTTGTGGTAAACCAGCCACACGGGCTTCTCAGACGTTGCGTTTTGCACATCGGCCATCATGCCGCGGGCAACACTCCAGATGCCAAAGGTGGTCTCGGCCGAACTGCCGTTCAACAACCTGGTGGTGGTCTTGGCCGCCAGCTGCTGCAGCAACCAGCCTTCCGAGAGCACGGGAAATGAATCGCGCAAGGAAAACATGTGCTTCATGGTGTTGCGCAGCGGGGCCGACGGATCGCGATGGTCAAGAGCCACGCTGGCATCGTTACAGCCCTGCGTCGCCTTGCTGACCGGCCAATTGGTGTAAATTTCGTTGGCGCTCGAGAAGCAGCCGTGCCTCTTCCACGCCAGCGCTGGCGACATGGCCTGACGACCGAAAACGTAGTTGGACGCCGTGCTGTCCAGAACGTAGAAGCCTTGCTCCTCGCCATAGTACATCAGCGGGATGCCCGGAAGGGTCAGTGTCGTGATGAAGTGCCCCAGCAGCATGCGCTCAATTCCCTTTTCGACGGCGGGCCAGCGGAAAACATCCTGGTTGGTCACACCAAAGAGATGGCGGGGATCAAACTCGCCAGTGTTCACGTTGTAAAAGTCGTTGGTCAGGATCATTTCGTTCCACATCTGGACCCAGTCCGTCGGCAGATCGTATCCGGCCTCGAGGTTTCCGCTCATGCCGAGGAATCGGGTCAGGTATCGGTAGACGGAGTAGTGGAAAGCACCGGCATCCAGAGCACTCAGGCCTTCTTCGCGGATGAAATACTGAGCATCATCGGTCGAGTTCACGTCGAGCGTCATCGCCGTTGCCGCATCAGCCGGCTTCATATCGGGCGAGCGACCACGCCCCAGGTAGACAGAGCCCAACGTGTTACCGGCCGTGATTTCGCCCACAACCATGAAGTTGTCCTTGCCGTACTTCTTGGCGCACGTTCTCATGGCGTCGCTGAAAGACGCCTGCGCATCCACCGTGACCTGCATAGCCTTGTCGACACGGAAGCCGTCGATATCGAGCATTCCGATCGTTAGGCACGAGAAGTGCTCCAGGCGCTCTCTTACCGACGGAACCCACTCACGAAGACGATCCTGCACCGAGGCGAACTTGGCCAGCTGACGTTGCCAATCCGGAAACACGCCGAAAGCTTCGATGTCACCATACTGGTCGAAGTCGCTGTTGTAACAGCCCTTGAGCGAGTTCTGCACCGTCGAGTTGACCTTGTAGCCGTCTTCGTACCAGAACGTCGGGTATTCGCATGTCTCATTGTATTCGTTGCCAATGTCGAAGTCGAGGTATCGACGCGATGACTTCCAGGATACCTTGTGCTCCTCGTTCAAGAAGGGGGTACTTGTGTTGAGGTACCCGTTAAATCCGATCAGATCACCCAAGCTGCCATCTCAAAATGTTAAAGACGTAATCAGAATAGGAGGTTGGGGGTGTACTCGACTCACGTGGCCATGGTGTTGTCCAGCAACACGTACATGTTGCGGTTGTGGATCTCGTCCATAGCCTTTTGCCATTGTGCAATATCTCCGAAATGCTTATCTAGCAGGGTCAAGTCAAGCGGCTGCACACGTTACAAGGTCAGCCGGCCATGCTTCACTTCCAAGTCAGACAGACCCAACATACCGAATATCCATCAGCACCCCAGGGCAGGTTGATAAAAGGGGAACCAGCAATGTAGATAGCCTGCGTGCTCTGTTAGACCCGTTCATTCCTCGTTCTCTCACCGCCAGGCCGTTCGATGATTACCTTGATGCCCATGCCCGCTATGTAGTCGAGCGAGTCTATTAAGCCTTGGAGATCACCGCCGGCGCGCAGCTGGGTGCTCATATAATCCGTCTCGAAGATCGTGCCATTGGCATCGTCGTTCGTGGGGTCGCCATTGGCATAACGATCCAGGAAGACGGTGTAGAAGGGAAACCTCCAATTGTCCGGGGACTTGGCGTATGTGTGATTGCTATCCCGCTGGCCGGAATAATCAAGCGGATTTGTCGCTGTAGGGTTCTGATTAAGATTATAGTCCTTTTCTGAGAGAGTGTATTTAAGTCCGTGAACGAGGGTAGTGGGCGCCGCCGTAAAAAGAGCGAGTAGCAGCGTTGAAATTCGCAAAGAAAACATTATTCGTCTATAACGCCCACGCGCCACGTAAGCATTGGGGAGGATGTACTAGTGGCAGCAACACAACAACAGAAACGAGAGAATAGAGGTGGTGGTGGTGGTTGTTGGTGTTCTTGTTGTTGAAGGAAACTCGGAAAGGTCCCAACCCAGTATCTCGGATCCCAAAGAAGAGAATGACGACCAACCGGACAGGACTACAACAACCAATGGTACAGGGCAAAAGAGGATCGTTGGTAAAGGAGGGAAAGAGAACTAGTAAGCAGGCAAAAGCCGCGATGTTGCACCGAGCCGTGGAACGCACATCACTGTGCCGTTCGGCGGGCGTAGCAGCGCCTAACGATTTATGAAGCGGCCGGGGGATCCCCCCTGTTGGGACAAGTTGACGGTACGACAGTCTGGGCGTAGTCGCCTCTAGAAGCTACTATACTTAGCTGTGGTTTCATTAGTACCCACTACATAGGCTTAGTATCCCGCCCCTTCTGGAGACTCCCATTGTGTCGGCATTGGCCGGCAGCAGGACTCAATTTTTGTGAAATAGGGGGTTAAGAGGGAGTGTGAGCTGAAATATGGAGTCGCCCTTATCAGCCTGCTTTAGGATGGCAGATCGGGGCCTCTATGGCCTGAGGGGCAGCACAACAAACCAGGAGGTCTCGCGAGTACCTCAAAGTATAGCTCCAGGAACAGGTTTCAAGGAGGACCCATGTTTCGTTCATATAATCCTGGTCAGGGCCTGACAGGTCTGGACCCACTCGCAACAAGCCACTGCACGAATAGGACAAACAGGAGGCAAAGATGACAAGGCGTTCCATTCTACCTTCTGCAGCCGTTCAGGAAAACTCCTATTCCGGGCTGCAGTGACGGGGGCCCGCATACGTGGCGTCTGTGTTCCACAACAGGGCTGACTTGAGTCATGAAGAGAAAATGATTTCGAAATTTGCGTAGAATATAAGAAGGGGAAATGTGCTGCGCATCTCTTTCCGCCAACGCGGTCCAGCAATTGCCTGGTGGGGAGTTCGTTCGTGTGGCAAATGTGAGCAATATTAACGGGTGTTTGTCGCTTATTAAAAGTCGACACAGCAAGAACCAAAGCAACCGAGCAGCGAAAAGTGCCGGCGACCTTCCGAATCAGGAAGCCGTACCTAGCAGGCTGAGTTGGTCCTTGCCTGCCGATCCGGCCGAGTGGGTCGATATTTTGCCATTGGTCAAAATCCAGTGGCTGAGAGGGCTTTAACACCCTTTAAGCTTGCATTTGAGTCGCACAACCTACCCCATGTCTCGCCAATTAGCAACACGAGGTCTATCGCTGCTCAAGTGCGTAGTGCGAGAAAAAAAATTCGCACCCTTGCTCACCCTTTATGGTAAACTGGAACTGCAGAGTGGGGACGGCCCTGAGCCTCGCGAGTCCGCGTTCGAGGGCTGCGACATCTTCTTTGTCGGTCTGCTAGCCGAACGCGAGTTCTTCGCTCATTTACATCACACATCACACATTGAAGACTTTCGATGGGGAATAACTGCGTCAAGCCAGGGACGCCACTCGACACTAGCTTCGACCTATACTCTGGTGCCTTGCATTTGCTGAGCTTCGCATAAGCACCTTCTGCTAACGACAGAGTGTCGACAGGCCGCAGATGGGCGACGGTTGGGGCCACTAAAGGATCCCCTGTCCAACCATTTCTTTTCGCCTTGCCACACCGTGGCTCGAGTATTCGCGTAATTGGCCAGCCATACCCCACCAGTTGCAACGGTGATGCTGCCAATTTCGTGATACGATCACTTGGCCAATGTCCAATGTATTGCACGCCAAATACTAAGTACCTCGGCGTATCGTCAAAGGCTTGGCAGGGGATGGCCTGCTTCATCATATTCTTCTGGAAATCTTTGCCGTTGTCGTGAGCGGAACCAGCGATCACCTGCGCTGTTCCTTTCTTGAGTGGTGCTTCATGTATTTTAATATGCAAATCTTAGGTAGTATCCTGGCGTTAGCCGGGGGCCGAGGGATTAACAGACCCTCCGAAATGAAGCATTCTCTCGACTGTCAGATGTTGGCGCCAGTCCCAAGCCAGCCAGCAAGCCGGGGCGGGATACGAAGTTCGCAAGTACGTATGGGGGACCATCCCGTGTTGCCCGTCTCAGGTGGTCTCTCTCTCATCTACCTGCCATCACACAAACACGGGTCGTCCTCCGCACGTCTCATATAGTGCATTTTCAGACCTTTCTATTCCACCAGAGTCATTCATTTTATACTGTCGTTGAAGACAGCGCAGGCCCTTTTGCTGCTTCACTGTCATACCTTCGTTTATATCGTTGAAACCCCTGCGACACGCGTAATACACATTCTACCCGTACTCGATACCGAAGCCTCCGCTTGAGACCGCCCGTTCTATTCGTAATATTTCCATGATCTAACAAGATGCTTTCAACTTCACTCACTGTGGCTGCGGCCATGGCGCTCATGGGCGTCTCCGATGCTGCCAGTCTGGAACAATGGAAGTCGCGATCAATCTACCAAGTCATGGTCGATCGTTTTGCGCGTACCGATGGATCGACGACGGCGACGTGCGATGACTACGTCTTCTGCAATGGGTCGTGGGCCGGCCTCATTGACAAGCTCGACTACATTTCAGGTGAGCCATCATGTTCAGCAGTGCGCCCGTCAGCGCAAGTCGTCACTTATACTCATCATGTCAGACATGGGCTTCACTGCCATCCAGATCAGCCCCGTGGTGGAGAATATCGAGGACGATACCGGCGTCGGCACAGCGTACCACGGCTACTGGTCCAAGGACCTGTACGCCGTCAACTCGCACTTCGGCACGGCCGACGACCTGAAGAGCTTGTCCGACGAGCTTCACAAGCGCGACATGTACCTGATGGTGGACGTGGTCGTCAACAACATGGCGCAGAAGTTTGACAACACGCTCCCGCCGCCGATCGAGTACTCCGAGTTCGAGCCATTCGATAACGAGGACTACTTCCACACTTACTGCAACGTGACCGAGTGGACCAACTCAACCAACTACCAGAACTGCTGGTTGTACCCCTATGCCGTGGCGCTTGCCGACCTGAGGACCGAGGATCAGACTGTGTCTGACATGCTGGGTTCCTGGATCAAGGAGCTTGTGGCCAACTACTCCATCGACGGCCTGCGGATTGATGCCGCCAAGCACGTCAATGATGACTTTCTGCCCACTTTCGTCCAGAACTCGGGTGTCTTTGCATTCGGCGAGGTCCTGACGGGTCTCGTCGAGGACTTCTGCCGCTACCAGACCAAGGGTCTTTTGCCCGGCATGCCCAACTACCTTCACTACTACCCCTTGCTCGCGGCCTTCGACGGCGGATCCATGAACGACCTTGCCACCGTCCGTTCTCAGGCACAGGAGGGATGCAACGACACCATGGCCCTTGGCACCTTCGTCGAGAACCACGACATGCCCCGTTTCGCCTCCACCAACGAGGATGTGGTCATCGCCAAGAACGCCATGGCCTACGTCATTCTGAATGACGGCATGCCCTTGGGTAAGTTTTCTCTGTCTCTTGGCAAGTGAACCATCGTAGTCCGACGATATACTGACGAACCCCCGATATTACAGTCTACCAAGGCCAGGAGCAGCACTTCAACGGCAGTGGAACCCCCTTCAACCGCGAGCCCCTCTGGCACTCCGAGTACAACACCTCGGCTGAGCTGTACCAGGTGGCCAGGACGCTGAACAAGGCTCGCAACCAGATCATCGCCCTGTCCAACTCGTCAACGGACTCGTACGTCAACAGCGTCGCCAAGACGCTCTTCGTTGACATCAACCACCTGTGCATGAGCAAGGGCCCCGATGGCGCCCAGATCGTCTCGTGCATCGTCAACCAGGGCTCCGGGGGCGCCGAGTACGAGCTCAGCGTCGGCGGCTTCAGCGCCGGCGACGAGGTCGTTGAGCTCCTCAGCTGCACCACCACCACCGCCGACGGTACCGGTAACGTCACCATGTACATGAACAAGGGCGAGCCCAAGGCCTACACCCTGCTCGCCAATCTTGACGGTACCGAGATCTGCAACAGCACCAAGGACGCTGCTGAGGCCGCCGCTGAGGACAGCAGCGCTGCGGCCGGCTTGGGCATGAGCTTCGGCATGGGCGCTGCCGTCGTCTTTGGATGGTTGCTCTACGCCTTGTAGGGGAATTCACTCATTTCGACGGCATGGTGGAACTTGTTTACAAATGGAGTACTGACCTTTGATGTATATATGGTGGCATGCTGGAAATCCTATTAGTACTCGAAACGAAAATGTGGTTGATATGAGTGCTCTTCGATATCCACGACTTGGAGTCACAACTGGAGGCGGCCGTAGTGGTATTTTTTGCATGCCATTGTGCGAGGTTTAATTCTGCAACGCGAATCTTAGCTTTTAAAGAAACTTTCTTGGTCTACGAATTGTTGTCTACGTCGTTGTGTGCTTTGTTTTGGAATGGGTGGGTAAGTCCGCGATGATCGATTTCCGACGTGACACGTGAAGTTGTGTGTTTCCGCGGATGGTCACGGATAAAATCAAAACAAAATAAGTCCAGAATCTGACAAACATCATGCTCGTTACTTATGAACTCGCGAACTGAACTCACGTTGGGATTCTCAAAGCCTCCGAAACACACGCCATGTAGGTACTGCCTAGGTAGGCTCGGACGGAGCTGTGGCTAGAGTGTCCTACGATCAAAACGGTTGACGCAATGGCGCATCATATCTGTATCCCTATGCCATCTGGCCAGGGTGCAGCTTTCGCCGCTGCAAGGAAGCCCCCGTCATCAAGCCGCCGGACGCGCAAGGCTTAACGTAACCCACCCATAAGCGGGCCACACCCCTTAGCGGGCCACCATTTTTGGCATAATAAGAGGATGATCAATAACAGCATAACAAGCAGAGTTGAAGCTATTCACAACGCTATTTTCAACTAAATACATCAGAATCGAGCGGTAATTCCTTCCAAACGCGTTTAGCAAAGGTAACAACGCCCCTAAGGGCTTGTCTACGCTCCTTTTCACTCATTACCTGAGCCTCTCGCTCCTCTCTCCGGCGCTGTTGATCTCGAATCTCTTTAACAGTTAATACACGTGCAGTACCACAGGTCTTCTTCGTCCTTCTATTTCTACTCTCCTGTTGTTTCTTAACGAGGCCCTCGTTAATCTTCTGTAAGGCTATATTATCTGCTAGAGCTGTTAGGCAAGTCTCTTTACTAAAAGAAACCTTACGCTGTAAGGGGCTATCACAAACAGTGACAAGCTTAGCTACAATCTCATTGATCTGCTGAGCCGTATCCCTATCAACTTGAATATCAACGCGTACACCATTCTCGTCGGTAAGGCTCGCAAATGGAGGGGTCTTTGGCCGGTACTTGGCGAGGATCTTCGACGGATCTAGTGGGGATAAGCCAGTACCTCTCCAAGCGCCCGGGATATTGCGGTAGATAGTAGATCTAGCTTGTTGATATAATAATAAGAACTGCTGGTTGTCGACTCGTACGGCACCGAAGATAGACCGTTCAGTGATCAGGGACTTGTACGCCTTTGCCAGAGGGCCGAAGATACCCTTGTCAAGGGGTTGAAGCTCGTGGGTCGAATGGGGGGGCAGGCAGAGAGGAATGATTTGATTTGCTTCGCAGTATTCGACGATTTCAAGGGATACGTGGCTTGTGTGACCATCTAGAATAAGAAGGCGGTATTGACCACGACACTGTTGACGTGTATACGTATCAAAATGGCGTAGCCAGGTCAAGGCAATCTGTCGATCGGTCCAGCCATTTGGGCTGACCTGAATAACAGTCCTTGGATCGATCCTCTCGTCTATCCAAGACGGCAGAATCCTCTTGCCCTCGAATATGATAAAAGGCGGTAGGGAGTAGCCGTTGATTCCTATACATTCGATGATAGAGACCCATTCACGGTTACCAGGCTGGTTAGCAAAGGCCTGATCGTCCTCTCGAGAGATAATAACTTTAGGGTTATCACCGATGCCTTTGCTAATCCCCTTCTCGTCCATATTGTAGGTATCATCGTCCGTGATCGCGTATTGTTCTTTAACTCGTCGGTAGAGGTCGAACCATTCGGTGAGGATATCGTACGTGATACCATCCTTTCGAGCTTGATCTAGACTACGAACTCTATAGGTCTTCAGCTTAGGGTGGCGGTCTAGAAAGCTAGTGTACCAGTTGACCCCTAGGGGGTCTGTATCTCCTTTCGCTTCCAGCAGGTTCACTGCTAGCCCTTCCACTCCTTTGATAGTCAAGGGCCATCCCCCGCAGCTAACTGAAGCAAGGCTCGTTCGATCGTAGCTTCTTCGGCAGGTAATAATCGCTGTCGGTGTTGGTGGGCGGTGGTCCGGCTCTGGCGGCCTTGAATTCGGGCTTGGAGGGTTGTTCTGGGGACCCCAAAGAGCTCGGCTGCTTTACGTATACTAGGGACTTCCCCAGAACGAATAGACTTGATGGCTTTCTTGATCTGGTCTTCCTGATCCATTTGACGAAAGAATAAAGACCTAGCGATAAGAATCGACGTAGAAATTGATGATGTTGTTGTTAAGTTGAGCCAATTCGACAGAGCCGAAATGGGTGGCCCGCTAAGGGGTGTGGCCTGCTTATGGGTGGGTTACGTTACGCGTGCTATGTAAACAGCCATCAATAAGAGTGGATACTGTTAGCGAAGTTCTCAATGCTTCCGTATAATGAGGAGTCCCAACTATACCATAACATGCAGTAACCACGGATGTTGGGAGCTCGGAGCCGGAGCCGACGAACTTCACCCTCTAAGGCAGAAAATATTTCCGAGGTCATTTTACATTTGGTGGTATTTCCAGTATGGAGAATGGTCAAGAATGGTCAAGTCACCGTTTCAGGGGGTGACACTCGGCATGGGGTGTTTTTGTGACACTAAGGGTATTAGTGAGACAGTTTCAGAAATCATGTTAAGTCAACGGTTTATAGAGACGGTTACACAATTGCTGACCCGTGCATATGTCTGACATGAAACCAATCGGATAAAATTGAAGCTATTATGCGAGTATACTTAGAGGTTGCAAAAGGAGACCGTTCCGAAGAACTGGACCGGGCTTATCAAGTCATTTCGACCACTCTCAATTGGAAATATGTAGTGAGATCGTCCTACGTGGCTCCATCGCGATACCCTGATCTATAACGTATTTTCTCTCAATAAGCAAACATCAAAAGTGCTAGGTAGGGCTATACTGCCTTTCGCAAGAACAATCGTTGAACGCTTAACGACAGGGTCCACCTCGCACGCCTCGAAACCCACAGATACGGCCAGTCTTCCCATCCCTCCTGACGCCAGCGCTGCGCACAAACCCACGGTTATCCGCCCCAATCGTTTTGAAAGACTCCGCAACCCTCTCATAGTCACCCAAGAACCGATGAGCCCGGACATCAGTGCCTGCTAACAAGCCATGACCCAACGTCACCCCCCAAACGCCATCGGCCTTAATAGCATGCGCGTCCACGGCCTCATCGGGCTCGAGTAACACCGAGTAAATAGCCCCCGAGTACCTTAACCCCTTTTCAGCAACCTGGGCTGGAAATACCCATTTACCCCTTCGTAGTCCATGATCGGATGCCACGGTGTGACGGTCAGGTTGCCGACTTGGCACATCACCATCCTCTTCGCTCCCATCTTCAGAATAGCAGCCACTTGCCGACTCCCTAAGGGTGTTTGCACAGCCATCCCCTTTCTGAGCTTGCAGACGGCAACCTGGTGCCCACTCGCCAAGGCCGCCAGGCTCGAGCCAGCAAAGCACCCACCGTTTTTGTCGTTGTACTTCTCTATGGGGAGAATAGCTCCCCCAGACTTGTATCTCTGATCCGCTTCACCCGAGCGACTAGGCGCCAGTGGCTTCACTCTCTGGCTGAATGCGGTCTCCAGCGCTTCCTTGCATTTGAGAAACAAAGGGCTGTCGATACCGTACACCTGCACCCCCGGATCCTTAAATGTATTGCAGATTTGCTTCTCATGCGCCTCCCAGAGGCTGAGGAAATAGTGCCGGCCCCATCTCTGGAAATACGAATCATTCAAGGCGGCGAGTTGGACCTGCCCCTGAACGTCTTCCATGAGTGATGTGTTGAAAGGGTCGGCGTGGTTTGATGCTGGCATGCGATCCATCAAATCTCTGAACCGTATCGCGCGGAATAGAGGATCTTGACGGTGAAGTCGCTCACCGTTGGATAGCATTGGGAAGAGTGAAGACAGATACTTGCAGAGCATGGATTTGCTTTGGTGGTATGCGATGACGGGCTGTGGGAGATCGGTTTCCTCTAGCAAGTCTTTGCGAGCTGACACAGAGTACTGTGGAGACTGCATGAGGGAGTATTTGAACTCTGCAGTGATGTCGAAATCAGGGTCGTGGTCTACAGGGCTCAAGTTGGATTCATAGCGTAGATATATGTCTCTCGATTGTCCGTACTGCACGTTTCCAAGTTTGATAGTCAACTTCTGGTGGTCGGTGGTACCGCTACTGCAGAAGATGTCGTTCAGCTGGGACCGTCCGGTTTTCTCTTGCTCGTGTTGATCGCCAGTATCGACGGTCTTTCCTGTGGTAGTCTGCAGCTCTATGAACTTAGGGTGTATGATCTCAAGGACGCATTTGTTCGCAAAGGTCGACTGAAGATGTGCCATTGCGTTGATAAACACAGTTCCCTAATATGTTAATGAAGTTCTCAGACCATCACTCATAACCAGTCTTTACTTACAACCATGCCAGAATCGGGGATAAATGCATAGTTTCCGCCACCGATCTCAGCAATGGACTTAAGTAGTCCTGATTTGATGTTGTAGCCAAATCCAAATGTGTGAATAGTAGCTGGTAGTGGCTGCATGCTACGGATCGTTGCGACATAACCACGGTCTGGGTCCCTGGAATAGGGGTTAGCTCAAAAGAGGAATAGGATGATTGAAATACTGAAACATACCCGTGGTTCGGCTGGCCGTCAGTAAGAACCATGACTGCTGGCACGCGACCAGTATTGAATTCATCTTCGAACAGACCCTGTCCTTCCCTAATGCCGTCCCACAAGTTCGTGGCACTCTCGACTCTCATGCCCCGTATACTCTCTGCTGCCAGTTCTTTGTTTGACGCAGTCATTGGAAGCAGTCTTTGTATAATCTTACGAGGCTGTTAGATTTTGTTCGCTTTAGCTGATCTCATGGAAGAACAAACCTTAGCCGCCGTACTGAATGTGACGATTCCAAGCCGATCGTTCTCATCCATAGTCTCGAGGACTGTCAAGGCCGCATGCTTTGTGATGTCCAGCACCGTAAAACCCGCGTTTTCTTGGACCATATCCCCATTTTCGTTGACTCCCATAGCTGGGGCTAAGTCGTGCATGCTGACAGACACGTCGATAACTAAGACAATGTCGCATGGTACATGAGACAGAATGCCATCTTGGGGCTCTCGTGGTGGTTCGATCTTGATGAGCACGCCATCTTCTGACGGCAGTGGGTGGATATGTATTTTTGGTTTTTCCAACGTGCACGTCGACGTCGACGCTGCTGAGAAGATTGGCAAGTTTATACTAGGACTTAGCAACGTCCGGCTCCTATAGGGCAGGTCCTTTTCCAACAGAATAACATAGTCTGTCAGCCATGAGTTCGTTTATGGTCCGATGCGAAAAGGTCTCACCATTTTTTGTTATAAATAGTCCAATGATAGATATATGGTATTTGACGGCTTATTCGTTGATGCTGGTGCCAGGGTTAAGAATGTGGACAGATGTAGTGTACATCGAACAAATTCCAGGTGGTTAAATATTGAGAAGGCATGCTTTATAATTCCGTTGATAGGCAGCACGCACCCTTGCCATCCACAGAACAAAGAGCCTAGAGGTAACTCGTGTTGGTGCATCGCCCCTTTCCGGTTTCAGCGATCTATTCGTAAATGGGCAGTAGAGGAACAAAATAACCCGCAAGGCGTAAATAAACAAGGTGTAAATAAGGTGTATGCGCATAATCAAGTTTTCTTAGTTAAGGCTGTGCCGATGTTGGCTTACTGATTGACCAGATATGGATAATCTGTGCAATTCCTTTATTCGATATGTCGGTTCGAGAGGGCTACACAGCCTACAGACCTGGGACAAAAACGTTGGGAGTGGGAAATGGGCCAACCAATAACACATTCCGTGTAATGGTGCCATGCTTGGTATTGGTCACGATGCCACATGGGAGAGTTTCAGTCCTGTAATCGACTGGCTTCTAATTACCAGATTTCCAGCCTCCAATACAAGTTCCAACATACTCCACGAACAATGTTACTCCGAACAGTACGTATTGGCTCTCGCCTGATCTTGCTAGTCGATGCTTTGAGGGAGCCTATAGTCTAACGTTAGCAAGCGGCGGACCTACTAGTGCAAACTCTTGATGGATGATTCAAGGTATCCACTTAGTATACTATCTGGCTACCTGTCTGCAGACATACATATGATCTGGAATTTGCATGGCCCCGCTCAAATGGTCAGTTTTGATCTTAGTGACCATCTGATGCGTAATATCATTTGGGGCGGTCTCACAAACAGCTTGAAGGCACTGCCTCGTCGGGGGTTCTACTTGGCGCTCTGTCCTGTCAACGCCTTGCTTACTTACTACGCTTAGTTGCAAGACACTCAATTGTAAAAACGACGAATACGTTGAGTCAAATTTGAGTCTTGTGAGCTGCTGTGTTAGGGGCTGTGCCATGGGCTGCGCCTCAATTGGCTAATCGCCACATTGGAAGACTGACCTGACATTACCAAAGTAGCAAGCGATTAGTTCACCAGTCCTCAAAAGCTAAGGGCACTTGTAGATACGTATGGTACTCAATACACAGGATGGAATGGAAGGACCCTGCTTACGAAATGTTTCTTACAGATGTCGAAATAGTGTGTTCTAGTGAAACATTGTCGGCCGTATGAGCTTGACTTTAGTGAGACATACTATAGATGAACTGACTGACTGTGTTTACATCCGTAGCGCCGTTGAACTGGAGACATATCGAAGAAAATTACAGCCTCGTGATAGCAACGCTGATTATTGGAATATATAGGCAAATCTTTGCCTAACGTCACAATTTGGGAAGATCGTAAAAGTTGAGAAGAACCTGTTCTATTCGAGCCGCTATAACTGTAACCCACCGAAATCTCAACAGTGCCAAAGCCTCCACTATAACATAGTGACCAATTAGGCCCTCACGATCATAGTAGGCCGAGTGGTGTAGTGGTTATCACGTGGCATTCACACTGCCAAGGTCGGGAGTTCAATCCTCCCCTTGGTCATTTTTGAATCGTTACCCGTCCATGATAGTTATGATTTGGTTCTTCATTTTGCGGCTGAATCTTGATGGTGAGTTTCCGACATATCTCTTCTTTACACCTGAGATCCAACTGTCTGCACTCGTAGGAAAGTAGATGTGCGATTGAGATTTTCTCAAATCGTCGTCTATGGTTCTCTCTATCTGTTTATAGTTCATCCTTACCCTGCTTGGCCTGTCCAGGCTCGACCGCCTCCTCACATGCCGCTGGCGTACCAACCTCCATTTTATAAACGCACTTCTCAAGCTCGCTGACCCGCCACAACTCCTCCTGCTCAGCGCAGGCAAGCCAGACATCGGTCCTGCGGTTCGGTCCATTCCAGCAATGCTGCCCATTATCATAGCGCATAACCATCCTCTTCCCGCGTCCCAACCCCTTACCATCATGGCGTTCCTCTTCATCGCTCTCCTCGATATCAATGTGGTCAAAGTGGCCCATGTTGGTGGAACCGCCGCCTTTCTTAGACTTCTGCGCCGTCTTGGACAGCCAGCAGAGCTCATACTCGTACTCGCCTGAATCGATGGAGACGCACTTGTCCTTCAGGTAGCGGAAGATGTCGTCGGCGCCATAGTCCTTGGCGAGGTCCGCCTGCTGGCCGTCAAGATCACGCTGCTTGTTGGTGATATCTTTATCCACGGCTTCGTATGCCTCTCGAGCGGCGACCACAAGACGCGACTCTCCTTTGCTAGAGGGATTGTCGGCCATGATGCCATTCTCGATGAGCCAGATGCGGAGGAGGTTCACCTTGTCGTGGATGAAGTCTCGGAACTGGCCCGGAAGGTATGCCTCAAGGCTGTAGACTGGAGTTTGTTAGCACTCATGTGCATCGCTGTCATGAGTGGTCAGCCAACTTACGGATATCGGTGTCAGTCGCCTCTTCCCCGTCCACATACTCGTCCCAGTTGATGCCACCCTCCGTATTATCCTCCTTCAGCACCTCTTGAATGTCGCTTTCATTATCATCTTTGCTTTCGCCCATCTTAGCAGCGTAGTCTTCCCAAGCTCTGACCGCCTTCTTCACGCCCTCATCATTGAAGTTGGGGTTGTACTCCTCCTTGAAAGTCGCAAGAATGCCCTCGAGCTCCGCAACCTTGCCCCGCAGCTCGTCCCGCTGACCAAGAACAATGTTCAATGTGTCGCGCAGCTCGTTGACTCTTCCCTTGGCCAAGCCAACCAGAACGCCCAGCTTGCCAGTTCCCTCACCCTTGACGACCTTGCCGCGTTCAGAATGCTCGATTTCGTCATGCTTCTTCTTCAGTTCGTCACGTTTTGTTTCGAGACTTTTGATTTCCTCCGTCAGGCTGGTGATCTTAGCCTCAACCCGACGGCGGAGCTCCTTGGCCTCCTTGACCATTATGCGGCGTCGCTTGTTGGCCCGCTCGAGGTTCTCCTTCCGCTCGTTGTCGATTCTTCGCCATTCCTTCCCAATCTCTTTGCATTTGTTGGGGCACTTCACACCACCAACGCCGCCATACTCTTCAGTGCCATCGCAGCACAGATCGTAGTCACAGACGCCGTCGTTGACGTACATAAAAGGGACGTATGTACCGATGTGGCCTTCGTTGGCGCACCAGAAGCCAGGCAGGGCATTGCTGGTGTTTGTAGTGCCGGACAATGAGTTGGGCAACGGTTGAGGAGGTGACAGAGGGTCAATGTTGGCGCAGGCTGCTGTACCAGGCTCGTCGGATCCATCAGGGCAGTCACAGCTGTTGTCGTTGACTTTGGACACCGCGATGGAGATGGACGGATGGCCAATGCAGGCAAATGTGTCCGTTATGTCATAGAATTTGGCAACTGTGAACACCATCAATCAGTATTCGTTTCAAGAAATGCATTTGGAAATTACGACAATGCGTCACGATGGTGAGTCCAGACACCGACTCTAGACCTCGTAGCGGGGTTTGGATGGCGGCAAAGGAAAGGAATACCAACATTCAGGGCCAACACCTCGTGGTACTGTGCCAGCAGCCACGATGCCGCCATATGCAGCCGTGCTTATGAGCACCAAGATGTGCAGTTGCCGCATTTCTTTTCTTTGTTGTGGCAATGCCCTTTTGTCCACAAAAAGAAGTGAGCTTGAGATTCCCAGATCCAAGATCCGAAGGGCCACGAAGCACAAGAAGCTGCCGGTCGGCCCAAGTCCAATTGAGTCAAGAAGGGTAAGCTTCAGCCACAGCTGGCTCGACGACCAATGATGCCAGCCACACCACATCTGCCAGACTTAGCCCACAATCAGTGCAAGTCAGCATTCCAGTCATTGCAGTCCAACGTGAGCTTGACTTTACGACTCTGTCATCTTTCAGAAAATTGCCAGACACAGCAATGATGCTGGATACTACGCTAATTTCGTTACTGCGCCTATACGATCCATCGCTGAGGACCAGATATGGCGATGGACCATCCCCAGGCTTTGAGCTGCAGGTTCAGCTGGAAGTCCAAGTCTCGGAGGTCTTCCATGAATAAATCGAGCCACTCGACACCTTGAACGAGGCAAGACGCTGCACTCTAGGTTTGTTCTGATCTCTCGATTTTATCTTGGGTTTCATGACTTCAACTGCAGTTTACAACATGCATCTCGACTATCATATTGCCCTTCAACTCAGAAATTCTTCGTTACACCCAGCTTAATGCCATCTAGCTTCTTCACTAACTCACCCCACAGGCGGTCCTGTAACTCCTTACCCTCTTTACTCGTAACCAACGGCGCTGGTTCCGCCACGGCACAGTCAGATAAATATTGGCCATGCGTTTCCTTCCCTTGAGACCCGGCGTGAACTAATGTCCTACTGCCATACTCGGTTGACCGTGCTAAGAGCAGCTTCTTCAACCAGAATCCCCACGTTTTCAAATCACGATCTAACTCAGAATGACACGGTCCCGGGTTGACGCAGTTGACTGTGACAGGAGACACGGAGGCAGGGTGATTCTCGGCAATGCTGCGGACGCCGAACACCTCGAGCAGCTTCGAAACAGGATACTGTTGCTCAAAATACTTGTCCGCCGTCTCTTTCCCGCTGATGGTGACAAATAGCTCCCCGTCCGGCGCCGATTTCTGCGGTAATTGTGTCCTGGCATGAACCTCGGAGTCCGTGATGGTAAACGTCGGCCGCGTGTCAAACTGGGCTGCCGTCGCCTTGAGCTTGGGCATGACGAGCGCTGCCAGCAGGAACGTCGAGACGACATTGATCGTGATGGTCGTTTTGTCCTCCTCGACTATTGCGTACTTCAGTCTCGCCACCCCGGCGTTGGCTATGAAGATGTCGACGCGGTTCAGCTCGGAGTCGACACGCTCGGCGAACTTCTGCACACTGGCGTAGCTGGCCATATCGAGCTGCCAGACTTGGATGACATCCTTGGCACAGTTGGTGGTCGCTTCGATGTCCTCTTTGGCGGCGGTGCCCTTCTCTATACTGCGTACGGCGAGGATCAAGGTACTCACGCCCAGACGGGCGAAGTGGCGCGCCGCTTCTTTGCCTAGGCCGACGTTGCTACCGGTAACGATGACCGTTTTGCCAGCGTAGGACTCCGCCGGGTAGGGAAGCCGTTTGAAGAGCTGACTATAGATGAAACCCATGATATGCGGATGTGGGGTGGTAAGTGATTCGACGGTCGAACTAGTTGGCGTCTACACACAGCGGAGTTTTTGGGAACGAAACTGGCTTTTTATTGGATTTGGCACACCGAAGGATGTGATGGACGTCTGAGATGATAGGTTTCCGGGTGTATGAAGTAGGTGAGTGGGCATTTAACAATTCGGACGTTAACTGACCAGCTGGGCTTTTGAGAAAAGTACAAGGGAGACCATTTCCCCGCTTACCACTATTGCGAAGTTATAGTTCAGGCCCTGCGAAAAAGGGGATTATCTTGATTCCGGATGATGAACGAATTCTTTCATCAATGCTGCTAGACTTGCATTTGGCGTTAGGCTAGCTTCTACAGAGAAATGAATATGTATAACCCCATCTGCGCTTACACAGCGCAAGGAATGCCGCAACGGTAATCTTGCATAGGAAGAGCAGCGCTGACGGACCATTTAGCAACATCCAAGAAACGGGCACTCCTTGAATTGCTGTGCCGTGCCGTACATATATCAATAACGCGTAACAGCATATGAGGTAGTTATTGAACATGCTCCCGATACTTCCTGAATGTGGACAATTGCGAAGTGCGGCCTCAGTCAAAAATGAAATTTACGTCAGGTCATTTATTGATTATGCTCCAGAGAGGCCGATTCGAAGTGTGGTCTCGGTGGAAATAGGAAATAGGCGGAGTTAATGTCCGGGATGTTTGCGTTCGGGGATTTCTCGTCCGGTGTAATTTATAGTCCCATTGCCCGGATCTTTTGGGCTAATAATTTGAACGAGTTTGCGACTAGGCTTCCAAATTGTCCAAGAAGTATGAGAAGTAGGGAGGCGACTAAGAGAACAAAGCTGGGTCTAAGAATGAACCGAAGAAGGGGGAACCGAAGAAGAAATCTAAGACTAGAGAGTCCTGAGTCAGCTGTTGCTCAATCATGGCTCCAATAGATGAAGCAAATATTTCTAGAAGAACTGCATTTTGACCCTCTACTTCATAACCATCTCGACGCCACGGCTGTCCATTCAAATGCAACCGAATTTCAAGACTGGCACGCATGGCACAACCTTTAGCCCCTATTGTCGAGCCTACACCGCAACGACCAGTACCCGGGCCTCCAGATGAACACGCAGACCAGAACCTTAACCGCCCATCATCAAGTCTTGTCAATATCCCTAACACTATGGATCGTCTCCCCTCCATCCACCCCCTTACCTTCCTCCCACAGCCTCTCAACTATCCTAAACCCAACCCTCGTAAAACTTGACCACCTTCCAATTCTCCACGCCAACCCCAGTGTTCTCCCACTCGACATCATTCTTTCCACTCTCTTCCACACTGTCCACAAACCTCTCAACCAAATTTCTCCCTCCCATTTCCCCTGCCAGCCCTCAAGCAAATCAACATGCGTCGTCGCCCTCCATCTGTCCGTCAACTGCTCCGTCCCCTCAAACAACGACCCGACCTTATACGTCGTCTGCGCCAACGTGACGGGGTTCGCTTTAATCTGCCCACCCGCCATGCCATCATCCAGAACCGTCCACTCCTCTCTCTCGTCACGTTGCGCCGGACGAAAGACAACGGGTTCCAGGACTTGCGATACATAAGACGGGTAGGCCACCGCGAAGGCGTGCACGTCGGGGTAACCGATGCAGTACTCGACCGCGTTACCGGCGTCGTCGTCCAGGACGTGGAGTGGATGGGGAGAGGTAGGTGTACTGGTGGTTCCAGAGATAAGGGGCTAGTTTGGCGATTATAGGGGGGTAGTATAGGGATGGGGATAGAGTTGCTTTGCACTAGGTGAGATTGTCAGAGTACCTTCTTGCCTTAGAGAGAATAGGCGAGGCGATTGCGGGAAAACAATTGAAACGGAGGAGAATAGATGAACGGTGTGGATGAAGGCAGTATACGCACGATGTGTACGCAAGCTTCGAAGTGGGTATCTTTCCTCGGGACGTATGTCAGCCATGCTAGCGGGATTCTGGTCTGACAAATTTGAGATGGAAATTTAGAAGGACTGTGAGATGTAAACGAGGCACCCCGTGATGTGGGCTGAATGGAACGTAGCCAATTCACATTCGAGCGAGGAGACTTATCAGCAGGTAGATTTCCCTCAATTGCCCGTTCAGGACTGTCGATCGACCACTCGAAGTTTACATTCAATGGAGACGAAGTATACTGCTCACATCACCTCGGGTATCTCACTTTTCATGTGCGACAAGGTTGGCTTCATATTGTCCATTTCTTGCTAATAGACACGCTATCTTTTGTTCCGTCTTCTGATCAAAGAGAACATTGAGCCACGAGGCCATCCGCATTCTAGGTATCCTTCGTGGACAAGGCGCCGCCAATCGTACTGCTTGGAATGCCCTGCTGTCATTTATGTTTTTCCCACAGACCAATAATCCCACAGCGCTTCCTCCTGTGTGTATTACCCCCAATCCCGTGTTTAATTTACTTTGTGCTTCAGCTCAGAGTCCAGCCCCAGATGAGTAACGACAACTCCCCCATCATTCCCCGACGTACAAGCCCAAATAAAGAATAAGATATACACAAAATGTAATTTACAATAATGACGAAGCAGTAAACGCGTGGAGCGTGAAAATGGTAAAAAGATCGAGGTATCTCATCATGTATCGTCAAGACCGAAGAGAGACGCCCGCACGTGCTAAATTACGAATAGGCACTGGTAAAATTAAAGAGAAATATGTTGCTGAGGTGTGGGCGTGCTAGATCATGCCACCGGGCATGCCGCGGTTCATGGTCTGCGTCACAACCATTCGAGAAGCTGGAGGCGACATGTTGTACGCCTGGCTGTTGTTCTTTGGTGGCATGTTGTACACCGGGATGTTGCTGTTGTTGTTATTGTTGTTGTTATTAGTCATGTTGGTTCGCATACGAGTGGGCATCGTTGAACTACCCTCCGATGTCATCTTGCGAATTCGGCGCCGTTCGGGCTTTGGATTCTCGTCATCGCTAGTGGAGAATATGCTACGGTTCTCTTCGTTGAAGCCTTGTGCAGTCCCGTTGCCATAGGTCATTGCCAGGTTTGGAGTGCTCGCGTTGGCTCCTTCGTCCATGTATTCACCCTTGCGCCCAACCAGACTCCCAAATACCGTCCGTGTTTTTGTGCTGTCCTGTCGCCGTCGAGGGTTAATAGGTGGCAAAGGTGGTGCAATGTACGATTCTGTTTTACTGTTGGACCGCGAGCGGCTGTTACTGCGTGATCTATTCGCGGCTGCCTGTGGAGGCAACGCCACGGTTGGCACCCGAGATGTTGACATGACAAAAGTGGGCTCAGATATATCCCTCTTCTTTACAGTCCTCTTCATGGCGTCGTTTAAGCCCGGAACCTCTGAACCGTCCGAGTTGACACCTGGGGTGGGAGGGGCGGTCGGGCGAAGAGACGATGGCAGAGGGTTTGGCGTGGTTGGCCCGGATATGTATGGCGATGAGATTGGAGAGATGGGTGAAGGTTGCCCAGAGTCATAACCTCGAGGATGTTGAACCACGAGGTTGCCACTTGAGTTGTAATGAGTGGGATTAATTCTTGCCGGCGATGCGCCGGGATAGCCTTGAGGGGGCATGATCGGTGAGCGCCTGATGTTGGTCCCAGGAAGACCAGGAGAGCGCAGCATGGGCGTGTTATTGCTTGTCGGTCCAAGTTGTCGATTCTCATCGGATGAGCCTTTTCTCATACGCATTGGTGGTGGTAGTGGCCGACTACGCGGCTGCTCACCGCTCGACTCGGAGCCACTTCTGTCGCGATCGGCTCGTGAGGTTGCTCGGGAACCTGCTCGGGAACTGCCTGGTCGTGAGTCCTCACTTGGTGCCCGCTGTTGATAGTGAAGAGGCGGTGGTCTACACTCTCGACTTGGGTTCTGTTGTCGTTGAGCCCGCTCCTTGAGAGGCGTTGTCTGAGGAGCTAGGGGATTTGTGAGCGCCCCTTGAGGCGGTGCGTAGTGCTTTTGCTGAGTATCCTGCTCCCTAAGCCTCTGTAGGTCACGTCTTGCCTGTCTGAAAGCACGAATACCTGCTTGTTCCTCACCACCATTCATTCTACTGCCATCTTCTGATACCAAATCAGCTGACATCTTCCTTGGACTTTCCTCCTTTGTGGAAGTTAGACCCGTGACCTCGTCGAAAGAGTGCTTCTGCAGGTGGGGAGACGCAGAACGACCATTCATGCCTATCATCTTCAACGATTTTGAATGAGAGACTGGGTCGCGGCTTCGTTCAATCAAAGATCCACGACTGGACTTTGACTTCAAGAGCCCCAGTGGATTTGGCCGAGCGGGAGGCTGCGGACTCATCACCTCCTTACTCTCGCTGGGCGGGTGAGGCGAGGTCGAACGACTATCCGTTTCAACATATGTTGTGAGCCTCTCTCTAACCCTGCGCGCACCGTCCGCAAGTTGACTGGCAAATTCGTCCGACTCTCTCGGGTTTCCACTTCGAGATGCAGCAGACTCAGATTCGTCCCTTCTGGCTCTAGCCACCGTTGAAGTTCGTCGACCTCTCTGATCTGCGTTGCCTTCAAACCCAGAATAAGATGAGTCCCATTCACGCGCGCTGTCCTGGGATTCCCAGGGGTTTGATCTGGCAGCAAAATCCAACAGGGTGTGAGAGTCTTCAGGATCCAGTGGGAAACGGGATTCCAAACCCGAAGTTGCCGGGACCCCACCGTAGATGGATGACGCGCCACTATCTGCACGCAGATGTTGGCGGACCATCCCACTGAGACCAGTGGATGACGTGACTGTTGGGCCGAGAGTCGGAGAGTCCAAGGGAGACGCGTGAACGGCGGGGACTACCGTTAGGGATGGTTCTGCGATTGGTGATGTTCCAGCACTCGGCCCGGAGGAAACTGACAAAGGCGTTGGCAGAGCAGAACCACGGAGCGCTGGGTGTTCGTGATCGGCTGGGCGTGAGATGATGCGTGGTGGAGAGAATGCCTGCTGAGTTGCGACAGGAGACCCTTCGGAGTCATCGGACAACAAGAAGGTTGGAGATGAAAGATCATCCCGTGGCGAAGGCTGCGTCTGGGAATAAGTCGGGTCTATTTTGGGTTCGGAGGGCTGTCTCTGAACGGATGATGACGACCTTGATCTGTCTGTCACAAATGAAGCGTTGGATCCAGTGCGAAATCTCTGCGTGGGGGTGTCTCGTCCTTGTTGAAGCTGCAATTGCCGCTGTGCATATTTGGATTCATCGTAGGGATGTGATGGCTTTTGGAAAACGCCCATGGCCGTAGCCTTGCCCCGATCGTTTGGCCCAATTGCAAGACCTGAGATTTCTTCAGTTTCACTGATCGGGGGGCTCAATGGTGGTGCTCCACTGAAGTTGGGCCTCTCCTCGCTGATGCTAAGTACTCGGATACCCAGATCCGGGGTGCCTGATGAAGACACGGTAGTTGATGGACTCATTGATCGCAAATTTGGGGCACTAGCCTTGGTGAGAATTCGGCGTTCGCTGCCGAACCGCTCCGCGAACACGCCGGCAGTGGGCGAGGGCGAGCTCTGACCTATGTCTGGCGTACGCGAGCCTTTGGCTCCACGACGAGTCAGTGTATCAATGCGAGATAGGGCCGACGTCTGGGACTCGTGCAAGTCATGGTTGAGGCCAGTTTCGTAGAGGCGCCGTGTCCGGGTGAAATTCCTCTCAAGCGTCGTGGTCGAGTTCGCAGATGTGGAATTCGCGGATGCAGGGGCTGTCGAACTCGATTGCCATTCTTTTTGCGAAGGCGTAGGCTGCTGAGAGGTCACAGACGTCGCGGCTGTGGAGTTACGTGCCATAGATGGAACAGACGAGGTGGTCGACGAGGTCTCTCGTTTCCGGTCGTACACTCCAGAAAACGGTGATTCTGGCCGAATTTCAGGCTCTTCGGTTGATGGGCGCCTCGAATTGTCTTCACCCTCGGCGCACTCGCCCTCCAAAAGCTTACGCTCCCGCTCAGCTTTTTTCCATTTCTGGAATGCCGACATTGCAACATCATCATCGTAGAGAGCCCTGCCGCCCATTCCTCCTACAGCCTTGGAAGAGGACGTACCAGCCGGGATCTTGTAAATCTTCTGCCTGCCACCGAAGAGGTTATTACCCTCGTTAGGCTTGGCCCGCGTCATGACACTCCCATGAGTGGAGTCGGCATCCGAGGAGTTGAACGAGTCTATCCGTGCAAATGGAGCTCTGATAGACTCGACCTCAGAAATGTCTGTCAGCCCCCCGAATGTTCCAAAGTCGGTCAGCCTAGACTGGCGTTTTGGAAAGAGAACGCTGTCATCACTGGCTTTTCCAATTTTGGTGTTGGGATCGTCTTGTTCTCTTAGCATAGAGAAACGGGCCGACAGGCCAGTCATCAGCAAGCTGGTGCGGAAATCATCACTCGGTGGTAGTGCCGCGGTGATATCGATTTCTGATTTCGGCTCTTCCTGCGGCTTTTTAGCTTTTCTAAACTGAAACCTCGACGAGGACGACTCTTCGTGGGAAGATCGAGGCGGCGGGATCTCGTCCTTGCCCTTCTTCTTGGTTCTAAATCGATTCATCGTGAACCACGAGCGGCTGAAATTCGAGCGTGCCGGTTGCAAGGGTGATTGCGGTGCTTCCCAATTCGCCCACGCCGTGGCTAAGGAAAGTATCGAGAGAGTTGAGCGAGCTGCTTACGTTCCGCGTGCCATTAAAGGCCGCTCACAATCAACGACAGAAAAGAAGGTGTAGAAATTGGGTCCAGTAGAGGCCCGCAATCGAACGTCTCCGTTGCTCTTCTTCTGAATATGCACGACGGATTACCGATTAAGATGCCACAGACTAAATGTCGCAAATGCCCAAGGCGAAGTCTCTACTAATGATAACCAAAGATCAGCAATATGTTCTTGGAATATAGAAATGGTTAGATGGGCCACGACAGCAACCATGTTGGTCAAGCTAGTAACCTCAAGGCTTCTGACAGTGCCAAGGCATTGCAAGCACGTCCCATCTTTTGCGGTTGATAGCAATGAACGGGACGAATTAAGGATATCGACAAAGGCAACCAAGGATTGTTGGGCAAGTTTACCTGGAAGATTGACAGAATGTGTCGGGTGCGTTTCACCTCTCGAAAGGGCCTGGTCTGTCAATTTGATAATCGGCCGGTCCAAGCTCGGTGAGTGCAGTCTGAATTGAGTTCAAGCGCAGCCGCGAGAAACAAGATTCGAGTTGACAAATACGGAGTGGAACAAGTATTGGCTTCTACGTTGTCGTATTTGGCATGATAAGCTTGGTGCAAAAGTTGCGACTGTATTCGTGTCCGTCGCACAGGCGTCCAATGGTTCCCTGCAAAGTAGGCTGGCGGCAGGTGAAGCTGTATACCGGGCCTGCGCTTGCGTGGTTCTTGGTTTTCAGATTGGTCTTGGAGTGGAAATAACCGAGTGTTGTTGTGCGATGGGATATTTGCCAACTCGTGTTGAATGCCAGAGGAGCGTGGTCTGGTCCTACTTTGCAGAGGGTCCCTTTTGCTCGTCTCGTTCAATTGCTCGAGTCTGCACAGCTCGATCGATTGTTTGTAGTTTCCAAGACTTGTTCGTGATGGTGGAAGCCTTGTTGGTCGTCGTTGCGGGTGGTCGGTTGTCTGCCGGACGGCGGTAACGAGTGACTGTGGTGAGTAGCGGTAGAGAAAAAAAGAAGAGGAGTGAGTGTTGACGGAAGAATGAATTCAAGAGAAGATGCACGCAGAGAAGGAAAGCAAGAGACATGGCCCCAGAACCGCAAGTAGGTAGACGCCGATGCGAGAACCAAGTTCCTGAGCACTGGCCAGAAATGGGCAAGCCGAGCGGTGGAAATGAAGGTACATTGGACATTCTTTAAAGTAGCGTGCAGGGGTAGCGGGGGACTTTTAGGGCGTGCGACAGCCAGGAGATGACAGTGTTTCTAGCACCGTCAACTTCATAAGAGCTGGCTTCAATTCTTGCTCAATTTCTACCCGTTCCACCAAAAACGAACGTGTGTTTTTCCATGGTGGACTGACTTGTCAACAGTTAAGATGCAATGCCGGTTTATTGTACTCCGTTTGCTTGTGGATCAGTAAGAACAACGAGACAACTTTCAGAATAAGTAAACGTATATTATACTACATCTGCTTACGTGCTAACGGATAGTTTGAAATTGCTCCTCTGGTTTGCATCTCGAGGACTCTGAAGTCCTTTCGTTGAGCCGGTGTGCATTTAAGATGCCTGGCCAAGCCATCATAACCCGTGTGAGCCTTGAAACACACCATCTCGCACTTGTACGGCGAGCAGCGGCACTTGTAATGACCCTTGCAAATAATGCAGATACCCGCAGCACAGCTCAGATTCTCTGACCACGACAACACATTCGATGATTCAGCTGACAGAATTTTCGTCAAAAGAACATAAAACAGAAACAGAAACAAAAGAAAGCGACGACCAAGCACACAGTGCAGGTGTATTCTGCAATTGCTTAGCGAATGCGCTTGCCCCAGGGGTAAATCATGGAACAGAGCCACAGCATCAGCCCGGCTCCCTGGAAGAGAGTAGCAGCAGGGCATATCCATGCGAAAAAATCATTAGCACCACTGAGCATTACCGGGATCAGGTCCTTGAGGCCGACGGGTTGTGAATGGGCGTTGTCAGATGAGATGGTATTGAGCGTTCTTGAGATGAATGGGCTACCGCTGTCAACCTTGGACTTGGGAACCCTAACTCCTGAAAATCCCCCTCACGGTGGTTAGTTGTGGCTTGGCCGCCGTTCCTTCTTTGCCATCCGTCCCCCAAAACGCCGGGCTCCTGGACCAAAAGCGCTCGTTGCGTGGTTCCATTGGAGGCGAAGGAAGGCGGGCTCGAAATAGTTCAACAACTTTAGAAATGTGTACTACTCCTGAAACTTCCTCGAGCTCCTATTGCATTCTTTTGACTTTTTGACGTTTTCCCCTACCACAGCCAGTCAGTCTGATGGGGTCAAGATGCATCACATGTCCTCGATAAACCCCTCCACGAAGTACATGAGGAGCAGATCCACTCAAACTTCGATGATTCGGGACTCGGAACCTCAAAACATTCTAGACTTCCTCTGGTTTGACATCATGACTTCCAATGATGGACGCTACACCCAATTTTGGTCAGTTTAGATGTTGACATTAATGGCATCCAGTAATCTAACGATTTGTCGCCAAGTCGCCCATCTCACGATCGTAAAATTGATGCGCCATTCTCTACGACTCCTATGTTGCGCTTTGCGGCTTTGCCATTCCCGTTAGCAACATGCTGGCAATCACCGACTGGATCTACAGGCTCGCGCGGGCGCCTTACGACAGTAAGACAGTCGTGTCTTCCTCGAACCAACCCAGGCCATTTCGCGTCTTCGTCGTACAAGTTGGGGGTAATATTTCGCCGTGCCCCGCCGGAACCCCTGAGTGGGGACACGAGGAAAAAGCAACGCAAAGCTTGACAAATGTCTGGAAAAACGCCTCCGCGAACGAACGTGGGGATGAAACGGGTGATCAACCCGCAGCGCGAGTGACGGGCGGCTGATTGACATACGACGAGATAGCCAACCGCTGAACCCTTCATCGTCGAGTTACCTGAAGGTGTACTTGGTTCTTTGCTTCCATTATGAGCGAGAGAAATTCCAGCAGCACGCGAAATACGACCCACAGGATTGTCTCAAATTCCTGGAGGCGTCAAATCCGCCGGCAAACGGTCTTCCGTGATAAGCCCGTCCTGCCCGTTTGTCTCATCTTTGGGAGCATTTCGTCCTTGCGTAAATTGACAAACGCTGTTCCAAATGCCGCGTTAATTCTTTCCAACGACACAAAGTCGATGTCTCTATGAATATTTTTAATATATGCGAAGGGCAAAAAATTGATGATAAGGCCAATAAGGAAACATGGATCCATCAGAGCTTATCGTCAACTTTTTACAACGATGACCCCTCCTGGGTTGGAGGGGTCACTCACAGTGCCAGAACCCCTCGCAACTTGGCAGCCAGCAGTATTCCCACGCCCGCCACTGGCTCCAGAGGCGCTTTCATCTGCAAGTCGATCCCCATGCACAGCTGCTCGTCCATCACGACGGGTCGGTCTTTGGCTCCGCGAGCCAATCATCCCGTCTCCGTTCCTGACGCTTGACCTAAATGGCTTGTTGGTTCCCGGTCTGTGGTGTTCTACCCCTGAATCGCGGCAGGCAAACGGGAACAAGGCATTAATTGACCAAGATTTAAGACATGCAGCCTATCGAGAAGTCACAAAAGCTATTCGATATATTATCCAATATCACCGGAACTGACGCTGGAGTTTCACGCCGACAATGCCGGCCGTACGCCACGATTGCGAATGATATTACGACGTTGTGTATTGTTGGCGGCTGGAGGCACATAGTTGGACTTGTCAGATCTCACATTTCCGACAGTCCCCTGTGTTCTGATCGTCGGGACGAGCCATACACGGTGTCTCACGGTGTGCAACACTGTTACATCCAAGTTGAATGAATAATTCAAAGATGAGTTTCTCTCTAGGCTGTAAGCTTCACGAAAGCGCTTTTCTATCACCAGACTGGGCTAGCCTTGACTTCTCTTTACAATCTTCCCCTCCAGTCGACGGCAAGAAACCGGTGCATCTTCAAGTTTGTTGCCGTCACGCGATTGCGGTGGAGTTGGCTCCCGCCGAGTACGAATAGCACCACTTACTACAAGCAAACGTCGCCTTGGAGCTATCAACTTGTAATCTCGATCCTGCTTTATGCCGGTGAGGACTGATTTCATCCGACTGCATATGAACTAATTAAACAACTCGGTACTGAGGGTCCGAACTCGCCATATCGTCGACATTACAATTAATTCAAGATCTTTTACGGTGTATCCGAGTCCTGCTTAACACCACGATATCTAATTCTAGTCATGTGCATTCCTCTGCAGGCACATCGACCTCTGAATACCACCCAAGAGAGGCTCCATCAATGCTGTGCTTCGTCAGCTGCCGTTCTGCGCTTGCGTTTCCTAGAAGCATGTTAGCTCGTCTGGCGTTGTGCAGGTGTGCAGGATTTGATTGCAGGCCTCATCCATTCTCACGAATGTGACCAAGGCTATTGCGCGCTTGACAATCCCTCGCCAATGATCTCCAACGCTGGGGGCGTTAGTTTGTTACGAGCTGAATCTCTCAGAATTAAGGCCGGAGTCGCACAAGTCGCTGATATTCAGGCGCACTCGGCAATGGCCGCCGCTACTGCATGTCATTTTTACAAGAAGTCGTTCCGCATTTTGACGAACCACCTGGCGCGACGGTCAATCTGCCGGCACGCACAGTCGGCTTCGCGCATTGTCACCAACAGTTCCATCGAAACTGAACTCTATCCATAACCTGGCAGCCTGGTAAAAATCCCAGAGGTACGACCCCCAGTCAGTGCGGAGATGAATTAAGGTCAGAGCTTCATTTCGCGAGCTATTCGGGATACCCCTGGCCGGATCTAGGACGTGTCCCAGGCTGGCATTCGTGTGGAAGCCATCGATATGATATCGATATGAAATCATTCTCCTGACGCGTGGCATACATGGTGTTCCTTCCCAGACCCTTGATGTTTCTCCATCTGCCCGCGCCGGCATCGAACAAGCTTATTGTTCCAGACCTCTCTGGGCCACGACAACGTCAACAAATATCAGGACAACCGGTACTTGAGGTGAGTTAAGTAAACCAGAGGAAAGGCAGCTCTAATTGTGCCCCACGACCTCCAATATCGGGCTTTATGCCGATGGGGAAGAAAAAACTAGGCAGGCCAATCCCTGGACAGGCCAGATCCGAATCTCTTTTTGCCTCGAGGCGCGTAGCAAAGTAGCTATGACGGCAAAATTTGCAGCATTTCAGACACCAGTCAATCACATTTCATTACATTGTCACTTTCCTTTCATAGATGGGTCATTTCGCTCCTCATACTGACAACTGACAAAATTGGCGATGTGTTTACATTCTCACTCAAAGACACTAGACCACACCACACGCGACGCGGGTAAAAGGTGGTGGTCGGACGCGAGTCGCGACAGTTCGTAGGGTTCAAATGGACGCGCTTTCCCTCTCTTTGAGGCTCGACTGTGCTACTACTGTCACATTGCGAGCGTAGCCAGAGTCTGCGAGAGTTGGGTAGAGATACTACGGAAAGCCACGATGGCGGGAAACGCCGTGAAGGTTGCGCCAGATCCAGAGGTGGGCGTCGCATTGCAGTATTGACCGGCTTTTGGATTGGCTGATGTGGTTAGAACTCTGTGGCATGCTTCACGATGTCACCTGACAGCTGCAGTCACGGCTTCAAGGCCGGATTCGGCTATAGGTTGCTGATTCGCTTCTTACATGCGTACTTTGTGAGTGCCATCTCGTCTTTCTTTGCAAGGTCGAGACAGCGAGTGTGCGCAATGGATAGAGTTTGCTTCAGTGATATATTGAACTGATAGATGATTCGTCTGCGGCTTAATCGGTTGGGACTAGTCTTATGACAAAGTTGCTAGCGACGAGAGTTTCTTCACGCATGATAATGCATGCATGGCATCACCTATCGTGGGAGTTGAAAATCACTGTCATGGAATGCCACTTTCCTCAACCGGATGTAACGTCATCTTGGCATGGGGGTTCATCGTTTGCTTGAAGGTTATGGCCGTCAGATATTATCATACAGCTACCAGTGAAATTCGGGAGGCCCACATCATGAAAAAGATCGTGTTATACGGCTCGTCACAGTAAAGATTCAGCGCTGCTTGATATGGCAACGTAGCATTGCTTGGGCAGGTCGCGGTATGCCCGATGCTCAAGAGCCAACTAAGGCAAAGCGTTCTTTGCAATGTGCTCGAGTGCAGTCACAAACTGGCATCGCGCCCGAAACACTTGGTTTCGACTATGATTGAAGCAGCAGCACAGGTCCTTCGAACTCCAGGCTACGTACTGTCGCAACCATGGCCAAGTATACTTCCTACCTTGTCTAGCCGTCTGGCAGCAGCGGAATGAGGTATCACTCTGTGGGAGACAGTCAAGCAACTACCACAAGCAGGCCATCTTTGCTTCGGGAGATCAAGGCTTGCCTGTGTTCAAAATCGAAAATGAGGTATCAGAGGGTGCTACCACGCCGAACTTCATCCACTGAAGCGAGAAGCCAGGTGCATATCTTCCGTTGAAAATCGTCAACTTCTGACAAGGTACGAGGCCTATGGATCCTAGAACATCCTGGATTCGGGCGTTGCTATGATACTCATTTCTGAGATGCGCCCATCATGGTCACAAAGCCGTAATTGTCTTAATAGTCGCTCTTGGGCTCAATATGAGTGTCTGACGCAGGTCGACGAAGGCATATTTCTTCTTATAGTTACTTTCTCCAAGGTATACCCTTCCCAAACTCGGTCTTGCTCGTTATATGATGCTTTCCTGTTTATTCGCCTTTGCAAGTGCACAATGGTACTCCACAATATGAGTTGGCTGATCTGAAGGTCAACCGGTTGGGGAGAATCAGAGGCAGGCCTTGTAAGTAATTCTGTCGGACAGCTGACAGTCTAGAAAAATTCCTATTGGCTTTGGAAAACATCATTGCCTATGTCATCGGGCAGGAATACTTGTATCAGGGGTAAAAGTTGCCTTAGCAGCAGCATGCTAGCACGGTGTCACTAGGAAAATGAAACAAGGCCCCGGGTCGAGAGACTACTGTGGATTCTTATCACTTACCTGTATATCACTTCACATACTTGAGGCTGCCACGCTGACTGAGACGTGCAATGGCGCCCACTCGTTTATTTTCAGGGAGAGGAAGGAACCCCTTAAACAAGAATTGAGAATTTAGACGTATGTGATCCTGGTGCCAGATGTTGCTCCTCGTTCAAATAACCCTTCCCCTCCGCCATGCCTGCCTTATACATGACATGTGTGTCGACGGCTCAATATTATGATATAGCCCCCAGTCACATCGATACTGGCATAAGTTTGATCACACCGAACCTACCTTAAGAAGTCACCACTTTCCTGCTTTCAGGCCCTGCTGCCTGATTCATAGAAATTGAGGCTGCTCATCTTCATATTCGTTTTGTTCCTCACTAGACCTTCGTCTATCACTTCTACTATTTTTAACTTCCTTCCCTTCACTACATCCTGCAACCACCTTCATCTAACTTCAGGCGTTTCTTTCTTGATGTCATTTAACTGAACCCTCTACGCCTATTTCTGAAATCTGCAAATCTTTTGAGTCTCGTCTTTCGCATCACTACTTGTCTTCCGACCAACTTCACCGTGCACATTTGGTAACTGCCTCTACCTCAACATGTCCTATCACAAATACGTACAGCCAACCATCGACCATGTCTCTAGACACAGGCGAGACGCGATTGGCCTTAGGGCAGACCACAGACAGATATTGGCACCGATGATGATCGTACGGGCTTATTTCTGCGACCAATTTGGTTTCAGGGACCCGCAGCCCTCAGATACTCAGCATTAACGTTTACAACTCACGCGAAGTTCACTTGACAGTGAATGACTCGCTTCAAGACAAATTCACCTTGTTTGCTGTCAATATAAACCTTCGTGCCAATTTTGGAGCCAACACGGTACCTATTGTCGGGTCTGAATACTACTTGAAGTCTACATGCCGAAGCAACAAGTTTGTGGAAGGCGCGGTGGTTCTCAACATCACAACAGAGCAGGTGCGTCTCAATCTGGGAAATAGCGATGTAAACCAAACCCTCTCGCTTGATGCCCTCAAAAGCGGAAGCGATATTCACGTGGTTGCGGGGGTGGACGTTTGGCACCCGGTTCATCTTGGCTGCCAGCCTCCCAATCAGCAACACGATTGAAAGATGCCAGGATCAAGTTGAACCCAAACTATCGCGACTAGTCACCTATCTCGAAAGCCCACTGAGCACTTCAACCGGCGTGCAGGGTGCAAACCGTATACCGAAGATGTTGGGCACCAGTGTTGGACAGTCTGTACTAACGGTACAACCTCTGAACGACCTTCTTCCGACATTCATCAAGCTCTACCACCAGTGGCAAAATATGGAGAGAAAGATCCATAATTAAAACTATGAAACTGATTTTCGCATGCATACGACTCCTTCAGGTTGTTGGAGAACGCAGCCCTGGAGCATCAGCTTGAGCCCGCATTGTAGACCAAGATCGACCTTCAAGATGACCTCGCCACTTATTTGGACGATATTTGAGTGCCAATCCGGGATCCTACTGGACTATATCAACTAATTACCAAGTTCAAAGAATCACGGAAAATCATATCCTGCGGCCTTGGCAGATGCAACTGAGAAATCAAGCTTTAGAAAGGTGGTACTTCACTAGGGCGGACAGTACATTGACATCATCGGCGCGAGAAGACCAACCGAGGCATCATCGCAGGACTGCTTGATCGCAACCCAGGAGACTGCCTCGTGGCGGTCGCCGAGTGCAAGCCTGAATAAGTGTCTTTCACC